CCCTTTTTCCTTTGTCACATTGAAACGTAGCGAACGCCCGATCTGAACTCGGCGGCTCCTACCGTCCTAGTGCCCAGATGAGGACTTATGTAACTAGATTACTTAGTGGACGTTAATAATAAAACAAACAAACAAACAATTCTACCTGATAGTCAAAAGGATCTTGTACTAACGCCGTCACAGTTATCTGATTCATACCCCATATTTCACCAACTCGGATGCCATCTTGCACATTGCATGGAAGTCAATGGAGGGGATCAAAAAGGATAAACTCGCCAACTCAATAGGCGTAAGCACTACTTACGCTCTCATGTTCAAGCTGCCCTGGTCGGTGCAACCATTCCGCCTGCTTTCAACCAGATTGAGTTTCATCCCTATCTGCAGCGCGGAGACGGTTACTTGCCGTGGCTGCATGAGAATGGCTTGAAAGTGGGCTCGTTCAAAGGTCTGACTCCCGTATTCAGGGCTCCTGATGGACCGCTGCGTGAGCCCTTGTCCCGCATTGCCAAAGCGCATAACACTACTGAGGCAGCTGTCCTTATCCACTGGATCATACAGAACGGGGTTGTTGCTGTAACCACTACCACAGATCCTAGGAGGCTGGACGATTATGCCCAAGCTTTAAAGATCACACTAGACGATAAAGACCTACAAGAGATTACGGATATAGGCCTCACCTACCACTCCCGCACATCTTGGTCGAAGCATTTTGAAGAAGATGATCGATCATAAGAGATAGTTGCCATATTTCATTGTAACTCGAGCGACCTTGAAATATTTGTTCTTCAGTTACCAAATTACTAGTCAGACTTATTACTCTTGTCGCATGATCAATTGTCAATGCCGATGCTTGGAGCAGGAAGCGTTCTAGAGGTCTCAAAGATTCCTAGTTCTCCAGCTTGCCTAGTATGTGCACGCGAACTGCTTCTTCAATAATCCCAAAAGATTGTTGACACATTGTAACGTGACTCGTTCCTGAATTCTGATAGGCTAAATTCTGACCTCAGCCTTGTCTTGTAGATACTCAGCAGGCTGAGGGGTCACATCCTTGCTGGTCAACTCCGCACTTGTGCCTAACTTGGGCCTCAACCTTGGCCTATCGTCTATCAAAACTCTAACTACTTGTTATCTAGCAGCAGCACTGTGCATTTGTATATCTTCAATTAATTATCCCATCCGAGATCTATTTGATAGGAGCTTTTCGCCTCAAAAATTTGTCCACTTAAGGATGGCTGGCCGTCTCTTCTCTCGTTTCAAACGGAAGAGTAAGAACCGTGATGGAACAAAGAGCTCTTCGGGCCTGGTGTCCGAGGCTGGAGCTTCACCAGCCAGAAGCGTATTAATTGCAGCTACGACTTCCCAAGAAACAAAAGCTATTATAAACGACAAATCTGAGGAGCCTCAACCCGTCGATATGTCGGAGAGTGTCAAAACAAATGATGACTGTGACTTATGGTCTCGGGCCTACCAACAACTGGATGATAAAGCTAAAAAATGGATCGGCGATGCCTCCAAAAGCGTTAGTGGTCAGGAGAGGACCCAAGACCTCATCACACTGGTTCGAAATAGAGAAGAAGAGTACAAGGATGGAACTCTCAAAATCAGGATTGGTGATTCCGAGATTATGTGGAGAGATTACGCCGACAGTGTGGTGTCGTGGATAACAGCAATTGGGGACATCTCCATCAACTTTGCCCCTGCAGGTTCCTCAGTCGCATGGTCAGCTATCAAAGTGCTCCTAAAGGTAAAGTTATACACCTCAATAATCTTTTATTGCCAGTTCTTAAATCCTCGATCAGGCAAATGTGTCCCAGTGTGAGGACCTTGCCGCCATGTTCGGATGTGCTGAAAGGGTCCTACGGCTATGCGACACGGCAGGGCATATGAAGACGTGTACCTCAGTGGCGGCTCTTGTAACGGGGCAACAGAAAATCTAAAGGATGCCCTCGTTGATCTATACAAGGGACTAATGGAGCTCCTCGCCCACGCCTTTGTGCGCCTAAATGAGGGTCAAGGGAAGCAGTTCCTGCGTGCCCTCGTCTCTGGTGAAGAAGGTGTAAAGTTGGTATCGGCACTTACAGAACAAGAACGCAAAGTGTCAATGGCTGCTCAAGGTTGTGGTGCAGTTGCATCGCAAGAGCATCAAAAGCTCCTCAGAAATCTCGATGAACCAATGAAAAACATTGATGATACCGTAAAGAAACTACTACAGAAGGTCGAGGATCGTACAGTAGAACAGGCGCTGGAATATATCAGCACTATACCGATCGGCGAACATCAACAAGAAAAGCGTGAAGCAAGGACACCTGGCACGTGCGAATGGTTATTAAATCATTCCAAGTTTATTGAATGGGAAAGATCAAGCTATTCTTCGACGTTATGGCTTCAAGGAAACGGTATGTAACTCTACTCCATTTACCTTGATCTAAGTACAGTAGAGACTGGGAGTGATGAACTGACCTGTCTCGCTTCTTTTGACTTCAGTCGGTGCGGGGAAGTCATTCCTTACCTCCAAAGTAGTCGACTACCTTCCTACTACCCATCAACAGGAGGCCGAATATGATGAAGGCTTTGCCTACTTCTATTGCAGTCGTTCAGATCCGGAACGTCGACAGGCAAAGTATATCCTGAGGAGCTATGTTTCTCAGCTTGCCAGGATACCAAATCATCCAACTATGATTGAGAGGAATATCCTCACTTTATATCTAAAGGCGAGAGAAGAGAAGAGAGGCTTCAGTATCCTTGAATGTGAGGCAGCCTTGATGCAACTCATTAACTTCTATTCGCGGACTATCTTAGTCTTAGACGCTCTGGATGAATGTGAGATGGACGCTAGAGAGGCACTCGTTCGTATTTTGCACAATCTTGTCTCCAAGGGCGATGGCACCGTCAAAGTTTTTATTGCCAGCCGTAAAGAGGCTGATATTGAAGAATACCTTGGTCTGAAGAACCTGGTTGAGATAAGTACTGCTGACAACGAGGAAGACATTGAGAAATATGTTGAAAAGGAGATAGCAAAGGTTGACGGCATATGGAGGTCTGTTTCTGCAGAAGTCAAGGAGCAGGTCAAGAAGACAATTAGAGAGCAAAGTGATGGAATGTAAGTTGCATTTGTACCAAGCTCTTCCTTGAATTAACTTCAAAGCGTCTTTGGATTGTACTAATCAATGGATAGGTTTCGATGGGCATATCTTCAATGGGAAGAGCTCAAAAAGCTAAGAACCAACCAACGCATCCGTGAGCGTCTTGGAAAGCTTCCTAAAAGTCTCACAGAAGCATACGAAGAGATCTATTCAGAAAACGAAGAAAAGGATGTCCTACAACGGGTAGTCAAATGGGTGTTATGTGCTAGACGGCCATTAACAAGCGAAGAGCTTCTAATGGCCATCCGTTTAGAGAGAAACCTTGAGTCTCTTACTATATCCGATCCCATCGACGAGTCTACCTTGGAGAGCATCTGTTCACACTTGGTTGTCTTAGACTCTCAATTAAAGGTGTGGAAATTTCCACATGCATCAGTTGCAGAGTACTTCGAGAATCAACATAAGAGCTGGATAGATAAGGCTTCTGAAGATGTGGCGATTCTGCTGATTTCGTGCTTAATCGATTGCTACTCGAACTGGACACTCTTTGGATCGGATGATTCAATCGAAGAATTCCTCGTGACGGCACCAAACCTGGAAAACTATCTGGATCCACGACACCCTCTCCAGAAGTATGCGAGGAAATATTGGTCAAACCATGTGCAAAATACTCTAAACGATTGCGAAGAGGTGGCAGGTCTATCAGAGATTCTTAAACGCTTTTTAGGGGCTGAAGGTCCTCAAAAATCCTCCAGTCAACAATACCAGGCATGGTGCAGACACATGGGCATTGAAAAAGATCTTGATAGCCGCTTTGACGTGAGCGATATAAACCCCGCAGAAAAGTCTATTTTTGGGATTTGTGCTTTTTCTCTTCACAAGTTGCTTGAGGGCTGGTGGGATGAAGGCATTGATGTCTCACAAGTCAATAAGAAGGGGCTGGATTTACTCGCAATCGCCGCAAAGTACGACCATAATGACCTTTGTTCCGAGCTTATCAGCAGGGGCAGCGATATAAACAAAGAGCTGGATAGTTACTGGGGGAGCGCGTTCCTGGAAGCCATCGGTGAATCACACATCAAAACGGCAATGCTGTTCCTAGAAAAGGGTGTCAATCCAAATCTCATGGGCCAGGGTAGAAGCCCGCTCTGTCACGCTGTCTGTTTTGCAAGTGGTTTGGTTGAACCTCTTCTTACGGCTGGAGCGGACCCCAACATCACTTGCACAGGCTGCTGGCTTGTTTGTGCCTTGGAAGCAGCTGCCCTATCTGATAGAGTTAACGCCGCACAGCTCTTGATAAAATACGGGGCAAATGTGAGCTTGACGACTAAAGACAGCGAGTGCGGCAGTCCTCTGGCAAGAGCCGCATACCAAGGTTCGATGGGATGTGCAAAGCTTTTTGTGGAGAATGGAGCCGACGTGAACGCCCATCTCAATGGCGATTATGGCAGTGTTTTAGCTGCTGCGATATTCGGATGGGGGGGAGTTGAGGTGGTCAAGTACTTGATTGAGGAGGCGGGAGCGGATCCAGCCGTCTTATCCTTGAATCCGCCGCCGCGACCTCCTGTCATTCGCGGCAGTCGGCATGCTGAAAGGAAGAAAATAGCAAAGTATCTCATAGAGGGGGGCTATGTCCAAGAGAGTGTCCTGCTTAACATTTTCTTCCCCAAGGAAGATCTCCCGGGAATGGAAGAGTGACGGAGGCGTGGAAGGGTTGGGACATTGTGTAGTATCTGATAGGGTACACTTATATACATGGATAAATACAACATCTTAGCGTCCAATACATCATTTCATTGCCTTTTAATTTCTCTATTTTGTCGTTACACCGCCGAAGAGAAGTCAAATAATGGGCTCTGCGTTTCAGATTATAAATTTTAACACAAGCTCTTTTATAACTTCTCCAATGTTAATCCAAGCTTTTCGTTGTTCTTGTAGAAGAATTATCGATTCCAGCAGTTTAATAACTTGATTGACATTCTCTCCCCAATTGTGTGAAGCTCTTTAAGAGTTGTAAGTGTCCATTTGCGGGGTGCCTGCGGGGTACTAGAAGATACCACATCTTCTAGGCATCCCGCAGTCTGATCAAGAGGGCTGGATGCAGTGAGACTTTTATTGAATGCTGTAAAAAATGTTACGGTAAAAAATGCATTGCTGGAAATTGGATTCATCATCTCAGACGTCGGAAACCGATCGAATGCCTGGCTGAATGGTGTGGTCTCCGGCATAGCTTCCAACATAGAATTTTGAGTAGTATAATGCGATAGCAAACTATCTGAGTTGGAAAAAATAACACTCATGGCGTGATATGTATTCGTATTCAAGAAGGAAGCAGTCGTAGACTCGGGGCCAGTAATCCAGTCCCTTCTGTAAGGTATCAACAGTTCATATTAATGCCCAGAAGGAAAAGGTGCGCTACCCGTACTATGTGCTAGGTCATACATAGAAGCACGCCTTGAAATGTTTTGCTTGAGTGACGTTGACGATGATGAGGAAGAAGTAATAAATCGGAGATTTCTTGAAAATGGTGGTAGACATTCGAGGTTCAACGCACGGCATTTCTCACATGGAAACGGTGGATTGTCGCATTTAAGCCTTTCGACGATGAAAGGTAAGACATTTATCTGGATAATTAGCTTGGGGAAATAACAACAAAAAATAACCAAGGTAGAGATATTTAAGATAATGATGATGAAATAAATTAGGCGGCAAGTGAAGAGACTTCCTGCAGTAGCTGCAGTTGAGCAAGAGGCGCAGCACAGCTGCAGCATCGCTACCTTGACATATAGCAGGCGCGGCGTAATTCGAATGCACGAATGAAATTATAACCTGACATGGGTGCAAGATAGCTAGGTATGATTGTTTACAAGCGCCATTGCTTCGCCCTTGATGCGGCCCCAGCGCTGCGCCTCTTGGTATCCGTGAGGATCAGATGCACTGCCATCAACTATATTGTATTGTAAATACTTATGTCGTCGCGTTTCCACCTTTGTTGAAATTTTACAGTTGCGCGCTGTTCTTCTCTTTCAACGCAATGTCTAGGTGTTCTTTTCAACGTCAAAATGGACCAGACAATCTCAAATGCCTACCCTGGTCCTGCTCTGGAGGCTGAAAATGCGTTCCGCTTGCTAGAACTGCAGGCCGGTCAGAATAACGACCCTGTTACGATCCGAATACTTGCTTGCTCCTTCGGCAGCGTATCATACGAAGCCGTCTCTTATACCTGGGGCGATGCAGATCAGAAAAATGAGATCAAAGTACTCTCACACAGTGCCAACGAAACTTGTGCCACCATGTTCGTCACAACAAACTGTCACAACGCTTTGATGGCCCTACGGAAAACTCACGAGCCTCGAGTCTTGTGGATCGATTCAATATGTATCAACCAACACTCAATGCCTGAGCGCAACCATCAAATTAGCCTCATGGCCCAGATATATCAAGGAGCCCGTCGTGTCGTGGTATATCTTGGACAAAGCGCCCATGGCAGTGACGAAGCCATGCACTCGATATGCGAAATCGATCAGCCCTCTGATTACGGCGCTTATCCGTCTTGGGATACGATGCCAAAACCTCCCTCAAACATCGAATCTATTCGCGCACTCTTCAAGCGACCTTGGTTTTATCGGGTATGGGTGTTGCAGGAGATCGCTTTCGCCAAAGATGCCGTTTTTGTCTGCGGCCAGTACGAAGTAGGCTGGGATAGCATTCGTACTTTCTGCCACTGGACCCGGAACAATCGCTGGATGAAGGGAGCTGCTCTTCCGTATCCTATTGAATACACTGTCAAAAAATCTCGTAGCAGAACCGACTTCATTCACTACAATCATCGTCTGTATGAGCTTCTCAGGAACACAAAAGACTGTCAGGCAACAGATGCGAGGGATAAGGTGTACGCGATGCTCCCCTTGCTAAAGTGGGAACATGAGAATATGATCAGAGAGCTTGAAGCGAATCAGAATCAAGCTGAAGACAAGAGGGTGGGTGGGCTAGACGCTGACAGACTGCATCAAGCATCATTCATCCAAGCAGACTATACGATGTCTGTTCAACAGGTGTATACAAATCTCGCAATCATCCTACTTGAGCACTTTGGACTTCAAGCGCTACAAATCGGCCTAGCTCCGCGTCGTGTGGAGAAACTCCCATCTTGGGTTATAGATTGGGAAGCTATCACAAAGTCACCGTACCAGTTCCAGCAGCCATTGACTCCGTTCAAGCCTCAAGATTCGTCGAATGTCGAAAATTCGTCCATATGGAGCGTTTCTCGTTTTTTCCTAGTCGACAAAGAGCCAAAGGAGCAGCTACGAGTCAGAGCCTTGAAAATCGGCACTATCACCTTCACTGGGGATGTTTGTGATATCCGTCAAAACATCTTCCCCCTGAAACAATGGGCGAGGCTTGGCTCCGGCCCAAAATGGTGGCATCAAATGCCGACTATGCCTCCAGATCTCACTGACCGCCAACCGAGTTTTTGGCGGCAGCACTGTGAGCTCTCTCCATTTGCGGTGACCTTGGCAGCAGGTTACATTGTGTATGCAGACGTCGTCCGCAGAGCTCTTAAAACTATGGCTACCTTTGATGAAAGCAATAATGCTGCTGAAACAAAAGACAACCATAGGCGCTATGAGGATTACCCTAAAAAGTTACCTCCTAGCTATTGTATACAAGCGCAAGGGATATTTAATGCTTGCGATGGACGGAGATTTTTTATCACTGATACAGGGCATATCGGCTTGGCTCCTGCAACGGCTACTACGGGGGATTTGACGTTCAAAGTCAATGGCTGTGATGCTCCCTTTGTCATGAGACCTTGGACGGATGCCGAGGCTGAAACCCATCCTGTTGTAAGCGGGCAGACAGAGACCCCAACACTCAACACCCATAGCATGACTATGGTAGGAGAGTGTTGGATACATGGTATATCACGTGGGGAAAGAGAAGACTTCTATGACAAGGTAATCTTCGGTAAATCAAAACCTGAGAGCTGCAACTCATATTTAGAACATCTAATTATTTATTAATGATATCAAAAAGTACTTTGCCGCTCCATATTACCTTTTCTTCTTTCCATCTTGATCTCACGATAGAAATACCGATTGGGAAATTATTGTTGTCAGCTATCTCCGGAACGTTCACTACCAGCGCATGAACAAGTATCCCTAAAGAGCAAAAGCTGGCGTCTCCAGTATATTCCAGTCTCTGCGGTGCTTTATTTGGCACGCTCGTCGTGATAATGATCCAGAATCGTATTTGTCAGCAATAACATCCTGTAGAGCGCGCAATGTTGCACACCCAGCATACGTCTTCCGCAAGGCTTTGTTTTATGGACAGTGGTTGCGATGGTTCGGTAAACTCCATCTGGAGGATAAAAGGCTTGGCCCAAAAAAGAGGGACACTCATCACTAGCAATGATGAGTGCATAGTAATCTGCATGAAAAACAAAATTGCGAGGGCAGCTATCGTGGATAGTTGCGTCTTCAGAGGCCAATGTACACCAAGCTTGTCCCAGGTCGTTTTGAGCCCTTGTCCAGCTTTTGACCAGACATGAGTTTGGAGCAAGCCATATCGCCAAAATGACGAGGTGAGGTTCTTGTGGAAGCCATTGTTCTATTAAAAGGTACAGCAAGATACCCCAAATCATCCACTGTGCGTGCAAAGTAGCCGGTTGTAACGAGATGTATTGAATAGTGGCTCATGCCTTCAGTAAACATCGTGTCGTCTTTGATGATGTGCGTTCACTTCCTAAATTCTTATGGGAACAGTAAAGCTGTTCCCATGCTTCTTTCCGCGACAACTGGCGACCTCTCTCCAGCAGGTACCTTTTAGTTCTTCTCTGCAGTTACTATCATTGATGGCTTCTGCCTTTGGGCGATTGTTTCTGAGACATCTGCCAGGAGATAGGAAAGCATCAAAGAGTTATACTCACTCACATGGTAAAAGATAGTGCTCTATGAGAATAAAATGCTAGACGAAAGTACTGGAAACAGCCCTACCACCAACAGCATGACATTACCCGAAAACTACTAGACATCCACCATAAGGAGAGAAGGGAGAAAGTGTAGGAGCTCACCACCACCTAACTTTTCCATTAAATTACTACTGATGTACATTTAATTTTTTTCACATACGCTTCTAATCTCATTTTATGCTAATCAACCAACGACTTGCTGAAAATATGTGGCTATGTCTTCCATTAATTTCCGCCACGATCTAACCCTTCCAACTGGGCACTTGATACATACTATTATAGACATGGAACAACAATTATCTACACATTCCGCATTTCATATCGCATTTTTGACTAGACACATTATGGATCTATTGCACAGTAAAATTGACTACTTCATGGCTACTGCGTAAGCTCCGAAAATGGCATGTAAACAGTGCCAGTATCCGACCAGCAGTTACATGACTCTCAAATTTCAGGCGTCTTTGTACCCTAATTAGGTTCTTGATAAAGCCTTTTAACGATATTATTGTTGAGATTTTCCTCAAAAGACTTGGATTCGTTCTTGGATACTTGCAGAATGGTGCCCAAATTTGCTGCAATCTGTGGTAGTGCTGCCAGCTGATTAAATCGAGCAAGATCGTTTTCAAAGGCGGCCCTAGGAGGAGCCTGTTCTGCAATACTGGCCTTGGTCGCCTGAAGAGCCTCAATAGGAAAGAGTGCAATCCTTGCCGCAATGTCGTTCACATGTTTTCGAAGAGCATTGCCTGTAGGATGGACAGAGTTGACCCAACCAACGCGAGCTGCTTCAGAAGCGCTGACCTGTGCAGCGGCAAGCATGTATTCTGCAGCGCGTCCAGAACCAATGAGTTTAACCAACTGTTGGAGTCCACCGACATGAATCACTCCAACAGCCGCCTCGGGCGCGCCAAATTGTGCCTCTGGTCCAGCAAATCTCATATCCATTCTCAGCAAGTGCTCATCCCCAGCACCCCAGGCTCGACCGTTAATCTCTCCAATAAAGATGACTGGGGTACTCAAGAGGAGATCCAAATTTGCAAAGTATGTGTCTATGAGAGTGGTACCATTGCGCCCAGGGATCCCGAGCTTCGTGAATAGATTGAAGTCAAGCGTAGAGGCCCAGAAGTCGGAGTTGTCGCTATCGAAAACGACTACCTTGGTTTCATTCTGATCTTGTAGGCTGACCAAGAACTCGTTGAAAGCAGCGATAACATTGGCATCCCAGAGATTGACAGGAGGGTTAGAGATGGTAACCCGCTTGGCACTGCAAGCCTCATTAATGCATGATTGCTTCAAGATCTGGGCTTCAACGAAACCAGGCCAGAAGTAAGTGAGAGATAAGAAGAAGGAAATTTTCAGATGCGTTTTAAAGACGGTCATGTTGATTAAAAACAGAAATGTCGTATCCATCAATTGGAGCTGACTCTTTCGATGTCGATATAATAGATGTATATATACTCCTTGGTCTTGTCTCGCTATCTATGAAGCTTGAAGGATATTGCTAATCGTTATTGAGTTGTCGCAAATCAACCAAGCTCATTCAGCGGCTTTACCAAACCCATTCTACCATAATACAGATCATTCTCAATCTCCACAAAGCTGATATCCGGCCGTCGTCTCCTGGTCCAATCTTTTTAGGAAAGTGCCCATCTTGGCGCTATTATAGTGTTACAAATCACCTATTTGTAAGAAGCCCACATCATTAAGAGGATAACTCTCCACCATCATCTCTGGTGATGCATGAACAAGCCTAGCTTTTGAAGAAGCGTTATTGGTAATCAGCTAACGCAATAATCATCAATTCAAGGTCGATGAAACCCAAATACTATTAGCTGTTTCTGCTCTCGCTTATTAATTATGTGGTGTCTTATACAACAATGAACCTTATAATCCCTCTTTCATATTACTTAAAATAGGATTGCCTGAATAAAGTCAATCTGAATAATTTCGTATACACTTTCAGAATTATCACTCTTGACGACGAAGTGAGGGGCCGCGCCAGAGTGAAGGGTTGTAATTGTATCGTTCATATAGTTCCCCATTACACGATGTGAAGATCGAAGAGCTCAAGCAGTCCCTATCGTCCAATTACCCAGTATTCATATCAGCAAGATCGTAAAACGCGACCGTATATCCTTACTCTGGCATCCATGCATCTTGGGTATACGCGATAGATGATATTAGAGAAGATCATGTCGGTAGTTCATATATGCTTGATCAATAAATGGTTCAGAAAAACGGTGAGAAATAAAGGACACAAATCATTGAGCAATAAAGCGTAAAAAAAGTATTGGGTATAAGAGAAAATTGCAAGGAGTGAACAAAGGTCTCCTAATGATAGTAATAAATACTCTCGGATTCATTCAGCGCCCGAGCACTTTTGTACCTGATTTTGAAAGGAAGGCAATATATAATTCCAAGATTCGCTATTGTGTCTAAGGGTTCAGTAAACCTGATACCTGAGATCTACACAATTGTCGGTAGAGTCGCAAGTATTACTTGGGTTCATGACACATTCATTGAACCTTGCTTCTCGGGTAGGTTGTATTTGAACATTCTTGAAGTAGCTCCAGCTATTAAACCGTGTTAGGCCTCTGGAGCAGGGACTTCAATCCGCTGATGTTTTGCCTGATTTTGAGGTGCATCTGACTTACTTAGAATATCAGCTAACTTTACGCGTTGGGCTTCATAATCCACATCAAACATGACTTGCATTGCTTTAATATTTTAATTCATTGTAGACCCGCTAGTAAAATTCATGATTGAACGACAATTTGATTCAAGGGCTGATGTAGTCTTCTGGTGGGCCAACTCTCCCAGTTTAATGAACAATGACGCTCTTAGAGAATTGTCGTTTCTAATCAATCTGACAGCTGTTAGCTGGGGTGGCATCATATTATTAAGTGCCGTTGCGGTGCAGGATTTTGAACGAATGACTCCTTTCGTATCATTGTTTTATGTGAACATGATTCCAGGTTACCGAACAGCCTCTCTATAATAAAGAAGTTTGCATATAAATACACGTACTATCCAAACCATCAGAGTGCAGCATAACAACACCAATCCCACGACTTTTGGCCCTAAATTCAGTTTACCTTTCGAGCGACGATAAATACTAACATCCGTTCTCTATCCATACTCTATACTTCTATTCACCGACTTCATTAAATCACAATGAAGGTCCCCGAAGCCAAACCGGATTATTACGACATCCTCAAAGTACCAGTATGGGCAGAGACAAATGAGATCCGGGCGAGCTATAAACGCCTCGCCTTGATGCATCATCCGGACAAAAATCGAAAGAATCCCAAAGCCACGGCTTTTTTCCAAAGTGTAAGCCCTTATCAGCTGCGATGTGGAAAGAGTTCTACTGACTTTTTGTGTGGTTTAGGATCGAGGCTGCCCACTCTACCCTGTCCGATCCTGTACAACGCTCGGCTTACGATAGTGATCTATATATGCGCCTAGACATTGCGTTACGCGAGTTACATAAGAAGAAAAAAGTGGTTGAAGAAAACTTGCGCATTAACATCCCTAAACTGGTGGACCATCATAAGGTTATAGAACATGAGAAGCAATTGGAGGTGCACAGGCCTTCGGCTCGCCGAACTAAACACGAAAAGGCTGTAAAGGATTATAAAGACATGATCAATAGGCAGGAAAACGAGCTAGCGAGTCTCAAAGCAGAGATATACAAAATAAAGATGAACAAGAATGCGATGCTGGCAAGAGGGTATAAGCCGTAAGAAACCGCTGAGGCTGAAGCTCAACAATACAAGACTTAACAGAGAGACACGGAGAGCAAGGGCGGAGGGGTTACTAGGACAATGAGAGTAGGTCAATAAAGCCGAAGAAAGGGGAAACCAGAGACACCGAAAAAGGTTTATTTTGCGGAAAAGGAGAGAGCAATCCAAATTGACCAGAGCGCGATATGGTGTGGGAACCGAAGGTAGGAAAACTGGAGGAAGAGGAGAATAGGAAATTGAAGCCGACCAATAGAGGAGCGATGTTTTGCCTTTCGTTATCTTGGTCGCTTATAGTTGCGTGTATCATGTGCTTTACAATTGTTTCAGGACAAGATTCATTAATACTACACTGCAAATCGTGTGAACCTTTCCATACATGTACTTTGCTGTGCTCGTGGCGGAAGGTTGGTTTTCATGTGCCACCGCAGCCTTGCGGTTATGAACCAGTACTAGATGCATCACGCGATTGGAGCTCTATGACAATTGGTTCTAGTTTCTTATCATGAGCGCTTAGTCATTTTTGCTTTATGCCAGATCATCTACTCCAAGACACGAGCGAGATTAGGCTCTGGTCTCACATCAACCCAACAATGTAAACCACAAGACCAGCCTTTCAAGGTTATTTCTTTGGGAGCGCTACGAAGAAAGACCAAAAGGCATATGATAAAGCTTTAGGTGCAATTTTATTGCAATTTCTTTTACATCATAATTTTTTTATTCTCCGTTGCATGCTTATCGTCAGTTCTAAGGCTTGACGGGCAATACTGCGATCTTCTGTTATACCCCGCCCTACTTTGTAACCCGCAGGCCACATTCATTGCCCATAGCAGTGATATCTACGTTATGGAAGAAAATCGTATGATCGCTTCGAATACTTTTGGCAATGAGAATTATATCATTCAGGGCAATGTGAACTGCAACCACTACGCCAGCAACCACGCAGAAACCCCCCCAGGGCAAGTGGACAACATTCTAAAATGCCTCTATAAATCGCCATACAAAGACCGAAAGAACAGAAATCCACAGCGAGTGCAGGGCACATGCGACTGGTTTGTGTCCCACGAACACTTTCAGGCTTGGAACGAGAGCAGCTCGTCATGTCTGCTTTGGGTGTCGGCTGATCCTGGATGCGGAAAGTCGGTGTTAGTAAGACACTTGGTCGACTCCGTCGTTCAGAGTACGGCGTCCAGAACCGTGTGCTATTTCTTCTTTAAGGATGATTTCCCGGACCAAAAGAATGCAGTCAGCGCGCTCTGCTGCATACTTCGTCAGATTTTTCTGCAGAAACCCTCCTTGCTTTCTGGGGCAATCTTGAAAAGCTTCAATACTGGTGGAGAGATATTCAACGCTTCATTCAGCGAACTTTGGCAGACCTTTCTTCAGGTAGTGGAGGACGAGAATGCAGGCGAAATTGTCTGTCTTCTCGACGCAATCGACGAGTGCGAAGATCAGAGTGATCAGGGAAGGTCCCAGCTTCTCAAGGCGCTATGCGCCCTATACGGTACTAAAAGGAGCTTTAATATTAAGTTCCTCATCACCAGTCGACCTTACGTTGAAATCCATCGCGGTCTTCAGCCTCTAGATATTCCGGAGTTACCAGTAATTTACCTGAGCGGAGAAAGCGAAGATGAGATGAAGAAGATTTCTCAAGAGATTAATGCCTATGTCAGCGCCAGAGTTCAAGACGTAGGGCAGAGACTACAGCTGACACAAAAAGAACGCAGTCTTCTATTACAAAGACTCATGCAAGTCCCTAATAGGACCTATCTGTGGGTCTATCTTACTTTGGATTTGATCGAGAGTAGCATTAATATCACCGAAAAGATGATACTTGAGGCTACTTCGAACATACCGGTAACAATCGACGAGGCCTACGAGAGAATACTTTCTAGAAGCTCCGATACTAGGCAAGCTAGGATAATATTCCATGTTATTGTAGCAGCTGCACGACCCTTGACTGTCAAAGAAATGAATTTTGCGCTGGTGTCAAGTCAAAGCCGCCAGCCGGCCCCTGATATAGATCTTGTGCCTGATGATCGTTTCCGCGAAAACCTACGGAATACCTGTGGTCTTTGTATCATCATTGTTGACTCAAAGATTTATCTACTTCACCAGACTGTGAAGGAATTCTTGGTCAAAAGGAATACGACAGAGACCTTCAAGAGTGAATCTGATGATTATGAATGGAAGTATTCAATCCAGCCACAAGAAGCTCATATTATTCTCGCAAAAATTTGCATTTGGCATTTACTCGCGGGATCACAGCTCTGGCACGAATCAATGTCATGGCAGTGGAGAGATACCTTTCTTGACTACTCCGCAAAATATTGGGTTTCACACTTCCGCGAGATGGATAGTGAATCACAGTCAATGTTGACAAAGTCAATCCTGACAATCTGCGACGCGGATTCGTTTTGCTGCAAGACATGGTTTGCCGTTCATTGGTCCACTATGCAGACAGTTTGTCCTCAAGGGTTCACTACCCTTATAATGACATCCTATTTTGGACTCGATTTTGCAGTTCAGAGTTTGCTTGATATGGACGTCGACTTGAACGCGCAAGACAAGACATACCAACGGTCAGCGCTATGCTGGGCTGTAAGGAATGGCTTTCGGATGGTTGCTGAGATGCTCATTAGTGGCAGTCGTAAAAAGCTAGGGGTTTTCAAACTACGACTCAGGAAGGGAGCTAAGATCGACTTGCAAGACGAGTCTGGTCGAGCCTCATTGACATATGCCATCTGGAATGGGGATGTCGCTCTTGTCAAGTTGCTATTGAAAGCGGGTGCAAACGTACACTTGAAGGACAGGCTTGACAAAACACCATTATTCTACGCTTTTTGCAATCCAGATCACGAAATAGTTGATCTATTTGTCAAGAAGCAACGGCCGGTTGATGTTGAAAATGATATTAGCACACTACTGTTTTCTGCCCTAGACAATGGACATGAAGAAGTTGTGATGCAATTTCTCAAGGCAGGTAGAGCCGACCTCGAAGCCCGGAACGACTGCGACGAAACGATTCTAATACTCGCCACTCGCACATCTCATGAGGCAATAGTGAAGATGTTGCTTGAGGCGGGGGCAAACCCGAATGCTAAGGACCGCTATCGCGATCCAGCTTTATTTGTGGCTATATACTGTCAAAAGGCAGCAGTCGAATCCTTATTGAGCACGGGAGCAGATTCGAATGCTCGGACAAACGCTGGCTTCTCGCCTTTAATACACGCCTCAATCATTGGCCATGCAGCAATCGTGAAACTTCTACTTGATGCCCGAGCAGATGTAAATGCTCAGACAGATACTGGCGCATCTGCATTACTATATGCCACTTTCATTGGCCATGAGGAAGTGGTGAAACTGTTACTTGAGGCCGGAGCAGACGCGAAGAGTCAGGCAGACGCTGGCGCTTTAGCTCTAATGTTTGCGTCTAATGGCCATGATATCTATGATACAACCATGAGACTGCTCCTTGATGCAAAGGTGGACACACGCTCTGAGCCTTACACGAAATTTCTAGATATATTCTTCAAGAGTCTTGGCCGGAGGGCGCATAGGAGCATAGTAAAATTGTTTCTGGAGGCGGGAGCATACGAAAACATGCAAAGCCCCGATGATATCCCGTCTTTTAGCAAACAACACTGGAATTCGATGCTGGACTACTTGCTTAGAGAAACAGCAGACTCTAATACGATCTAACCGATCACAACGATTACATAAATAGAGGCTGCTGAAGAGGCTAGACGAACTTGGTGAACGCGCCGTTGAAGATCGGGAGGGGCTAGCCAACGAGATCGAATTCTGGTCTTGTGGTATGCCACACTTCAAGGGACAAAACGCGGCGGGTTATTATCAAATGTAACGAGATTCTTATATGAATATGAGAGTATTGCGAAATACCATTGTCTATATGCAAACTTGAAGGGGTATCAATCCTTGAATATCGTCCCCAAAATTTGGCGCACGATTCACTTCTGCCTTTCCATACCATCTAGGTCCTCGAAGTGATGATCATACTGCCTGCTCCTCACTCTTGCGACGCAATTCCTCTTGAAAATCTCTTCGAAATTCTCGCGCATCATGTCGTACTTTCGTGCCTGCGCCACGCGCTTTGTCTTTCAGGTCCACAAAGACCGAACCAAATGGGCGTTTGGAATTGCCGTCCGGCTCACGCCTTAGCTCTCGAGGTCGCAGAAGATACGTCTTGACTGAATCACCGACTGAGAAGAGGCGCTTCACTTTCCTTGCCAACTTTACCCCCGCGGACAGTTTCTGAGACTGGGTTTCATGCGAAGCAATGGAAATGACAGTGGAAACGAGACTTTTGTTGGCTTCATGCGTCTCTGAAAGCCCATTGCCAGTATTGGGACGAGATATTTGCTCTGGCTCATCGGTAATTTGAGCCAAAGGTGTCAGTATGGTTTCAATCGACGCGTCGATTGTGGTCTGAGTCTCCTTGTGACTTTCTTTGGGCCCACGCATCAGCTCACCCAGTCGCGTCACTGAGAAGTCGCACATTTCCTTGACAACGCGATCATATGCTTCTAGCGATAATTTGTACTCTCCATTTTGCAGAGTGTATGCAGGCATCTGGAGAAATTCTTTGACCTGCATTACCGTCTCGCGTACTGTTTCTCTTGGTGCAATGAACCACTCTCTATGCCCTCCTTGGCAATTGAAGCATTCTAAAACACGAATGTTGACATGCCGGAGTATGACTTGAGCAATCCGCTCAGCCTGAGGAGCACCGATGAATCTTTTTGTCTCATAAATAATCTTCGTGTTGATTCCATAGCAGTTATTCGGATGGTGCAATCTCTCCTCAGCGCTCTTACTCGACCAGCCAATCTTAAATAGTGAAGGGTTCTCCTGATGTTCGAGGATGTATATAACGCCCTCTTTCATCTTCTCCGGCGTGGGATGGCAACTGATGACTTGGAATACCGGCGAGTGGTCTCGTATCGATCCACTACGTTGAATACCAGTAATCCCAAGCCCTTGAATGACATTGTCGTCTCTTTCATGGCTGTCTTCTCTCTCTGAAATGGTAGTGTTTAGGCCAGTAGATATCTCAATATCATCCTCTTGCCCGATATTTGGAACGATGATGTTGTCTCGAACAGTTTCTTCTTTAGCAACAACCTCTTGGACAACAGCAACCTCTTCATAAACAATGTCTTCGATGACAATGCTGTCCTCAGGGACAACTTCGGTAACGGATTCTTCCTCAGCAACATCCTCGATGTTAAATCTGGAGATTGTCCCATTACGCTGGGGAGTATTGGGCAGAGAGCTCATGAAAGTGGTGTTGCTACTAACCGAACGAGACTCTGCAATGCTGTCGACGAAAGAGCTGTCGTCATCTGATGTGGCGCTAGCTGATGAAGGTACGAATCGCGTAGGCGTTGAGGGTACAAGTTGTAGTGCGGCCTCAGTTATTGGCTCTATAGTCGATGTACTGAAGGATTGCACCGATGGTGTAGACCTTGAGCTCAAGTTTGCCGATAATCTTTGCCGTGCAACTGGCGTTGGCCGTTGCCTTGAGGTGGATTTATTGAGTATCCGCTCTCTCTTCCACTCGGCGAATGCATCGAGGGCTCTTTGGCGATGCCACCTCTTGCAATGCGAGTAGGTGATGAAAGTTTCCATCTTGTCGTAGAAACTCTCAGCATCGGGAAATTCCGATATCTCTCGTAATTCAGGCAGCAGGCTGTGAACGTGCCATCGTTCCTCCCGTCTGCATGGAGGGTTTCTGCACCTCCCACCGTCAACTCTCTTTGCTCGACAGGTTTCGAAATCGGAGTCTTGAGGATTCGGACATACGTCGGTATATCGTAGTATGTCCGCAAGCTCCCGGAAGACTGGATTTTGCCTCAGATTTTTTGAAGACATTTTATCTTTTGGTTTGATATTGTAGCAGTTATTACTTTGATGGTTGTCTCTTGATGCATAGGCTAATCCATTCCATTCCTTCGATTGATGAGAATCATCAACTATTAATGTGTGAGTGAGTGAGGCTGTGAAGATGGATGGGGGCGCTTGACGAAACTGTCATTATGCATGTTGGTTCTACATTTCTACAGCGTGATCACGAGCCCTGTCTCTCGGCGGGCAGAATTGATAGATGATGGGCTGTTTTTACAACCAACATGCATATCTTTGAAGTCACTAATCGAATTAGACAGCTCGTTTTTCGACAGCTGAAAGTAGGACATGCAATCCATGCCACCCCTGAATCCCGAACAAACGGATGCCCCGTATTCAAAGCGGCAACCCATCGGTGATGAGTGGCCTGAATACAGCATAGTTGGTCGTCTCCCAACTATGAAGTAGCAGGAAGTTTTAAAGTGAATAGTCAACATCGCGCACTCATTAGGTGCCGTGCGATACTTGGTCTCTGGCAATTGGTTTCCCAGAAGCCAAATAATCTTCTGTCGTCATATAGAGTGCACCATACGATGGACTTAATATTTTTAGGATTACCCTGCCCAATGGATTGTAATGATCTCTGAAGCACCCCACGGGGAGTGAATATCTAATTTCCACACCAGGCTTGTCTGTATGCGCTCCTGTCGCCGTTGTTCTCTATTCTCGGTGCCGCTCGAAGCATCACGCACCTCTCATGATTGTGTCCCAAAGCCACGTATTTCCTAGACCTGTCATGGGAAGACAAAACAATCGGCGGCCTCAACACGCCCTCCCAGGCTGTAGCTTCGGCCGCAGCCAACAAGACCGCCAAACGTTACAGAAGGTTGGTTTTTCGTGCTCTCTGAGAAATGTTGTTGGTTCTGCATCCCAAGCAGAGCCCCCGCGAAGAAAAGACCCACGCAAGATGCAACACACTACTGCGCATCAGCCACGCGGATGCCATTGATTATCCAAACCAGATGTAGGATGCTATTTTCGATCGGTCGCGACGGGCCACAACCGCGGTCGCATTAGTGTACACCCACTGTCTCTCGACATCCATCAAGGCTAGCAACTGGGTCAGCGCTTAGATGATGCAATTACCTGAGAATGAGCGATAATTGGTCTATTCGAGAGCTCCTTTCTGCTCCTTTTCAGGTGTCGGGAGCAGCGAGTCTCTGAGTGACAATCCAGGAGGGAACATGCAGCTGGTTTCGTGCGAGGGGCTCACGGAGTTTGGGCCACCATAACCTACACTTCCATTCTAGTTCTCAAACGTCAGGCCTCCCCACAGGCATATTACAATGGATTCGCGCCTCATATTGTAGGTTAAAATTAGTACCATGCGATACCACATGTAAATGTAGAGCACCAAATATTCCACAGTTCCAGCCTTGGTGAGAACTTTACTTGAGTCTCTTTTAAGGCTACAGGTATAGTCACGGCACGCAGAATTAGTCTCATAAATATTATGTTATTAACCATAGTCATTACACGTCGAAATCGGGTATTCATAGGAGAATATGACATTTTGAATCTTATTATCCCCTATTAGTGAAGCTAGATCAAGCGCATCAGTGATGTGAGAAATATCATGTTCGATAGTATAAAAGAGTGACACGAGTACGGAGGCTCTGATCAATATGACACCTCAGCAGAGATAAAAATGCGCACGTATATCGATATTTTTGCGTTGGTGTTATAGAAGCAGAAGCAACTGATATACCACCACGCCCATTCCGGAAACGAAAAAAAGGTCCATCGTATGATTGGGCTAAACTAGATGATATCAAATCGGAATGCTACTGAACCTTCGCCCAAGTCATTCCCAGTCTCTGGAAAAAGGAAAATAGTGATTCCGCTGGAACGTATCCTGCGTATGTCGATTGCCACCAAGAGGCAAAAGAACCTGTAAAGATGAAGAAAAGTTACAAATATGCTCAATTCAATAGACCATAGAACTCACCAGCAGACGGGCCAAGCTCGCCGAAACCTAAAAGTTCCAGGGCCAACGGCATCAATCTCACAAGGACTCCAAAAGCAAGCAGCGACAGCAACACTGTGGCTGCAATTTCGACGGGATGCTCTTTCACGTATTCGAATAAGTCGGTGAAGGTTATTTCCGCAGCCTTGCTTGCTTGATCGTAGGCTTCAGCCATAGCCGGGCCCATCTTCTCGCGGCCATCCCTCAGCACCTCCTCCAATTTCTTCAGGATGTTTTTCGCAAGCCATTCAGACCATCCTGTGGCGAAGACGGCGTCATCGAGTTTCGCCGACAGTAGTGGTCCAGACTTCTCTGCAGCAAGAAGAATGTCGATAACATTATCTGCGGTTTCTTCAACGGTGTGGTGGATGGGAGAGTAAAAAGATGGCTTCTCAGTGATAACGCCGTAGGTGTGACTCGGCGAAAGAGCTGGTGCGCGGTCATTATCGCAGAGACAGCACAAGAAATCCATATTGCTTTGGTTCGATAGCTCTGAAAGATGAAATGATGTAGGAGTAGATTGACCGAAAGAGAGAAATAGAAACGCGAAATTCGTGGGTTGATAGGTTGCACTGGGAGAAGACGGGAACTAGGCAGCCTTACGTCCTTTATTCAATTCTTAGCCGATGCGGCTGTGCGCATGCACGTGCCTGCGTGGCAGTAACTTTGCCATCATTGATTCAATAAAAAAAAACGCCTTGAGTGGCACTATTGAGAGCTGATGCAAGGGAATATTGTCGGTCGAATTGAAGGCTAGTGGTCAATATTCGGGAGGCCTACAAAGGCTGGAATGTGGCTGGCTTTGGAGGCTGCGGGGAGGCCCAACTGCGAAGAGGGCAATCAAAATACATTGACAAGATGAAAGTAGCTACATTTCCAGAGCCTGTCGCTTGATATAGTGACTTGATTCTGAGCTGATGTTTAAGTTTAACTCATCAAACCTTGGAGACGATGGTCGGTGATGTTATTTTTTATACCTGCAAGTACACACAGCTGTTCATCAACACCACCATACATGCATGTACATAGCATCCTCCACCAACTAACTGGTTGCGGGCTACCATTAGATGGCAGCCACCACATCCCGCGATCCCTTTTGCCAACTGGTTATTGATAAATCATTGCTGAGTAGGTCATTTCACGTGCCACCCTTGCAAAGCGTAATTTCTGAGTATCTTTGGTCTTTTGTAGCCTTATGCCTTACAGTGCCAGCCTTGATGCGCTGCCTCCAGTTCCAAAATTAAACCGCTTATAGAGGCTTAATTTCTTCAAAGTGCCTAATTATGGATCAGCTTAATGACAGTAAGAAGGATGAACACGATGAAGATAAGGCGAGAGGGGTAATTGGCGACTGCAAGTTTGTGAGTCGTATCTCAATCGCCGTTCGAGGGATTGGCAGTGTTTCGCATGGTACTGTGGTACCGAATTCCGGCGTAAGCGGCGTTCTTCAGGTCATACTTCAATTTGACTCTGATTTGCGGAGAAACACAAGTGCTATGAGGTCATGATGGTGGATGACTAGTATTACGCAACGCTCAGTGCGAGCGCAGGAGCCTGGAACTTACGCTCTACTTCCACCAAGCTGTTAAAGCAGGTTCCTAGCCTGGTGACACTGCTTTCAACTAAAGTGAAAAAATCACCGAATGCCCCGCTGTTATGTTGGAATTTTCTTTCTGGACATTACATCTACATGTCTAGTAGTACATAGAGTATCTATAACAGTTCTATGCTCACACCCGCAGTGTCTATTACACAGCAGTAACTCTCCCTATTCTCCTCTCTTCAGGTTGGTGAGAATCGCATCTACCATCTGTTGGCGAACTCGATGTGGTATCTCATGCCCGCAGTCTTCGATAATGACAAGCGTTGCCCCTTCAACATCATCTCTTAGAGCCTCGGCGTGCTTTAGCGGGAAAATCTGGTCCTTTGCGGCGTGAATAACAACTGTCGGACATCGGATCTGTTTGAGTAACTCGCGCGGCCACCTCACACCCGACGCATCAGAGTGGTTATACTTGGTCCACATGGTCCCGCTCTGTTTCTCGCGGTAATATGTAATCTCAGACTCCCTTCTCGATTCGGCCTTTTCCTCTTCCGTTGGCGGTTGAGTTGCTAGAGCAAGGTCAAGTCGCATATATAATTGGATCCAACCGTCGTCATCTTCCTTGTCATCTGGGATCTCATATGCTTCAGCTAATAGCCACTGCCCTTCCAAGTGTACCTGAGGCAAGTTATCATGAGGGAGCTGTTGCCTCCCAACTGGACTCGTGAGAACAAGGGCTAGACTCCGAACAACATGTGGTAGACGACTAGCTGTTTGCCACGCAAGAGGTCCGCCCAAACTAGTGCCGATGAGATTCACTTCTGTGAGTTTGAGATGTTTAATGAGCCCTACGATGTCGTCGACCATGTCGTCTAGCGCATATACCGGTGTACCGTCAGAAGGCTTGGCAAAAGACGTTGACCGGCCTGTATCACGATGATCAAAACGAATAATGAAACGTGGATGATCCGGAGGACTAAGTAGCCGAATAAGCCCGTCTGTCTTCTGTGTCATGGCACAACTATGTCCTGAGACGAGAAGTATAGCCGTATCCGATGGGTTGCCGAAGACCTGATAACAGATCCGGCACCCGGACGAAAATGATGCGAAAAGCTCTTCAGACATTTACTCAGGAAGAACTCCTCTAAAGAAAATGAAATTGTCGTCCGTGATTGTTTTCGATAGAATCGCGGTGGTGCTCTAGTAGAAGCTGTTTTGTTTACCAACGCGAGCAGCTTCTTGCGCAGGATTGGAAGAAGTGCGGGGTTTGAGATACCGCATTGTTATCATCAAGCATATGATGTTGGCTGTGTTGATTCTGCGCTTTGGTATTGCATTATAGGCAGATTCTAGTGGGCTAATATTCTAATCAATATCCAACCTTCGGTGTTTCTGAATATATTAAGATGACGTTCGTTTTTTTCCCCTGAAAATAGACTTTACTTACCTATTTATGAAAAGGTCTAAACCCTTTTTCAAAAGAAATGGCGATTGTAACTTCGGCCGGAGCGGGCCGGAGCGGGCCGCACGTAAGAGTAGGATGTACTCCGTATGGATCCGAAGGATGGAAATAATAACTGAACTACATGTAACCACTAACACCCGCAGGCCTGCTAAGCTTGCGTAACCTTTTTTCCAGGTGTAATCTTGCTAGTGGTCCTTAACCAAGATTAGGGATCTAATATTCGACACCTATGTTGTAACAGTGGTTCTCGGCTCGGGATATCTTCGTCATCTGGTTCCAACGGACAAATCGGATGCTGGCAATTTTCTTGGCCTCGAGCTATGATTGGACTAAGTCAAAGATCAGCCCCTTGTGTGTGTCACGATCTTGACCGGAGATGAAATGCAACATCTTCCTACTCTGTCGAGCGACCGATTAGAGCACAAGGCTGCTGACAGTCAGCATCCATTCTATATTCAAAGAATAGGGCGTCATTAGCAGTTGGCATTTAGCGAAAGTCTCTTTTAGGCTTAGGACTTTTCTCGATAATTACTATTGCTAAATGTGGTCTATGCTGGCTTACATCGTCCGCTTATGATGCTGTAACCAGGGAAAAGATGAGGTCACACGAAGAGGGGGCATACCGAGGACACAATTGACCTATTCACATTGAGCATATGGTATACCATTACATCTTCTCCCAAAGAGTTCTCTGCAACCTGATCTATTTCGGCTTTCGTTTCAGCCTCTACCTTCACTTTACTATCTTCCCCGTTGCCGGCTTTTTGCAAGGAACCATGTCTTCAGCAGCTACAACAAACGCCAGCGAAAAAGCTGTAAGCTCACGGTTTATTTTCCATCACTGCAGACTGAAATTGAACCTAACAATTATAGGTTCTGATACTTCGTAAGAAGTTGGGTGCCGATAAGGTTATCTTGCCAGATGACACTCTCCCAAATTTAGGCCAATTTGGCACAACCTTTTACTTCATTGCACAGGCTGCGCAGATCGTCCCTGCATGCCGCGTTCTCCCGGTCAACGCTGCGGACGTCGCGGCAATCCTTAATATAGTTCGGGAGACTGGGGCTACTTTTGCAGTTAAATCTGGAGGTCATAACTCATACGCTTCTGGGACCAATGCGGAAAACGGAATCACTATCGACCTGAGCCGTCTTAAAGACATCACCATCTCTGATGATCGCAAGTCTGTCACCGTTGGTGCGGGCTGCAGGTTCGGCGAAATCTACGAGAAGCTAGAGGCACATGGACTTGCGTGCGTTGGTGGTCGAATTTCTAGTGTCGGAGTCAGTGGACTTACTATGGGAGGTACGAATATATTTAATAGCAAATATGCATTCACTGTCCGGTGGCTAACCTTGACTCAATAGGTGGCGTTTCTTTCTTCTCGTCCGAAAGAGGGCTTGCTTGTGACAATGTTATAAGCTACGAGGTAAGTTTTGCATCCGCCGTCCCTCAGCTGCCTTTGTCGATCGCTTACGGTTCCCTCCCTCTTGAAGCTTGTTCTTGCCAATGGCCAAATTCTAAATGTCACCGAAAAGTCGCATCCTGACCTTTTCTGGGGCATGAGAGGAGCCGGTATCACTCTTGGTATCGTCACTCGTATGGAGCTGAGAACCTTTAATTTTGGACAAATATGGGGTGGTGTCAGTGTATTCGCCCATGAAAACAAGGCTGCAGTTTTCGATGCAATCAATAAGTTTGTACACGATGGCTCAGATCCCAGTACCGAAGCCTTTCTTTTAGCTACTGATGCCGCAAAGGATGGCAACGGCATGTACGCCGTCATCACGTCTCACAGCAATCCCCAATCTGACACCGCGGTCTTTAACGATATTAAAAGTCTCACTCCCCTGACCTCATCGACTCAAATTCGAAGCTTGAAAAATCTTTGCGACGAGATGGAGAGTCAAAATGAGCCAGGTTTCAGGTATTTGCGTTCTGGGTGGCCAAAATAAGGGGATTGAAGTGCTACAAACTAACCACTACTCATAGATTCCGCGCTTCTTCATTGTCTGTGAAATGTCATCTACCAACGCTGAAACAAGTTGACAACATCCATAAAGAATCTGTGGCTCTTTTAAAAGATTGTGATGGTTTTGTGCCCTCCATATTATACCAGCCATTGCTCGGGTCTATGCTTTCAAGGGACAAGATTGGCAATGCGTTGGGAATTAAACCGGAAGACACGCCTTTAATAAGTACGCCAGAAACGCTACATTCCACAAATAGATGAGAGTTTACTGACATGAAATTGAGTAGTTATAGCAATTCTTTGGAGGTGGACCGATATTCAACATGATCAAATTATCATTGACGTTGCCAACCAGTTTGTGGAGAAAGTTGCGAAGGCCGCTCGGGCTCAGGGCACGTTCCACCACTACCAATATCTCAACTATGCAGACAGTCGCCAGGATATATACGGTAGTTACGGAGAGGAGAACAGAAAACGCCTTCTGGAGATCAAAGCAAAGTATGATCCTGAAGATTTGATGTCGACGCTGCGTCCAGGTATCATCCAGTTGTCAGGCTCGCAGAAGGCATGAGGCATTGGAGAAAGACTCTGGCTTTGTATCATGAATTAACGGCTGCTCGGCAGATAATATGAAAAAAAAAAAGATTCTGTCTCTCTTACATGATTTATGATACTGTTCACGATTGGGTATATAACATGTGATTACGTGGGTTTCCGCGCTACACAAAATGGCCCTTATATATACTTCTGATCATGATGCGGTGCAACAAGCATGTTCGATGGCTCGAGTTACTTGGGTAGAGCCAATTTAGTTATTTTAGATCTCTTTAGCTTCACGTTGCTTTGTAGGCCTTCCGTAATGACTCAGTCTCGCTTCACCCCCAACTGTTTGACTGTCCGTAATCCGAGCACGCTTAGCACGCAGACCAGCGTCATGGCAGCAAACATGGTCCAGAAAACAGCGCGGTATCCCAGAAGGGCACTGGGCGAGGCTTTATCGGCGTCAATAGATGCATTAGTGACAGAGGCGGCGATGAGCGAGGTGACAATTAGGCCAATGGCGGTTCCAAGCTGTGCGCAAGTGTTGAAGACAGCTCCGCTCAAAGCCTGCATATGCGTGGGGAAAACGTCCGACACGACGAGGATGCCAACTATGAAGAGGATATCGCAACTCAATGGAGCCAGAATCTACATATAGTTAGAGACAGAACATTTTTATAACCCATGTTTCAAGCAGAAGACGGTATATTTGACCAGTAATTACTCACCTGGGCAAAGAAAGGATCGTACCAATATGGCCAACTGGGATTGATCAGGGCCATGAGAAGTGGCGCGACTGTGCTAAGAGTGGAGGAGATGAGTACCGACGACATAACAGGCATACGATTTACAAAAGATTCCGGTCGATATGTTGCTTAGTGCTCCAGAACAGAAATTAGAGACGGGAGAATCTGTAGTGAAGCATGCAGCGCCGATTGACTCTGTACTTGCTGGAAGCTGAAGAAGAGGTTAACTCATATCCCTGCGAGGACTGTTGCTAGTGACCAACGACTTACAACAGACTGCTATACAATTCCATGCAGTTACACACAGCCGTAGTGAGTAGTACCATGAGGCAACAACTGGTGAACACCCAATTTCTCCACAGCGAGTTGGGGGTAAGGGCATTACGCTGGTGCCTTTCTTGGTATTGCATCCATCCTATGAATACAGGGATTAGGGTAGCACTAATGACCAGAAGGACAATAGTAGACGCCTTATGAATATTCTGGATATTGGCAGACAAGATTCTGAAACCCTGCATTAGCTACGCCGAGGAATGGTAAACCGGAGAGGGATCTGTACGCTAGAACATAGGACAGCATCGCCAAACTTGCAGTCCCAATGAAAGCCCCGATGATGTCAACCTCTCTCAGAATTGTAGACCAAACCGACTTTCTAAGACGGACAACAACCTTCGGCAACGTCCAAATACCAACTAAGAATAAAGCAAAAGTAGTGGCTGCGGCAAGATAAAATGCGGCCCTCCAGCCGGTGCTATCAGCAAAGACGCCGCCAAGGACGAGCCCAAGAGAGAATCCGATCGGACCAGCGAAACCCAAGCACGCGAAACCTAGGTTGCGCGGCCTTCCTTCCTCTAAGCTGGTTGAAATAATAGATATGGACGAGGGAACAATGATGGCGTTCGTGATACCCTGCAAGGCACGAAAGGCAATTAATTGGCCACCGGTTTGGGCCAAGCCGCAGGCCATCGCGGAGATGGCGGCAGTGAAGGCTCCTATCAAACTCATGGTTTTGGTGCCTATCACGTCAGTGATAGAGCCAGCCAGTAACAAACAGGAACCTGCAGTGAGGTAGAAGACAGAAGTAGGCCAAACAAGAAGTCCTTCGTTGATATGTAATGAGGCCGCCATGGCTGGTAGGCCGACAACGACGACGCCATTGCAGAAGCTGCTGAAGAGATTCAAGCCCAAGAGTTGCGCAACAACGAAAGTAGCTCGAGCTTTCGAGCGGATGATGGGCGTTTCACGATCCTCTTCTGGTGTGGCGGGCGAAGAGTCCCTCGAAGCATCATGCAACGCTTCAGCTGGTGCTGATCCAAGGAGGCCACTGACAGGCTGGAGCTCTACCGATTGAAATTTCGTAAGTACTTGTGTTGCCATTTTGCAAACATGTAACACAAGAGCGATGTGACTGATTCGAGTTTCTGAGGTTGTGAAAGTGTGAGTCAACAATTCCTCGGTGTTCCTATCACTAGTAGGCTAGATCCATGTCTTCTTGCAATCCGCTAATTACTCATGATTGTTGGTTCCGTGTTATCAAATTGTGACCACATGTGGATGCACTCATGCAAGAATATGCGGTTGGTCAGCTTGCCTCGGGCGGCCGCTAGGTATTGTGCCAGGCATGCCAACAATTTGGACCCTTCTATCTGTAGACTCAATCTGTGCAATTGATCACCTCAACGCTGGTAATTGACCTCATCATACAGCGCTGCATTTGATCAAATAAATATCTAATATTGCTATTATGTGATCCATCGACTATGTAGCTGTCTGCGCGTGGGAGCCGAAACTCATCTTCATAGTTATGATGGCCAATTGAGTATATCTTGGCTCGCACGTTAACCTATAGACATCCAAGTCTCGTAGTATGGCATACTATGAGGATTCTGACAACAATACGGATTTCATTGACTGCATGACAGATGAACTCGTGCAAGTAGGGAAAACGGTGAAGCAGTAGCATACTAACTAGTAATATCAGACCAGGAGCTCGAATGGTATCCTTCAACCACGAGTCGTAGTTTGAGCGTCAGTTCGATTCTTTACAAACGGGTGCTTGTAAGCTAGGTATTATGGTCACTCTATGAACACACAGGTAATGGCAGATTGCAATTTGAATTGATGAAAGGTGATATTTGCCAGAGGCTAGCATCATCCGCCTTACTACGGATCTGTCGATAAGCTGGTCAAGGTTCCAGGGGGTTGCTCGCCTCTGTTTACTCCGTTACCCAGCGCTGATTTCCCGTTCTCACGGGCCCGGAATGAACCCCGTTGTCATGTCGAGCCTCCCGTATGGAAGCCCTGCGATTGCGCCGCTTCCGTCCCTCAACCCCAAGAGCGCCGAAGCTAAGGCCGGTTGAGCAGTACCACACCCCCTCCCATCATCATCATCATCATAAAACAAATAGCCAAATGCGTTCGAGCTTTTTGGGATGACCTCAAAAGCAGAGGGTCTAGGTCATCCCGACTTCAATACCTCAACTTGGATCGACTGATAATCGTATGGTGGTGCTTGGTTTGGGCATTTCCGATTACTTTTCCATGTCTTAGACGTTCGTCTGCGGATGTGTCGCTATCGCTATTAGATAGATACCTCCAGTTAGATGGTGAGGAGCTTGGAGACACCTCTTTGAACGGAAGGACGATGAACTGGATGTTGCAGAGGTACTCCATAGAGCGTCGGACTGCCGCCTCAATCTCGCCTAAAGTATCGGATTCTTCCCATGACCTAAATCTGACTTCTTCGGCCGTTATTCTATCCCCAAGGGTCGGCCCCAAATGTAGCTGAATGGCCCATAGCGGATGGGCTTCTCTGTCTCGATCAACGTCAGCATTGGCTTGGCCAATCCATGAATCCCAATCCAGTTGTTTAAGAGATATTTGCGCTTGCGACTGGATAGCATTCCAAAATTCGTTAACCGGTAAACCGCGGCTCATATCATGAAATACCACAGTAGGGTTCGTTGTTCCATTCTCTCGATCATCTTTGCTGCTGGGGCTAGAGCAGCCGCTGTGTATGGACATAGGAGGGGTTATAGGTACGGAGGAACCATTCGGAACTCCCAGCTGCGCTTGGCGAACCACATACTTCGCGACATATGTAACCTCTGCTATATCCAGCCAATAGTCTGGCGGGTCAGAAGGAAAGCATCCCATGCGAACTGCTCCGGCGACCAGCCTCCAGATATAGTCGTCTGTGTTGGAAAGGCCAGATACTTGATCACCAATTATGTAGCCAGGTTTGATAACCACGAAGGTCCGGCTCCCATTCGTCGGTCCCCTTTCATCCTCTTGTCTAGAATCGGGGTGGACAACTTTGTTGTATAGGCGGCCTGCGGCTAGTGTCAGTTGCTCCGACACGTATTTGGTCTGGCTGTATGCTTCTGATTCGTTGAGAGCTCGTAGATAATCTTCATCTGATTGATGCAAGCCTTGTTTGATGCCACCAGAGATGAAGATAAAATTTCGAAGGTGTTGAGACTGGAGAGCCGCCTCTAGTAAATGGAAGGTTGAGATGACGTTTGCCCTTTCTAGGACGTCGTAGCTGGCACTGTAATTCACAACAGCTCCGTTATGTATGATTATGTCAATATTGGACATCTTTGTCCACTTTTCTTCTTGTAAGCCTAACCGTGGCTCCGCCAAGTCTCCTAACCAGACTTCGATTCGAGAGAATGCACTGTCTTTCCACCACCCTGCAGTGTTTGCGGCTTTGCGAACCCGTTCTCGGGCAATGTCAATGTCGGCTGCCCGTACTAGGATGATGATCTTCCTCACTTGATGGTTGTTGAACAGCTCACCCAAGATGTGTGTTCCCAGATATCCAGTCGCGCCGGTTAGTAGTACCTGGGAGCCCCGACGTCCTAGAGAATTCGCGTCCGGAAGATTTATGGATATGCTTCCAAGTCGTGCTTCCCAAGCTCCCAGACTTGTAGCTATATCCACCTGTGGCTCATCGACTGTTTGGCCATTTTGGTGATGCTTCACCAGTGTTGCCAGTTGTTGAATCGTAGTCTCTCGACGCAGGAGCTGCGGTACTTGTGTGATCAAATTGAACTCTCTTTTTAATGCCTTAACGAGGACAATAGCACGAAGAGAGTCTCCGCCATATTGAAGGAAACTTATGTTTGTGTGAACCATGGCCGTGTCTAGTCCCAGAGTTTCTGCCCAAAGGCGCTGAAGAGTCACTTCAGTATCATTGCGAGGCAACATAAAACCTTCCTGTGGAAAGATACGACATGCCATCAAGTCTTGAGTGGAAATCTCTGAGGCTAAAGAGCGCAGAAGTTTTCTGTTAATTTTTCCGGACGGAGTATACGGTACTTCAGAGAGCTGGAAATATAGAGATGGCGTCATATAGTCAGGAAGAACTGCCCGTAAAGAACGATCAATCTCTGCTTGAAGGTCCTGTAACAATGTGTCGGGCGCATAGAGAATTATACTTGGTGAACTTGTTGACTGGGCTAGACGTTTCCGTGGCAAGTGTTGGGGATAAAGCTCGAGTTGACATTCCAAGTATAAAAAACAAGAAATGCTGACACTGTCGGTATTTTGGTTGGGTATTATCGACTCAACGAGTACCTCTTTCACTCTGACCGGTGATGCCATGGCTCCTGATTGAAGATAATTCCAGATACTGAACTCGGTCGCACTCAGATCGACACGTTGGCCACGTATTTTGACCATGGTATCTTTGCGGCCGATATAATCGAACGTCCAGTCTCGGTTGCTTCGCACAAGATCTCCAGTTCTATACAGCCTGCCTCGTCGACCCATAACACAGCCATGACCGTGAGTTAGCCATACGGGATCAACAACAAAGGCTCTTTCTGTTTGCCCTGGCGCATTCAGATATCCCATCGTCAACATTGGGCTCTCCACTAACAACTCCCCCACTTCACCGAACCCACAGAGAACATCTGTGTTTTCAGGTTGGACCACCCAACAGTTCCCTGGATGCTTGGATCTTATCTGCGAGGATGCCGAGTTCTCCTTGATTATAGGCGCAAGAGAAACAACAGGACACTCCGTTGCTCCGTACCAATTGAATAGGGAAACATCCATTTCAAATAAAGGGCCAATTCGTGATGTGAGTGCCTCGCCTGTGAGCACAACTAATTTGATTGGCGTCGAGACAATGGCTTCAGCCAACGCAGACATGACTATAGACGGAGTGGTGCAAATGCAATTGGCCTGCATTGTGTTGATGGCTGCGACAAGGTTATTTAATCTCTCTGTCTCTGAAGGAATACAAAGACATCCACCAGCAACCAGAGTCATGAATGTCTCATGGAGGCTTATATCGAATGAATACGAGGAAAACTGGAAAAGCCGGGAACTCTGTCCAAGCTGGAGGATTTGTGATCCACACACCGCAGAAGTCGAGATGCATTCTGGGCTTAGCATCACACCTTTTGGCGATCCTGTACTGCCGGATGTAAATACAACAGCCGCGATATTTGTAGATGTATTCTCAGCCGGGTGCTCTGCACCACTAAATAGCTGATCTTCGAGGCTGAGTTCGTCCACAGCAAATAAGGGTACTGTTGTATCGATTAATATTGTGCTCTCCGATGTTGTGAGGATGCAAGGTGGATTCAGGATATCCAGAATTTCGGCCAGCCTGGCTGTTGGCGTATTGACATCTAGAGGAGCTATTCCCCAGCCTCCGATCAGGGCCCCAACCATGGCTATAGGCATCCATTTTGACTTGCTCGTCACAATTGGCAGTACTTTGCCAGAGTGTTGGCCAATATGTTGAGACAAGAAGCTGGCTAGATTTGATGCCAAACGCATCAATTCTTCATAGGTGTAATTTCCGTCCCAAGCAACAATAGCGGGATGATCGCTCTGTATGCTTGCGCGCTGGGCAATCAAGTCTTGGACGGTTGTGGAAATTACACCAGGTACTTGAGCATTCCGTATCCACAGTTCTGAAAGCTCTGATGCTGTTGTTGAAGACATTGTGGTGAGAAAGAATAAAAGTAAACACGATAAACGATAGTATGTTATAGTCATCAATTTTTTTTTTTGCAAAGAGTGAATCTATTGATTCTCCAAGCGGAGGGATTCAGTTATATATCTTTCCTATCGCATCTACCGAGAAGGTTACGTCTTTGCCCGCGAAGGTACGACAAGATTTAATTCTTGTAATACGAGGCAAGTTGCCACTTCTTGGATTTCCCGAAACTGACACGAGTCTAACCATGAGGGTCACAGACATACCCCAGCTGAGATATTAAATATATCCATCAAGTAAAGCTGCGAAGCGGGTTTACGCAAAGTTATAAACTAAGTGTAAACTACTTTGAGATTTACTTTATTAATATAAAAAAATTAATAAGCTATTATAATTACTAGCTATAAATTAAAATACTAATTAATAATTAGTTAAATTTATATTTTATATTATTTATAATTACATATAATATATAATTTACCTCACTTTTTAATATTATTTCATTTATAAAGTTAATATTATAATGATTTTTGTAATATTAAGCTTTATACTCCTTATATATTATATTATACTAAAACTTATAATATATTTAATTATAATTTTATATAAAGTATATTTAAATAATATTATTTTTTTAATATTATATCAATTATATAAATGTAAAAAAAGGTAATTTTTTATATATATTAAGTAAGAATATATTCAAAAAATATTATAAGTATAGTACTTAAAGGCTGGGGCGTAGCCTTCCTTTGACCTAGCTGTTGAAGCTTTACTGAACCTCTTAATAATAAATATAATATATAATCTCCATAATTAAGTTTTTATATTATTATATATTATAATAATACTAATATATATCAAAATGTTTTTTATCTTGCCAGTTTAATAAATTTATTTAATTTATTACTAAAACTTATTTTTATTATAGTTTTATAATTCTTTTAAAGCTTTTTATTTAATTTTAATAAAAAATCTTTTTTTATATTTTTTATATACTTAATTAAATAAAATAATAACCTTAAAGATGTTAATTTAAAAGCATTATAAAATAAGTATAAAGTAAAGTAAAGCAGGGCGGAAAATAAATAATCTATCAAGTCTAATAGGGCGTTACTACTACTGCCACTCTCTTACGCAGCAGCTTTGCTTACCCCTATAGACGCCTTTAGCAGGCATCCCACTTGTATAAGCTAGATCCTGATTTATTGTCACATAATGTTTTTGAGTCTACTCTCAGTACGGCCGGGATTGAGCGAGACAAGAGCTCCTTGCAAATACTGCAGTAATTAAGACGCAGAGATAGACTACGTTCACGTAGGAACGAAAGCACGGGAATGCAGAGCTATTCTTGGGACGTAATATTACGGTCCGCATTGGCAGAAGAGAGTACTATGTCCAACCATTGGTGCTTGTATTTATCAGGAATCTATGGTTGTCAAAGATGAATAAAAACATATCTAGGTCCTTGCGTTGTTCAGAGACTATCATTGTTAAAAGAGTACTATAGTGACGAGCTGAACAAGTATTCCCACCACAAATCTCCCCCAAAAGAATCGGGCACTAGGACTTCCCGCTGCTAAGGATCACGCTTCAGGAGTGGAAATCACATGTTCCAGCTCATCACATAATGCCAGAACTTCGCCCACGGTGTTGTAGTGAACAAAACTAGCCCGAATGATTCCGTCGCTGTGTGGTCGGAGAACGTCAAATGTTGCTCGTGGTGCCCAGCAATCACCCCACATAAGCCGGAATCGGTCGCGAACATGAATCTTCATCACAATGTCACTAGACTTACGCCCAATGACCTCGAATATGACAATTGACACTCGCTGGCTTGGATCTTCGGTCTGCTTTCCAAACACTCGATAAACCGTGGGCCGACTGAGCAAGTAATCCAAGAAGACTTTGGTCAGGACTGTCTCCTGCTGGATGATAGCGTCCCATCCAAGGTTGCTTAAATACTTTGAGATGGGGCCACACATTGATTCCAGCTCGTAACAAACATTGCCTAGGTGAATTTTGCCATCAAGGGTAGAGGCGTCAAGGAAGTAATGGTTGATACTGCTCATATAGCGGTCCTGTGCGCGACGGTGTGCGTATAACTGCGCTATATGTGGACCGAATACTTTGTACCAGCTGAAGCAGTAAAAATCCACGTCAAGTGCTTTGACATCTACTGGACGGTGGGGAGCCCAGGCAACTCCGTCCACAGCAATCATGCAACCAGGGATGGTATGAACAAGATCGGCCAGCTCCCGAATTGGATGAATCGTCCCAACCACGTTAGAGACGTGATTGCAAGTAACGAGGCGCGTTTTGGGGGTCAGAAGAGGCTTGAGTGATTCAACCGTGAGGCAAGGGCTATCATTCTCGTCTTGAGATGGTGTCCACCATTTGATGGTGATGCCCAAATTTCGAGCAAGATATACCCACGAGCTTGCCGCCGCTTCATGGCACAGAGTAGAGCAGACCATCTCGGCGTCCGAGTTGAGATAAGGTTGCAAGGACTGGCTTAATAGCCGTAGTAAAGCAGTCGTAGACGGTCCAAAAGCTGATACAAAACGCTTGGTGAGCAAAATAGAGCTCGGTCACAAGAAGAGAGCCATTGAACCTACCAATCTCTGACGGATCCGCATTGATGAAAGCCGCACACTGGAGCCAATTGATCGCATACTCGGCTTGTGCCGCGTCACTTCGAGGATCTCCATCTCCACGGTCAATTGGCATAGAAATCATCCGTTCACTTGCTCTATTTTGTCGATTAATGACATGAGTACTCTCAAAGGCCAGTTTAGAACATACATTGTAACAGCATCCCCCAATACCACTGTCCCCGACGCATTGTTGAACAGTACGGTCTCCCCACTAAGAACAGGAAAGTGACTTCGGACTTGGTTCATATCAATCGCATCACGAACGGCATCGCCGAACTTGGCTTTGTAATTGCTAGAATACGTGGCCTCCAATGTGTTCTGTCCATTAAGGTGCTGAGAGGCGTGGTTGCTGTTTTGACCCTTAACAGACGAGACTTGTTCGCCATCTACCGCGGTAGTACTTGGTGCCATAGCTGATGGAAAATAAAAACTAAAGAGGGATAGAATATAGAGTTGTAATGAATAGAGTAAGATGTATATTGAACCTGGAGCGGACGGGGAAGAGTTTATATTGTGCCCTCAGCTTCGTCTTTTGACCTCGATACACCGTTATTTTCCGACGCCCCAGTCTTTTTTCTGGTCGCAAAGAGCGGTTTACTAGGCAGTCAGGTGTCTCAGTAAGAATCTGCAGCTCTTTGATATGACCTGTCAAGCGCCTCCAAAAAAATAGTTTTGATATACGAAATACGGATCCGTCACATTCTCGGTGGGTATATGCCAAGATTTGATGAGGCCCAACGTAGGGAAGCTGTGACAGATGCCAATATTCTATAAACAGAAGGGTATAACTATGCAAGAGGTATGTATAATACTACGTGTTGGTCATGTTTCGGAATTCCCGTTGATACAAGGGCTGCTTGGGCGCTAGAAACCATTACCTCTAGTAGGATTAGAATCCATCCTTTCTAGTCATCGGAACGAAACAGGGAACGGAGATTGCAGATGGATGATTAAATCGTAAATAGAACTATGTTCCAAATCTAATATCCAATCACCCCTAGCTTTGCACTTCAACAGCCAGCATACTATTTATACGGCGCCAGAAAGAGGAAGAATCTGGGAGTAAGCACTGACTTGAAGATGTCTAAGTCCGTAGATTGCTTGCAAACTCCATTACAATTCCTCTCTTTGGTCCTTGTAGTCCGCCTCCGTCTCAAATTTACCGGTCTCCATTTCCTTTAGAACCATCATTGAGATGGCTTCATAGGCAAGATTTGCAGCTGCAAATGCCGTATCACCCCCGGCGCTGTCGTAGGCTGGAGTAACTTCCACAATATCAAGGCCAACAACGTTCAACTTGGAGAGGACAGTCATGATTCTCATCATCTCGCGAGACGTCCAACCGCCCGTTTCGGGAGCGCCGGTTCCCGGGGCAAATGCCGGATCAAGTACGTCAATATCAATACTGACATACACGGGCACATCTTCCCCGATTGTGTTGTAGATTTTCCTGCTGATAGCATCAGCGCCTTCATCGTCCATCTCTTCGACAGGAATGCGCAGAAATCCGAGGGAATCGTCGCTGTGGAAATCCTGCAAGCTCGAAACTCTACCATGAACACCGGCATGAACTAGATGACCCGGGAGAAGGAGACCCTCCTGAGCTGCCTGCCAGAACACGGTCCCGTGATGAATCTCAGAAGCTTGCGACTTCCAGGCCTTCCTTGGATATGAGTCAGGATCCATCGTGTCGATGTGTGCATCGAAATGGAGAAGTGCGACAGGCTCTTGTCGAATCTTATGTAAAGCCCGGAGCATGGGAAGCACAATAGAGTGGTCACCACCAAGAAGCACCAGCCTAGGATGACTCCATCGGCTGTTCTGCGACGTAGAACGTGACAGCAGCTCGGTTAGGGCAGCACCCATCTGTTCCATCGCTAAAACGGGGTCAATTGGAACGACGGGTATGTCGCCGCAGTCTAGAACAGATGCCCATGATTCGTAAGGGTTGAAATGAAGGCTGGGATGGAAGCTTCTCCCCGAGAGATGGCGCCCAGATGCCCATCGGATTGCCTTTGGGCCCTCACGAGCTCCTATTTTTGTGAGCGGCGCTACATTTCTGGATCAGACGCAACCTTACCTGATCGGTACGTAGTAAGTGAGTCAAAAGGAATGCCCACAACGGCTATATCGAATATTTCGGAGCGATTGACGAGGCATCTTGAGTATGGGAGGTGATTGAATGTCGAGATACCAGAGAATGCCCACTATCCAACTTGAATCAGCCACCGTTGCATCGGTTGGGTACATGTAAGGAATACTCACATCGGAGCCCCATAGATCTTCAAGAGTAGCCTCCGAAGATCCTCTGACGGACAAAGAAATGGCAGCTATGAGAAAGAAAAACACAGGCAGTCGCCGAAAAGAAGCCACGGCATGTGAATTCATTTTCCTAGGGCTTGTATGAAAACGGTGTCAAAGAAAAAACAAGAAAGTAAGTAAGTACGGATGGCAAAAACCGAAAAGATCTTCTTCCTGGATGCTTTTCTAGATTGTCAGTCCTGTGCGGGCATGTTGGATTATATGGTTTTCGAGCCATATTTTAGTCCACCGAGCTGTGCCTGCTGCCCTGTTCCCCCCGGCCACGGACAGGCTTGTAGACTGTAATGAAGGTCACCCCAAAAGGTGTGTGCCAATCAGTGATGTAATTTGCTATTGCCGTCGCTAGGAGGCGCATCCGTTAATCATGTGTTGAAACTACATGCGATTAGCTGACGATATTCATTACAACCACCTCAACAGCGGCGTCATGTCTTCTATCCTATCAGACAAAGATCAATCGCGTGACCAGTATTGTAGTGGAAGAGTGGCTCTGTATTTAATAACACGGCTCATACGGCCACATCTTTACAGTAGAAATAGCTTGCTTGGATGCTTTCTCTATGCTTGAATTCTATCTCTAAGTAGTATTAAATAAGATTAAAATCCATCATCCATTCCAATTGCTAATATCTAGACTACGGTGCGTATCGCTTTGTACCTACCAACCGAAATCGGTACCGGTAGGCCCAAATTATGGCTATGGGCCAGGATACCACCACCATACCCGCAGCATTAAATCTTATAACATTGCAAGAAATTCATGGACATGACAGGTTCCCGTTTCACAGAAACGGTATGACTTACATATTTTCTTTATAGGAGGGATAGCTATCTATTTCGTTACAGTCCAAAGGGCTGTTCAAACTTTCACCGTGGTTTCCAGTCTCTTGGAGATACTGATACCAATTATCGGCAGGTAATAAAGACACCGGGAGTTGGCTCATGGTATAATCTGAGCGCATGGTAGAGATCAGTTGTGCTAATAAGTGTCAGCATGCATGTTGAAGACTGCCTCAACATCTATGGTGTACCTTGGCTCGCAAAGTCATATTCGGGAACAAGGAGTGTTGTATTCGTATCTGATCAGTGCTTGTAAGTTTTATGATCCTAAAAGAAAATAATTCTAATGTAGAGTAAAGGTTTACCAAAGAGTAAAGGATTTTCATCTGCGCTTGGTATCATCGATTCTGTTGGTGCCGTTGGAACGAGGGGGTCAACGCTTGAGAACGAATTCAACTGCATTGGTTCACAGGAGACTTGCGGCGTTTCTCCTGATTTGGGCATATGAGTATATGAGCATATGGGCACATCAATGGATACTTCTGAAAGCACTTTAATAAGGCTTACCATTTGTGTGTGTATGCTTCTTGGCTGTCATATCTCTCAATGCCGACGCAATGTGGTTTCCTAGCTGTGAAAGTTCCAAATCCCTCACAAGCTCATCTATACCCAATTCTTTGAATTTGACAGCAGCGGCGTTCATTTGATCTCTGGTGCATCTGGATGTATACCTACATGATCATCTGTCAGACTCTAGCCATGCGTCCGGGCGTTGAGGCGTACGCTGAGTGCGGCATGTCCGAGGGCAATGCTATGAGATACCCGAGATCTTCTGTTTCACTGAATATTTTGATCCACTCATGATACTTACAACCTTGATCAACGCAGTTGAGACATTTGTTCGCCGCTTTCGGGCTTTGAAAACGGTCCGGAAAGTCTTCACAAAGCTTCTTGATTAGAGTGGAGCGCCCGTCTCGGACCCAGTGCATACTGGTATGGTATCCAGCCTCCACGACATGACTGTAAATGTTAAAGCATTCAAATCTATGATAAATTCTCAGCAGATCCCGAATGTCAGTGTTTTCTTTTTTCGTGGCAAGGGCGGCTTCCCAACCCTGCCCATTTGGAAGAGCTACTTTAGCTTCCTCGATCGCGCGAAGAAACTGTGCAGGGTCTGTTTTGCAATTCTCCAAGAGTCGTTCAGTACTCGGCATGAGTTTAATTTCAACACATGCGGATAAACGGCTGCTTCCCCAACTGTTATGATCTGCCCAGTTTGAAACAGCGGTTCCGTCACGTTGATATGGGGTGGCGACTGTGAGAGTGGGTAATTTTGCGGTGGTATTTGAGGTGGGCTGCTGGTATGGAGCGGTTTGGGGTGAGCAGCACATGTTGGGTATATCCCGGTGGTTATTCTCATCTGATATCAAAGTTACCAATCCATCTCCAGCATCGATGCCTCGTCGCTGTTTCGGAATGTTGACGCCATTCGCAGAGATCAAAGGAGAGGAGGTCCCACGTCCTTGCAGATGATGATGGACGAGTACGCTCGAACCATCCTCTCTCTCTGGCCATTCGCGTCCAGAAGAGGTTGTGCGATTATTTTGATGGTGTCCAGGTTCTGCAAGGCTCATTTCGTTCACGTCTGGTCGGACATGGACGTTTTCAGACAGGCCCGTAGCGCAGCCGGAGAACCCATTAGTGAGCCTCTGTGTCGTCCGTAGTCGATGAATGTCACTTCTCTTCGTGGGCTCGGTTAGCGTATGCGTGGGGTCCTACTGAGACAAACCAACCTTGTTCTTACAAAGCAAGAAGAATAGACGGTGTAGTGCAGAGATTTCGTTTGTTGAAAGGTGCTGGAAACAGTTAGACACTTGTGCCGCCGATATTCTTTTCTCATTGGCGCTGAGGAAACGACCGAGTTGTGCAAGCAAGTCTTGTAGATCAGGGTTCGAATCCGGCCCGTTCTGCATTGTTGGAAGTAACGAACTCGCATCAGAGAAAGATGGGCTAAACACGGCCGGGAACGGTTATTGACGCCGATTAAAGTTGGAGAGATATCGTGCAAAGGAGCGGGGATCTCACTTGAGGGTGCACTAGTTTCGATGTTATATCAAGGGATTTCGCGAATGAGGTAAGAATCGACATATTCTCAGCTCAAGAGACAGGTAATACTTACAAATCCACAGCGCTAAACTCATTGTATCAGTGCTTTTATCGTCTTCATGTGGTGGCTTATTCATTTTACGTTCCGTGTATTCTTGCAGACCCCTTGCGCACTAACTTACAACAGGCACCTATTGTGAAACATAAGAGCGGGGATCTCTGCAGATCTACATTGTATGCCATGCGCCGGGGCGGGATAATAATAGGTCAAACGCGGGACACGAAGTAATAGTGATTACCCGTTGACTCCACCTTTGGTCAGCAACTTAGAGGCGTAGACACGGCAAAGAAGGTGAGGAATGTCTACTGCTAGTTGTTAGATTGGACTTCTCGCATTAATGTCGTAAGGGCAGCTTTGCTTACTTTAAGAGAAAATATTATCTTATAGCATTGCCCTCAGATATACCGCACTTAGCGTACGCCTTAGCGCCCGGACGCATAGCTAAAGTCTAATAGATAATTATATAGGTACCTGTACCTTATATATCTAGATGCACTAGAGATTAAATAAACGCCGCTGTATTCTTCTAGGTATAGGATTTGGCATAATAGCCTAAATACCTGTTGTAGCAGTGCTACGCCTCCAGGTGGAGCTAATGGGTAATATATATAATATATAGCTTACTATAAAAAAAGAAAACACTGATATTTAGGATCTGTTAAGAATTTATTATAGATTTAAATACTTTAATATTTACAATTATATCATGGAGGCTGGATTTACCTTTTTATTATAATTATATTACATATGTAAATTAGGTATTATTTTTATTATTTATTAAGGATTATAGCTGCTTAATAGCGTAAGGGTTAGAATAGTTACCGCCGGCGGGCTTTATTAAGGAGGAAATTTATCTATTACTTTTAACACTAATACTATTAATCTTTTACGCATTATTGTTTACATTTTTATATAAATTACTAAGGAATTAGAACTAGCAAAGGTATATGCCGCGTTTTAGGGCGTTTTACTAATTTTGGACCTAACTTAGAGTCATAGACTCTAAGTTGCTGACCAAAGGTGGAGCCAACGGGTAATATATGTGAAGTTAGCCACCCGAATTCGTGATATATACAATAATAGCAGCATCATTGGGAATACACGCGCAGCTGAAGTGGTCCTTACCTAGGCTAATGCTTTTTGCCACAAGTCGCAAATGCGACATGTATCTCATTGTGTAATACTGCTCCAGAGAAAATTAGAAATTATATATGTTTTCTAATAAAGGCAACAAAAAAGAGAGGAAGAAGAACGAAGCTTACATTAGTCCATGATCTAGGCCTAAAACTTGATGTGATTTCTTGTGGCTTTGGAGTCGTATAAATGGATGAGACTTTAGCCATATGTAATTGCCTAGGTAGATCCATACATTGATGTCCAGTCATCATGATGACTAGGAATTAAGGATAATGAAATTGGCGCCTGGATTCAAGACATCGATCTCGATGGCGTCCCTTGCAGCTCGTGTGCGGTGATGTGTCTCAGCAAGGCCCCACATACGCACGAATTTCTGAGAATTTCATGACCTTGTGTAACTGTATGACATATTTCAAGTCATTTTAGCCTCTGTTCTGGGATAATGGCTGATTGAAGAGTTCGAGGGCGTGGCGATAAGTCATCTGAACATTTTGTTGCAGACATGAGGATAGCGCACAGGCCCGTCCCGCGGCCCAACATTCGTGAGGTCGGTTGAGCAATAAGCGAGCGAAAGCAACAGTAGATCAACGCATGAATCAAATTGATGTATGTTGAACAGCTTGGGGGCAAATATTCACTCGCGATAGGTATCCCTAAAGCTTTGAGAATGGGGGATGGAGTCGCTTATTTATACTACATCGCTCTGACCAAATATTAGGCAAGGTCGCAGGATGACTAAACACAACGGTCTCATAGAAAGGCCTATGCAACGGGTCATGCAATCTTTCGCATCCTATTCTGCGATCGAGGAGCAAAGGTGAGAAACTACTAATTGTAGCAACAATGAAAGTGTCCAAATTTAGGAGAAACGGGGTTTTCCCAATAACTCTATTATGATTACTACCTACATAGTATTAGTCAAGTTGAAGTCGGAGTTCAGAGGATTGAGAGTGAGTGACCTTTACGGAATCTACAAAGGACTGAGCTACTCTCCCCAACGAAGCTCTGAGAAATATTTTCCATATCCTTGTAGAATAATAAGAAACAAATGGGAAATGGAATTATTATTTAGCTGAGTGGGAAGTATATTAAATAAGTATCTATGCAGAGATATGGGAGGGTTCAGTCTAAAGGTACCCTTTGATAGTCGTAATATTTAATGAAGGGCCGCAGCAAGGCGTGGATCAAGGGACAAATCGATTGCCTGCAATATATCCTAGCTAGCCGCGAATTGAAATGAAACGCAGGCTGCCAGTAGCAAAGGTTGAATGATTGTGCCGTATCATGCTCCAGGCTCTATTGTCAAGTTCTTTCCCTTGATATTGATCCAAGGTATCCCAAATGATATCAAAACCGCAGCTGCAGATGCGGCCGCAGAGAGATAAAATGTACCTACAAGAGCCTGGTTAAATGCGCCCAGAACAACTGGCAAATCTTCTGGGGGCACCAGTTTGCGAATAGCTCCTGACCCACTGACGAGCAGGCTTTGTATATCAACGCCGGGGATATTTGTCGGCAGCTTATCAATGAAGATATTGGCAAACACAGCTTGTGAAATCGCTAGAAAAATGGCACTGCCAAAGAATTGAGAGAAAGTGGCTGTAGAAACGCCGACAGGACTCTGTAAAGTCGGCAAGGTGGCTTGCACCGCTACAACGGGCATTTGGGCCATCATGCCGAATCCTATACCTGGAAGGATTTGGTAGCCGATCCAGTGTGCAGAATTTGTGTCGACATCAAATGTAGCATAAAGTCCCATACCGATAGCCATAAGAGCACAGCCAATGTAGACCCAGGGGTTCAGGGGGCCTAGTTTAGGAGCCAATGCTCCAGATAAGAGAGCGGCGGCGATTTGCGGAACGAACGTTGGGAGGCTCATGACACCGCTTCGGATTGGGCCTGCTCCTTTGATGACTTGGAACCACTCTGGAAGATAATATACGACTGCGAATATTGCGCCGTATGCAAACGCCAGAGTGAGGCTGCTGAGGGCAACAGTGCGGTTGACGAGTATGGACATGGGTAACATGGCTTCTTCGCCTTTATAAATCTGCCAGAGGACAAAAAACACACAGAGACCTCCAAATCCGAGGAAAAGTCCAATAATGGTCGCCGACTTCCAGGGATATGTGGATCCTCCCCATTGTAGTGCAAGTAGGGCCATCAAGATTGCCGGAATGAAAAGAGCTGCACCGATAAGGTCAAGAGCCCTGATGCGACGGGTGATGGGCTCGTTTTCTATATCTCTCGTGGGAGGATTGAAGGCTACTACCAACACTGCTCCGGCTACGGCACCGATTGGTAGGTTGATATAGAAACACCATCGCCACGATACGTGTTCTGTAAAGGCTCCCCCGATCAAAGGGCCAATCACAGTCGCAACGCCAAAGAATGAGGATATAAACCCAATATACACTAGACCGTTTGGTTAACTTCAGGGGGGTACATTCGTGAAGGAAGGTGGTTCTTACGTGGTCTCTTCTCAAGCGGAGCGATGAATGCGACGATGGAAAAAGCACCAGATACGATGCCTGCTCCTCCGGCTCCTGCAACAGCACGCCCGCCGATAAACATATTAGAGCTCACAGCCGTGGCACATAGTAGAGAACCAAGCTCAAAGACGGCAAAGAAGGTGAGGAATGTCCACTGCTAGTTGTTAGACTGGACTTCTCGCATTAATGTCGTAATGGCAGCTTTGCTTACTTTGAGAGAAAATGTTGTGTACAGTTTACCACTTAATGGCTGCAGTGAACATCTTGAGAGGGCCAATGTTAGCACTAATGCAGGATACAGTAGTATAGAGCTAAGAAGACGTACAACGCGAGAAAATATGCGCTTCCATACCACCCAATATCCTTTGTGGATTGGAAACGATCTGTGATATATGGAATAGCCTAGAAGAGCATAAACCGGTTAGCCTAGTTCTAGTGGTAGATTCGCCATTCATAGGACTACCAACTGTAGCAACAATGGAAGTATCTAGGGCAATAAGAAAAACAGGCAAACTCAGCCCTAAGAGGATGAAGGCCACTGCCGTTGGAGAAAGTGATGGCTGGTCTGAGGGAGTTTCCGTCTCGGCTGGTTGTTTAGTGTCGCTGTCCGCATTGTCGTCAATGCTTGTTGCCGCTTGAGATTCTTCCTTAGACATGACGAAGGGCCTCTTGAGCGCTTTCATTTACAATGACAAATAAATGCCCTGCTGAGAATCAACAAGCTGGCCAAACGTAATAGAAGAGAGAGGAACTAGTTTAAATGTAAAAGTTTCTGAAAAGTGTGTGGATATTTCCGTAGCCACGGAGTACTCCGTCCGGAAGTTAGACCGCCATTGATGATATACATTACTACGAACTTTAAACATCTTACACATTCCAACTCCGCTGCGGAATTAGGCAACGTGTAACTCATTTCTGTATGCTCTTCAGGCTCTTTGCCATCGGAATTAAGAGAAATGGGTTCAATACATTGGCTGCTGGCATAGTTGACAGTGAGCCACAGTGTCAACGGCCTTCATTTGCGGATGCTAAAGCATACGCAGTCATCAATTTGTTAATGATCTAGCACATTAAACACTCCAATAAGAGACATCGCAAAAAGGGGGGAAAAGGCGTGGGGCTGAATTAGTGACTTAAGGCGCATAGGATGGATGCCGGATGAGAACTTCAGCATGTTCAGAGGATGTATTTCGGGATTATAGAATCTGTGTGAGGATCTCACCAAGGCAACAGTGTACCTGTTGTTGCTTCATTTTCTATCCAATATTTTACCGTGTCTAATTTGCCACAAGAAAAGTCCATATCACAGGAATGCCGATCCACCTCCGAAAGTAAGAAAATTTCACATAGTTGACACAGATCCCTAATGATGTGCATCTTGCCCGCCGTCTAAGAGAAATCGCTGGGTTTCTATTCGGCAATATATAGATCTACTAAAATAGTACAGATTCTAAAAAAGGAAAAAAAGGTCTTGGCGTCCCGATCTGGCCAATTGGTGCCCGCTGACGGCGCTCAGGGAAGTGATCAGGGGCGAATCGCCTCACTGTTGCTCTCTGTTGTGCAAGTGTTGGATTCTTATCAGTTATTGTCACAACTAGGCGTATTGATTCATCAACCTGGAAGCGTTTGGCATGCGGAGAAGCTATTTCCGCTCCGCAGAAATGGTCAATAAGTTCATGACTAAGACATACATTCGAGGAGGAAGCTCCCAACCTAGATCCCCAACCCTGCAAAAGCCTGAAATGTGTCATTATTGGGTTAAACTTAACAGGATCCCTAACTCCCTTAAAATATCCCGTAAATAAGGCGGCTTTAACATGTAAAGGGTACCCCCATCTATAAATTGGCCTCCTCAACATGCGGAAAGACTAATCAAGCCATTGCTTGCTGAGCCGGTAACAGATAATCCGCAATATTCCCAATCGGACATTATGCTCTTCATAAAGCGATGTTTAATAAACCAGGCAGTCTCTTTTCTTCAGGGATCTCGCGTCTCAGTCGTCAAAGTGTGTTAACGTGTCCTTATAGCTACCTAATATAGACAGTAGCTCTTAGCACACATTCCCAAAACAGTAATATCTCAATTGCTCTCGGATACGGTATTTCTGCGATAGTCTTCACTCTACGAGAGGCTTGCCACGATTATGAATCCATTCGGATTTGTTATATAGCCACGAATGATGTGAATTAATAATTCTGAAATGATTGTTCAGCAAGGTGGACTTTAAAACTAGAATTAATGTATATAAGTATGGGCAATAACTCGAGGAGATAGGAACTTTGTTCAATACCATCATACAATCATTATACACCAACTTCACCACAAATTCATAAATCTTCATCATCATGGCAGAATTACCTGCAGCTATCCCTAGAGGCTCCCTCGTCCTCATAACAGGCCTTACAGGCTTTATTGCGACACATGTGGCACAGGAATTTCTCCGCCAGGGATATAAAGTGCGCGGAACGGTTCGCGATGTTTCTAAGGCATCTTGGCTCACAGACGATTTGTTCTCGGCTGCGTATGCGGCTGGCAACGTAGAGCTTATCCAGGTGCCAGACCTTGGAGTTCCTCATGCTTTTGATGATGCCATTAAAGGGGTTGCAGCTATCGCTCACGTTGCCACTGTCTCGAACCTTGATCCGGACCCGAACCAGGTTATCCCACAGACTGTGTCTGGAATTGTTTCGCTTTTAAAAGCCGCCGCTGCAGAACCCTCCGTTAAACGCGTAGTTTTCACGTCCTCAGCTGGCTCAGCCATGATGCCCCTTCCCGGCGCGTCGGGACATGTCGGCCGCGATACCTGGAATGACACGGCTGTGCAGGCAGCGTGGGCACCACCACCGTACGACGCCTCCCGCGGCATGATCACCTACATGGCGAGTAAGGTGGAGGCTGAGAAGGCTGTTTGGAAGTTCCTTCAAGATGAGAAGCCCAACTTCGTACTTAATGTTGTGAGCCCCTTCACCACATTTGGCGCTATGCTTCACCCCAGCCATGCAAGAGGTACAGCTGGTTGGGTTAGCGGGTTGTGGAAGGGCGACACAACCTTTGCTGGGTTGATGCCTTCTTGTGAGTATCGCTTCGACCATCCCTACAAAGAGTTTCTTAGAGTGCTAATAGTACGACACAGCCATCTACGTTAATGTCAAAGATGTTGCAGTCCTCCATGTCGCTGCAGTCCTTGATAAGGACACTAAAGAGGAACGGATCCAAGCCTGGGCGACTCCTTTCAACTGGAATAATGTCTTGGCTATCATGCGCCGTATTGATCCAACCCATCAAGTTGTTGATGATTTTCCGGTGCCACCAGCAATTTCTACAACAGCCGATGACACTGTTCCACTAAAGCTGTTGAAAAAATGGGCTAAGCAAGATGGTTGGAAGAGTTTGGAAGACTCCGTTCGGGAGGCTTTGAGCAGTTCTTCATAGATATTGAACAGTTGCCACATTGGATTAGACGTATAGTTACGTCCCATATATTACCATGAAGATATATTAGGAAGAGCACTGAAACGGTGGCCTGCCAATCTATATGAAAGATTGATGTCAATATACTGAAATAGTGAAGGGTCTTGCAAATCTCCATCATGTAGCACCTCGTTCAATATAGAGGCCAATCCTATCAAATGGTATCATTCTATTCCGCCATTAGGTATACAATATAGTGAATCCTTTGTTCAAGAATCTGAACCTCTAGGAGTACAAGTTTCTTTTACGTATTTTCAGTAAGATATGCCACCATCAACACCGGTATTGAAGACGGAAAGCTGAATCTCAATGCTTCAAGACTACCATTTCCGCCGCAGGGACCAAGCACAGTCTGCTCTGAACATGACTTATGTGTAGACTGTCAGTAGCCTCTGGCCTTTATACGCAATCCAGGTCATCGTGAACACTAGCACCAGATTTGTGTCCTTGCGTAGAAAGGTTTTGGAAGAAGCTCTATTATTATACAGCTACTAAATAAAGACATAGCTTCTCATATAGTCTCTCTAGTGCTTTTAAGGTTATAATTTTGTAACCTTATTTTCAGAATGCTTTCCAAATTGCACCATTGAAGAGCCTTTCTCAAAAACCCATTGACTCCGACACTCGATAAGCCTCCTTTCAACTTTATCATGTTGTTCATACCTTCAAAATGCAGAGCTGAGGCATATAGGTCATCGCACATGAACTACACCATAATTTTATTAGACACTGTCTCTCGGCATATTCAGTTTCTGACTTACTTCATCTGCACATAACAGTAAGGTTTTCGCAATTGTAGTCTCGGTAATGGTTGGTCCTTCTGCTACAATAGCCTCATTCACAGATCTGATGCACTCGAGCTTGTACATCATTGCAAGTTGAGAATACTCATGATTTGCTTGGGCTCGATGCTCGCGGAGTGCAAGATTACGACATGAGGATAGTAGTATACCAGCTAACAAGCCACTGTCTGTGACTACAAAGGGAAGCCAATACAGTTTCACACCTTCAATAAATAGGGTCTCCTCGTCGCCATGGTGGCACCAAAGGTGGGCATCTGGGATAACTGATTCTGCATCTATGGCAAGTTAGCGGTGTGCGAGTAGAAGACTCTCAAAATTATTCGTCTGGCAGCCACTTACAGTAGTCGAGAAGAAAATGTTCAAACTTTGTCATTGGCCGTGCAAAGCAATGGAGTAAGTCGCTGTAAACAGGAACCATTAGGTTCACTGGCCAATTTATACTCAAAAAAGAGATCTCATTAGTATCCATCTGGGGTTTTCTCCCCCTCTCATTCCCCTTCGGCTGTGAGGACGACGCGCGATGCGACGCATGGATATTTCGTGCCGCGTGTGACCGAATACTAGAAATCGCAGTTGACGAGGTGGCATCTTGAGGATGTGATGTGTTGATAAATTCCAGCCCAATCCTCTTTCTCAATCGTCTATTTAATTGTCCGGATGGTGTTGTTTCAGCCACTGAATCATTACCATGTTCAAGATTCGCTGGGGGTTGGTACCGTCTCCAACGACGGATTCGTGTCTTTAGCTGTGGCTCGTTTGCAGTTCGGCTGCCTCCTGATCTCATTATTATGTATTGAGGGATTATTGCTTAGAGACCTCAAGTTTCCTAGGAAGATGTTCATGAGGGTATCTCCTGGACAGCTGCGGTGACCTTCTATCATGAAGTTGAGTCCGAGATTCTGACTAATGCTGATATGTTTGTAATCAGCACAGACAGACTTTCGTATCCACTTACACATTCCGAAATGGGGAATTTCGGAAATGATTCCTAAATCCGCGTACAGTATGATCAACACATGGAGGAATGATAGGGGCTACTGCGGCATAGGGTCTCTGTGGCAAGTATACTCGTTCTGTATCAAATGAGAGAAGTTGATCATTGCACAGGGAAAATGGAGCTATGATTTTCCGCCCGACAACCTCACGATTTTTGGCAGGCAAGTTGCTCTCAGTCTTTTACCGGACTAATACCCTATTTCGAGGTTTCAGATTAAGATCTTCTTTTTCACGTAGATTCCATAGTAAAAGACTTGGACATTGCTGCCCTTAAGTAAAGCATTCTGCGCGTTGATAGATATGTATGCACATAGATTTGTTTAAGGGCCACAATATGAGCTTTCGGATTTGACCAAGTCTTTTCCCATGACATCAATGCGCAGCTTCGTTACCCTCCTCAATAGCTTTTTCGCTCTCCACTACCGACGTAATGACTCCAAGTTGCCCATCCTCGTTTATAAAATGCATGGCGTACGTGTATTGTTGTACGATTTGACCCGGCAAATAGCTTTTAAACGGCTTGATGACTCGTCCAGTGACGTAGTAAGCAGAGCCAACCCGCTGATGGTCTTCATCAACTACCAGCCCGTCGAAATCCACTTTCAAGTCTGTGAGTGCGTCTTGTATGGTCAAGTTCTGTTGAATTATCTCCTCCCTCGTAATCTTCTGTATGCCATTAAACACAACATCGGGGGCGCAGTATTCGAGGACAGATTCCTTCACATTTCCCTTGGTTATGCCTTCTATGAAACTTGTAAATCGCTCTTTCAGGCCGGCTGTCTGTTCAGGAAGGTCATAGCCGTATCCTGTGTCAAATGGCGTCCGGGGAAGGCTCTCGACCTGGTTCTTTATTGCCTCTTTTTCCGTAGCCGTGAGAATTCGAAATGTTTTGCCATCCTTGTACTCGTGAATTGTGAGTTCCGAGAATTCGAATGGCTTTCCAGAGGGCTTGATTCCCATAAACTCCTGTTTGAGTGTGCCGCGCACGATCAGGCGACCAAACACCACGTTATTGCTTTTATCGGCGAAAGCCTGGTCCAGGACGACGGTCAAGTCGGGTATCGCCTTGAACCCCTCATTCGCTTGACTAACATACTGCTCGGCGGTTATAGCGACGTGGTTTCGAGTAAGGTTGGGGTGAAGCCTGGCCTTGATAGTGACCCAATCTTGATTGGCAAGAGCCGTGGTGTGAATGCGGAATAGGGAGATAACATCATCCGCGGCGCTGCTCATGGTGACCAGGGCGTTCTCTAACCGTGACACAGTTTACTTGAAAGATTGGCTGTGGCTCAGTGGCTGATTGAAATAGATATATGAGGCTATACTTCAGTGCATTCGGAGGGGGCTTGCCTATCTTATACCCGAGAAAGATGAGACCACGAAAGCGAATATCCAGTGGGGCCAGTAAGCAGAGCTAGGACTCTTTTGATCAGATTCCAAATATTCCATGTTTGCTGTTCATATAAGTAGATACGCCTTTGAGAGGCACGCGCCATGGCAGCTATGAGTTGTACGGTACAGAATGCGGTTGCGATGAATGCGGTGATACGTCCAAGTTCTAAAGAGATGCTCAGGTTCACTGCCCATGCCCAGGTATATGTACCAAGGCACACGACTAGGAAGGTACATGCACTTTTGGACACGGCGCTAGTAGGCCAGATAGCGCGAGCCCCCCTGCGAGAGCCAAGTACATGTACATGGGCTACAGCTAGCGGCTAGCCCCTGTACACAGCAAAGAGCTTCGGTACTCCAGCTACACCATGACTTCGGATGAGAAACATTCAGATAGCTTGTGAGGTTTAATCACTTTCTTCATACACGGTCCAATTGCTTTTGTAGAGTTTTTAAACATATATCAAGAGTGCGTAATAGTTGAGGACCTAATCACAGAGGCATCCAAGGAAACCTTAGCTTGCTCGGAATCTTCTCCCGATTTCTAGTTAACCTACAGTAGAACACTATTCAGGTTGTCAAGGCAAGGCATCAAACTCACTACCCAGTCAGATAAGCGACCTGGAGACTTTCTTCAACAGTTGGAATAACCAAGTATCTTCTTCATTAGCTCATAGAAAGTACAGCCTTCAAAGTTGCGGCTCTCACTCGCTGAGAGTATGTCGATTCCCTATGTCGTGTTCGCTTCTTGACAAGAGTCCTAACATTGATGGCTTGGTGGCGATCATAGCACCTTCGCACAGTCACAAGATTCTACTCAATATTAGTCTCGACTTATTCTTTGTGTGTAGCTAACATGATGTAAGATTGCTCCAATAGGCTAGAATGTGTCTTCAGTAGAGACATGCCTTCTAATATTTTCTCCTCTTCGTATTATGATCAATGTGGGGATAGAGGCGAAGAGGCGCCCGATGTCTCAGACATGCATGCTCTGGTGTAACATCCCCCTCTCCCTCTCACCTGTTCTAGTATTTGATGTCACCAGTCAATTACAATCCAGTAGTTAAAAGCTATTTTGATCGCTTAATATGTTAATATGATATGGGTAAATTACTTTATGCTTTTTTCCGTACTGCATAGAATATCTGACGAAATGATCAAGCAGACTATAGAGATAACACTGAATCCAAGGTCCAAGTTCAGCCAATATGTGTGACGGTGAACACAACCCGATCCGAAACACACGGAAATGAAAGTCTTATGCCCCTGCAGAATTCATCGTAATGTGCTCCGTCGTAATTTTACGGAGTGATCTCTGTGTTACTACTCTTTTCATGGATTAGGCTTCATATGGATGGGTTCAAATGGTCCAATATCCTCACCGCAACTTGTCATGTTAGAATCGCATATAAATAACTATCCCATGCTCTTCGAATGGTAACAATTTTCGCAATCTTCAAATATCGAGTTCATCTCTCTCTTCAAAAAACTGGATCTAACATAGCAAATTCGCAACCATGCAACTGTCCGCCCTGCTGCCGTTCACCTTCACCGTACTGGCATCTGCTGTAAAGGGAGCTCGTCCAGCACCAGATCCATTTGTGAGTCGAACTCGGCCTGTCAAACGACCTTGATTCAATGCTGATCAAAGTCAATCCAAACAGGCTCTTGTCTTCTCCCATGAAAACTACAAAGGCAGCCGAACCTTGATCGACAATCAGTGTACTCCCCTCGATTCTCTTTACATGTGAGTTCTTAATCTTTGTACAAGAGTAGGATCGTAAACTAAAATCATTAGCAGCGGTTCCATCTTCGTCCCAACAATCAAGGATCGCACTATTGAGTGTTTCTTCTATAGGTATGTCAAAAACTCTGCCGTGTTTCGAGCTGGTATTGACCGATGCCATGCAGTGAGGAAGATTGCGCTCATGGTTCGGTGGTGATCTCTTATGCTATTTCGGAAACGAGCATTCCTACCAAGGTTTCAGATCAGATAATGGCAGCCGAATGCCTTTATTTTTAAAATATTCACCTGTGGACAAGATTGATATACCGATTCAAAGGCCTTGTTGTATGTGCCATATATTGGTTGAATAAATCTGAGATTAGCTCTTGGCCTCGCATTTACTTCTATTTGCCAGTAATTAACCTTCTGTTTTCACTTCTTTTGTTCTAAACATCTGGCATCTGTTAGCTATACTTGATGGACGTAATGTAGCTCTGTCATTATGGATTTGCCGTTGGTCGCACTCAATTAGCGACGTCCTATCGGATATGAGCCTAACGTAAAGCCTCATGTCGCTCCAATTTGCACGGTATAATTATACAGCGAGCAGCCACCAATTAAAACACTATCTCTCCATTGACGTGGCTTTGCTTTCAAGGCAGTATTTGGGCCTTAGAATCTGATTGGCCGGGTTGTTGCCTTGCATAGCCACCAAGGCTCGGCTGCCTGTAGGTTGACGCCTGAACAGAGATTCGTGGTATTGGGCTTCCATTTGGGCTGAGCATTGGGCTGGGAAGGGTAGAGAGGCATCATTGAAGAGACTTCGGATTTTTCAAAACTCTGTTAATATATACTCCGTTGTTTCTTACACACACAAAAAAACATTGGCACGATTTACCGCTACATTACCGCCGTGAAATTAGCCATAGCCAATATGGACACTCCACGCCATCGAATATCTGATAACCCTTTATATGCACTGGTTGCGACGTCAACTACAGACTATTCATCTACAGCACCTGGCTTTTTTCGTTTAATGGAGCTATCTCCAGGTCAATGGAACGATGAAATCCACTGTACACTCAAGCATTATAATCGACTTCGCGATGGTTATCCTCCATATAAAGCTCTGTCGTATGTTTGGGGGCGTGGGAGACGAAACCGCCCAGAGATCTTGGTCAATGGTTACAAAATTAAAGTGACGGCCAACCTTGAAACTGCTCTAAAACATTTGAGGGAGCAAGAAAAGAAAATCACTCTGTGGATTGATGCATTGGTGATTATGTTACTGCCAAACGAAGCAGAGAATCAGCTACTAACCAATACATAGTGCATTGACCAAAGCAACACCGTCGAGCGATCATCGCAGGTTGCCCAGATGCGCGAGATCTATAGCATGGCTAGCGAGGTGATAATATTTCTCGGTAACGGGTTGGATTACAGCAAGCAACATTCCAAATCATGTGCAGATTTTCGTCCGCTCAAGAGATTTGAAGTTGGCACTGTGGATGCTTCCGCCGCAATCGACATTTGGAAGACATCGCCGCCGAAGACACCGATTCGAGCCTATGAGATATTTTCTTTTCTAACTGTTGTGGCCCAGTGCCCAAGCTGTTCAGATTTGTTTAAATTCCTGGCGGATTTTCCTCAAGATCATTTAACACAACTTTCCGAGGCATTGCGACGCACATTACTTGTATCCTGGTGGGATCGGATATGGGTCGTTCAGGAAGCAGTCGTCGCTGAAAAGCTCACCGTGAGATACGGTAACGGGGAAATCTCATGGGAATTGCTGGTCAGAGTTGCAACTGTCTTACATTCTTGGGAATCTTCATACGCAAACCATCCTACTTCTATTCCGGCCAGCGACTTGAGGGTTTTTAATCTTTTCTCGCGTGTCTCTAATTTAGATCACTTCCGCCAGAATTGGAAGAAGTCTCAAGGAGCTGATCTCCTTTCGCTCATGCAGTATTTTGGACATCGCAAAGCTTCTGATGATCGAGACAGAGTCTATGCTCTTCTAGGGTTGTGCAACCAAGCAATCGGTATTCAGCCTGATTACCGGTTAGATGTGATAGAAGTCTATATGGCGCCAATAATTGAGACAATAAGGAAAACCAAGTCTCTTTCCGTTCTTTACGGAGATCATAGTCGCAAAACGAGACGAGACATACCATCTTGGGTTCCAGATTGGAGTACAGAGCTTGATGAGAATCAGCGCCAACGAGCCGTTCTTTCTTCTCTTTTCGATGCCAGTAAGGGAGTGACGCCAATACTCATTACGGACACGAGCGAACCCCCCAAGCATGGATTTTTTAGCGAAATCCCCAAGCATGAATTTATTAAACGGGAGGTGGCTTTACTGCTTGACTCGCTAAAAGCCGAAGTCCGCACGCGGTATCTTCTTCGCGAGGAACTTGCACAGAAGCTACGATGCTTGAATACCAGATCGACTTCACCCGCTATAGAAGAGATTAAGCACCTCTGCGAAGCATTGGCAGAGCACTGCCATAAAGACGGTAATAAAGATCTGCCAAAGTACGGCCTTATTCATCATTCTGGACGCTCTCTAGCAGTTCACGGCATCAAGATTGCAACAGTATCCCAAATCGCAGAGCCACTGTATTCATCATCCGATCGAAATACAATCATGGAGGTGCTTCAAAGATGGTGGATGGTGGCTATGAGTAGGCATACTCATGAAAACTTTCAAGAAAACTTTCAAGAAAACTTTCAAGAAAACCTTCTGAAAACCATCTTGTCCGATGCGGCATATGCTAGAGGTGTGGGGTTGAAACGACTCGACACACATGATGCAAAGGCCCTCTTGTGGTGGCTTGGCCAAACAATCTCCCAAAATTCCCGAGATGAAGATGAAGATCTGTGCCGAATACGTATCGATGTTGAATCTAGGTATTCTCACCGGATGCATGCTAATATTAGATTTGGGCAGTATGGTCATTTTACAGAGGCCGTGAGACTCTCAGCAACTAACCGAACATTGTTTTTCAACGACCCGAGCTACATCACTTGTAATATGGGTTTGGGCCCAATGCTAATAAAGGAAGGCGATGAGATTTATATTCTACCAGGCAGCCACTTACCACTTGTTCTACGACCAGTATTGTACTGCAATCCTCAAGGCCATTCTGGACTCGTCCGGAAATATCATCTGGTCGGAGACTGTTTCCTACAGGGTGTAATGGATGGTGAAGTAGGTTCTGTGGGCGGAAATATCCTCGATTATTTGGACTATTTGGATAAACTGTCCTATGGATATTGGGAGGGTTTTGGACATTCGCGATCTCTTCTGGACCAGCAGTTTTATGAATATATGGATCCCTCTGGATGCGAGGTGCCCTCTGCAGAATGGAGATTTTCTGAAAAGGGAAAGTCCTTTGAAGCTGGTCAATATTTTACTTCTCCTGGAGATTACCACAGCGATTCATTTGCTGATATTAAACCGCGAGTAGGAGACTTAGTTGCTTTAGAAATAGTATAGGCTATAGTAATCGTCTTTGATTACACTGACTTAGCACATGCTGATCAAGAAAGAGCATCTGAAACATTGTCTTGTGGACAAAATCGTTCCTATAACAATCCAAGACATCTTCTTGATTGGCCACAGAACCGCTTGGTGTATCTTTACTGAATTTCTCGCACCTACTTCCCAGTCCATGTCCAACAGTTGCCAATACACTCAGACTTTCCAGCTCACAGTTGAGAGATGAATTCAGCCGTTGCCACTTTTCATATCCTCGATCATTAAGTATGACCAACAATGTTCTTTGGCACATAAGGCTCTTCTAAATACTTGATATCATCAGCTGTCAACTCTTTTCCGCGCAGATCGCATGCTTCTTCAAGTCTCAGCAACGAGTTCAGACCAACAACTGGCACTGCTCCTTTGCTACGAAGCCAGGCAAGGGCGACTTGGCTCATCTTCCACTCTTTCTTGGAGGCCAATTCCTCTACCCGTTTGATAATCTCTTCGTCTGCTTTAGTAAGGCTGTTGCCAGTTGGTGAAGGCATCTGTGCTCTCACAGATGCTGCGTCTCCGAGTGGCTTTGCCAATTTACCGCCGAAGTTGGGCGACCATGGCATGATTCCCACACCTGTTTCATTGCAGTATCTGTTCATCTCTCTCTCTTCTTCGCGATAGCACAAATTGTAGTAGTTTTGCATGCTGATAAACTTGGTCCAGCCGTTCTTCTCAGCCACGGATTGCATGCGCGCGAATTGTGTTGCCCACATTGAGGAGGCACCAATGTATCTTATTTTCCCGGACACGACTAAATCGTGTAACGCTCTCATCGTCTCTTCAATAGGCGTGGAGGGGTCAAATCTGTGTATCATAAAGAGATCGATGTAATCGGTTCCGAGGCGTTGCAGAGACGCATCGACAGCCCTGAATATCGCGTTGCGAGAGAGGCCTACGCAAACACACGATTAACCTCGTGTATCTAGCCCCCTAATTCACCAAAAAGGCCATATAGATGGTGATAACGTACCTGATTGGTTCACATAGTCCTTCATCTGTGACATCTCTTGCTGCCACGGACCCGTAAAAATATCCGGCTCTTCGGTTATGGCGAGAAAGCACTTAGTCATGATGACAACTTTCTCGCGAGGAATATTATGCTTCTTCAACGCCTTTCCGATGACCTCCTCGCTAATGCCATTCGTGTAAAGGTCTGCCGTGTCCCATGTGTTTAAACCTCGATCATAGGCCGCCTTGAGAATCTCGATGGATTCATCTTCGTCGAGCACCCACGGCATCCACTTGGATGAGCCCAAGGACATCGCGCCGAGGATTGGTACGGAGACTCGGAGGCCTGATGTGCCGAGCCTCACATACTCGACCCGACTTTCGTCAAGGCTCTTCTGGAGCGTTGGAGGAAGTGAGAAAGCCATTGTTTCTGTGGGGTAGGAAAGGATTGGATCGACTGCGATTTTGCTGCTTCAAAAGAGCTTGTATTTTCAGATGAGAGAGGTTCGAAATAGGCGTTGTTGTCTTGTTAGAAACTTTGGAACCCATCACGTCGTCCAGACCTTTTTATACACATTCCGACCAACCGTCTTCTAAGGGTCAGAGACTTTAACATCCGATAAGTCCGTAACATAATTTTTAGCCCATGTTCTATAGTACAAAGCCAGAGATGAAGTTGGCTCGCCGCTGTCCACTATTGCTTCCATTATTTCTTCATTTCGCTCATGTCGAACTTCTTTTACTAATTCATGTTCCAGATAGCTGAACTGACAAAGAGCCAAGTATGGGGACCTCGCGCGTTTATCCAGAAATGGTTTAGCTCCTATCCAAGACCATGTCTAGTGAAATCCCAAAGGAATTGAATTGATCACACTAAAACCCTGCAAGGTCGTGAGGATTACCCGCAACTCGGTTGAGACCCGAAAGTCGAACCATGATCCTTTACAGCCTTATAAATGAAGATTACAAATATCCGGCCTCAGTACCTCATATACGAACAGCTACAGACACAATAATGCAGTATATTAGTACATATCTCAAGCTTAAGCCCGATACTCCCGCCATCTCCGTAACTTGGAGCTCATCTCCCGTGTGAAAAGGTGAGTCCCTGATTGCTGCTGGAGATATTCGGTCCTAGAAGCTTTCTATGGTTGAGCTTCAGCTAAGTTCGTGAATATGAGCTATGTCGGTGGCCAGGAGAGAGATCAGAAAATACTGCTATTTAATTAAGGATGCCAGTCTGGTCACTTAGCAGTGAAAATGTTCTTGGATACGAATATTGTGTTAATGTGTACCCGAAGTGTCTGCTTGGTGGATAATATTCTCGATCTCTAATCCCATTACAACTCCCAATAGTATGCTGGAGACTGCCTGAAATATTAAAATGCCAACGTGAATGTCCTCATAGGAAAGCAAGGGTCAAAACTTGAACTCTCCATGGTCACTGACGGATTCCAGTAGCGTGTGCCCCAAAGATCGTGCAACGGCCTTCAAGGCAGCCTTCATCCAAGTTTTCTCTAGAGGCTCGACAGCATCAACGCTCACGGCCACAGTTAACGGCCATGCTAGTAATGCAGCTACACTTGGATGAGGCGTATCAATAGATGTGGTAGCTTTAGCACCTCTAGTAGGGGCTTGGCAAGTGAGAGAGAACTCTACACCATAACGAAGATCGACAGCAAGATTGTTAATGTTAACCTGGCATCTCTGTATATTCGCATATGCAAAGGAAGCATCAGGTAGCGACCGAATTGCAAAGAAGGCTCGTTTCTGAATGCTATTTGTGATTAGACGAAGAGCGCGGTATCGATTCCAAATTGCTGCATGGCCAACTGAAGAGTAAGTATGCAAAGGGGATTTTGCGCGGACATCTGCTGCGTTCAAACCTGGCTGTGAGTTATTGCGGCCGACTTGAAACCTCCAGTCTTGAGCAAGCCCCAATGGCCATAAAGCGAGATCATAATCGAGCGTATATGCTTCCATGGCAATCGACTTGACCTTTTCAATGATTTCTGGGGTTTTTCCATCCATATCTCTCAAGAAAGATACTGATTTGTTCCTCAAAGTCAAAACACGGATAATGAGTGAGTCCAGCTCCAACTCATGTCCTTCTTCGCCCCAGTCCGAGCCATCTTCCAACCAAGCCGGCATTGCTCCTCCGCGAAGGATGATGATACGAAGCTACATGGGCCGCATGTCAGCGTACAGCGTGCGTAAAACCTCGTGATGTCAATTGCTAGATTTACTTACACACTTTTGACGAATCGCCTTATCCAACTCTGTATCTGCTTCGAAGCCTCTCTCGCGACGTGCACTGAGAAGACTGGCCGCACCCTTCTCATGACAGACGCTCTTCCAGAAACGGGAACCGATAGCGTCAGCAGGTAATGCTGGAGATTCTCTGGCAAAGTACATGACGTTCTCATAGCCGCCCATTAGCATCATGGCTAGCATCACCTGATAGATCGTATCGCCCGATATGGTGCTCATGGCGTTCTGAATCTCTTCCACGGCCTTTGCGTATACTCTTTGAGCAAGGCAAAGGGCTTGTCTCACGTCCCTTTTTCGTCCTATCAGGGCATGCGAATAGGCCGTCAACGCAAGACGGAGACAAGAGTCCGGCTTAGCCAACTCCCAGTGATGTAGCACGTGCGGACTGTATTCGGGGCCACCGTCCCCTAGTATATGCCTCTCCGTGGAAACACTATCTGCAAAATAATAGAGTGCGTGCATCTCTAATGGCAGCGACAGCGCTGGGTGTATTCTGCTGTGGTTTGATACCAGTGGAATAGTAGAGCCACTTGTCTTAGGTGGACGTCGCCGAAGTCCCATAGCGAACGCGTTTTCACTCCTAAAGTGCAAACCTGTCTGCTCGTCCGAGTCCCAGGTGCATCTTCTATCGCCGGTGCGACATCTCTGACACAGAGGTCTCGTACAGTCACACTATTGTTTGTATGATCAATTGCCCATCTTTATTTTCGTAGGACGAAGATGATCATCAATCACCTTGACTTTGCGTTTTCGGCATGTTTGGCATCCGGGGCTAGGGAAGACCATTTATACTCGGCTAGGGCAGACGTGCTCTGGAGGGATGGAGATAGTTAATAAGTAGGCATAGAGTAAGATGATCAAAGGCAATGATGTATGAATATCGAAGTTTAGTAGGCAGTCACGACCTAACGTGATGTAAAACCAGATGGTAGGTAGTCACTCTAACAAGGAGATACGCCGGGGTTAAGGGAATTAGGTACAGCTGATCCTTCGTCTGTAACACCAACAGAGACTAACACCGAAGTCTGGAGACGCGATTGAGCCTTCACCCCACCAGAATATTTAGGGAATTAATAAGACGGTGAAGCGTTGGATAAGATGCTCGCTCAAGGTGATGCCTCAAATAAGAAGACAAACCAGTTTGTCAATTGCATCTCGAATCTAAATGCCGTTGGATTATGATCTTCAATATATTGAATTGATATGACTAGTTGTAATAGCGACACATAATAATCAAGGCGATTGTAGGATCTCTCTAGCTTCGAGTATCTCTATATAGACTCCTATTTCAACTCTTATTAGATAGTTTGTAACAAGTTCACAGGACATTGGTCTCACCAGCTGCTTGCCAACGACGCTCAAGGCGTCTAAGCGCTTTCACAAGCACATCCCTTGTCGCGGTAGCGGTCTGCGGCGCGGATTGGCTAGAAATGGCAGCCATATAAATGCAGTGAAGGAAGAAGGGTGAGATGCTCTCCAAACTGCTTGCTGGGTCGGAAAGGAGATCTTTGCACCGCTCAATGACTTTCACCCTTGTTGCTTCGACAGCGGCCAATGTCAGCTCGTCCCACTGCGCATGATCGCCTTTGCAGGCCTCGTAGTGGTTATAGAGAGCAAAGAGAGAACTAAACGTGTGTGAGTCAGCGACGATCTGGAGTATTTACGCATGCTTACCTGTAGCAAATCATAAGCTGTTCTTCGATAGGAACTGCCCACTTCCTGGCTTCAGTCTCTGCGGCATCGATGAGTGAGGCTATTGTGCGGCCTAGTTGTGAGGATTCGTTTTCTTGCCGTTGGTGTAACGACAATTCGAGTTCGAGACTCTGGGCTTCCAAGTCCACTTCAGAGCAATAGCTATTGGATGTGTGCCGCAGCACTTTTCCCAGTAGTCTAGTGGCCTGTGCAATCAAGGCAGGACAACCTTGGTCACGCCGCCCGGACTTGCTGGATCCAAAGCTGTTGGCGTTGGCTGTTTCTTGAGACTTCACAAAGATTAGCGTCGATGTCGAAAAGCCCGTGGACCAGATATTGTCACCATACATCATCATAGACGACCATGCTACCATCGTCTATTGGATCATGGACGGAGGCGAGTCGACTTGGAGAGCCGAGATTGAGATATCTACATAATTATTAGGCTGACAACAAGCAGAAATGGCATCGTGTCTTTTGGGAAAGAAATGCGGCTACTAGGGGTGAGGTGTGAAGGAGTTGAGAGGGGGAAAAGGGGGCATACCTGTCTAGGAGAACAACGGCCCACCATAGTCGTCTACTCTCTTCAAGTTCGCTGCGATTATATGGAGGGCGTAGCTTTAAGGTATTGGGTCCGCCAAAGCCCATGGCCTGGCCGTAGCGTGTACAAGCGCCCACTGATAGAAACGCGGATGGGTAGATGGCATGGCTAATCTCGTAGAGAGAGATGAGCAGGCCAGCTTCCAGAGATTCGACAGACAGAACACCTGCCATCTCCAAGTTTAGAAACCCCCGTTTAGCTGCAAGATGAAGGTCGGTGCGGGTCCCGTTTCGTGACGACTCGGAGGGTGCCGAGGTGATGAGCCTCATGCAGAGAAGAAGCAATGCCACATCCGCGGGCAACTCCACGGGCGTTTTCCCCAGTAACCGGGCGCGGAAGCGCTCTTCATCGAGAACAGGCAGCCATCTGTGGACTCCACCGAAGAAGGCCGAGACGTACGAGTCTTGCTCCGCCTGGGTTGCTCCTATGAAACCGGTGGGAAATGCACTGGTCCCGGTACAGGCGGTCGGGACGTGGATACGATGCTGCTGGAAGACGTATCGGTCAACAAAATAAACAGACGGGAACTCTACCGGCGCCGCCCATGGCTCGTTAATCTTCTGGGGTTCGCATGGACGGTCAGTATGGAGGAGGCCGGGAGTTGTGGGTAAGCCGCCATCAGCCACAGGGTCACGATCGATCCGAACAGATGAGATTCTCCGCGATAATTTGCCCGTCCGCCGCGGGTAGACACACTCGCAAGATCGGCTACGATGTTATTCTGGTGGTCAGTCATCTACATGTAGTAGAGCCTGGTCTCCCGCCTTTGCATAGTTCGGACGCCTTACATTGAGCACTGTGAGCATTTTGGTGTGGCTTTGTCGCATTTCCGTTTCTGTACTTTGCAGGATACACACGCTGTCGTCATTATTCAAGTCGGATCCTTCTAAAACTGTGCTTCTCTGTGAGTTGTGAAGTAAAGGGGAAGCAAATGCATGGCGGCCGAGGACATGTGAGAAATACCCGCGGGTGGACCCACCAACCTCCGCGGCCGCGGGAATCCGGGGGTTCAACTGAAAGCCTCCCGGAGTTTTGAACGTTATTGTCATGTTCTGTCAATGCCGTCTTCCTGTGTTCAAGATGCGACACCTATTTAAATGTCGATTGTATTTCCAGATGAGCTTTCTGTCCAACAAACTCGAAGACTGGCATCGCCACTATGCCTGCTGTAACATGGAGGGAGTCCTTCCCACCTAAGCCAAGTTTTACTGAAAAAGATATTCCGGATCAATTTGGCCGCGTCTTCATTATTACAGGTGGCTCGTCCGGGTGTGGCTTTGAGACTGCAAAGGCCGTGTACAATCTCAACGGCCGTGTCTATATTGCCGGTCGCTCAGCTGAAAAGGCAGAAGAAGCCATCCGCCGGATCAAATCCGAGCCCGCCGCTCCTCATCCAACCGTCAAACGAGGTCGAGGAGAGATTTTCTTCCTCCGGCTGGACCTCAACGACCTTAGTACCATCAAAGCATCTGCCGTCGAATTTCTATCCAAGGAGTCGAGGCTGGACGTTGTGTGGCACAATGCCGGACTCGGCGGGGCGCCGTTCGGAAGCAAGACTGTCCAGGGCTTCGAGACGCATCTCGGTGTCAACGCGCTTGGTCCGTTTCTGTTTCAGCATTTCCTAACACCTATCTGTCTTGAGACAGCCGCCCGGCCTGACGCCAAGCCCGGCCACTCGAGAGTTGTCTATGTTTCGTCTTCGGGACATCGAGCGGCACCCAAGCCCGACGGTGTTAACTGGGATGACCTAAACATGCACGAGCTAGGCGGCTTCAAGGGGGCTATGACCAAATACCCGCAGAGCAAGGCCATGCTGGTCATGTTTGCACATGAGTTCGCCCGGCGTTTCGCAGCGCATGGCCTCTTATCACTTTCCCTCCACCCAGGGTCTGTTAAATCCGAATTCCAGCGCAACCAGCCCGGACTCGTCAAGTGGCTGACATCCCCGCTTCTTTACGAACAACATTACGGCGGCCTCACCCTGTTGTTTGCAGGCTTTGCTAATGTCGACGACACAACGATGCTCGATCAGGGCGGGAAGAACGGATCCTATATTGAGCCATGGGGGCGTTGGGGAACTGGGGCCGATTATATCATCGACGGACTTGAGAATCGTGGTACTGGAGAACGTTTGTGGAAAGTGTGTGAGAAGCTCTTGAAGGATTGGATGTGATCTATGGAAGCCCTATAAAATAAAAGGTATCATACACTAATACGAGTACAATCTGACCAAACATATGTCAAGCCTAACCTAGCTTCAGCTTTAAACCCCGCACCCGCTCCTGTATTTCTTGAAAGAGCAAAGGAGAGTTGGTCAGGGAACAGAATCAGCTATTAGTAGAATATGACTAGCGATATTCAAGACAGCAGTAGTATTGATATCGGTGAAAGAGGAAAGACGCTCTCTCAAGGAACGCGATGTCACCGCCCCCTCAATTTCTTTGACGCCCATCTCACGGCTCACTTTGCAAATCGGCCTTGTCCCTGGCGTATAAGTACATAATAGAGTACAAGGACGTCACAGTATTAAGCAGATCAATATCCCATTCCGCGATTCGGTGATTCAGGGTTCGCCGGAAGGCCGAGCACTGACCTGTGGACGCAAATGAGGCAGACATAGTTCCAGTAGTATTGTCCAAGCGAATAATTGGGTATACTAGGCTCAAGGGTCTTAGCCTTCGGACAAAGTTTCCAAAGTTCCAAATCAGGGAAGGCTTCGCTATTCCAGAACTGCTTAGTGATATTATGAAATCTCCGACGGAGACACATGATACTCACTTGCACTTACTCACACGTCCTCTCAGCAGTTGGAAACTCCTACACATACAATTTCACATCTACCAAGTCACTCGCTAATTGCCTTGACTTTTAATCAGCCGGTACAGGGCTCTTATTTCCATGATGGGCGGCCATAGTGGATCTTGCGGTGTTTGCAGAGGTTTGTCCATTAAACGATTGGAATAATATGGTAAGTTGGCTGACTTTGATCACCTCATGTCTCCAAGACCGCAAAATACGATGTGACCGTACCTTGCCATCGTGCATCCGCTGCTTGCGGGCGGGGCGAAAGTGTGATGGGTATAGCCTACTGCTCTTTTGGCCACGAGAGGGTGATAGGAGACGAGCCATTCTTGCACCCTCAGATGGTCACTACATACAGACGAATGGTCCAGTGGAATTTGTTCATGTGCTCCCTCAAGATGTCAGCATCTATGAGCACCTGTCGGCTCGGGAGTGGACCCGGGCACGAATAGGCACGTTTGCTTCAAAACGAGGCACGACCTGAGCCGCTGACATCTCGTAGACTCCAAAGCGATGAATTTTGACGGCACACAGTTCTTGGGAGTCCCCATTAAGTGGATACCGCATGATCTGAACACTTCAGATAAGCATCTTCTGCAGTATTGTTGGTGTTACTATCATGTAAATTATACGCTTGATCTCTACTAACAGGTCAAAGTTGAATCAGTCGCTGCCTCTTCCCTAAGATGCATTGGCCAAAGCTCTACAACACTACGCAGCACCTTGATTCGTATGGCACTCTCGGACGATTCACCCACATCTACCGGGCTAGTGAATTCTTTACTCGCCCTCGCGTCGCTTCATCGCTATGGGCTGCAGCGCCAGGCGGTTCAGTATAAGATGGTCGCTCTAAAAGCGATGAAGGATTCTGTAACCTCTATCATCAAAGGAGTGGATATAAGTCAGCATATCGCGGCTGGTATGCTGTTGTGCTCCTTTGAGGTGAGTGACCCTTTTTTGAAGATGATGGATGTCACTCAGATTAAGCAGGTGCAAACCGCGACGGTCACATGTGGTCACTGGATATCATATGTTCAAGGGGCCAAGACTATGATAAACCTTGCAACCTCGCCTTCATTTCTGAATGCCGGGAGCGACTACTCAGTGTTGCTCCGCTGGGTTCACTACCATGATGTAATGGCACAGTTCAGTCTCCGCCATTGGGAGGGCTTCGGAGGGGCTTCTCTGAATACGAAAAAGAGAACCATCGAGGATCTCATATTGAGGCTGCGCGAAAATGTAGTATTTTCTTCATCAGAGGCGTACCGAGCTAGCGCTGATCCACGTGTAGAGCTTTCGTTCTCAAAGTCGCCCATCCAATATTCTAGATCTCCTTGAGGAGGTATGCAATAACGTCGTTGACCCGTCAGATTCTCGGTACACCAAGGAAGACTATAGAGATTACCTCAAAGAGTTAGAAGGGAAGTTAAGACAAGATAAACTTTCGGAGCTGGATATTTCGCTCTGGCCAGCTGAAGAGTGGACAGAGGCTTCCAGGATGGCAGAGCTGTATACTCTGGCGACTTTGGTATATCTCGAACGAATATCATCCAATGGCATTGCAGAGTTAGAAAAGATAAGCAGGTGCATTGATAGAGCCTTTCACGTTCTAGGTCAACTAGAGGCTTGTCCATGGCCATTTGTCTTATTGATCTTCGGTTTAGAGGCACGAACCGAAGATGAAAGAATGACGATCCTCAAGTCCATCAGCGAATCTGGAAAGAGGACTTGCTTGACAAACTTTTCATGTATGAAGAATATGCTTCGATTCGCTTGGGTCCAGGATGATCTGGGGACTGCGCACATTACCTATGTGGAAAAGATTACTATAGTCTTTAGTACCAACCGCACTTTACCGGCGTTTATTTAGACTTACTAAACAATTTCAACATCTATCCTTCATTCAATATCGAGCCTAATGGAAAGCCAGAGAAGATTTCACCGAGATATCCGCATTGACTATGTTGAAGGAGGCCGTTAAGCTTATCAACCAGTCGTATGATTGAACATTGCTCGCGGTCATAGCGAGAATGATAAACAAGTTCTCTTCCTAAAAAGGAAGTGAAGCAACTCTATCCGAGCCTATAGTTAGCGCTAAGACTCATCAGTCAACTCGCATTCTAATTGCTTAGGTTCAACAGGTTGCATTGTCAAAAACAGGTGCTATACTTCGTAGAAGGTAGATATTTACTCTTGATTATAAATTGATGATAAATCTACAATTGAATTTGATTTTAAACCACGGGGAGTTTGAGATATTCTCTAATCAAGAGGGGGTAACTGACTGTTTGTATATAAGCCACTCGTATTCCTTTAGGTATCGAAACTAAGACATCTCTTGCAAAAGCATTGCTCAACCATTAAATTCCAATCGTCACATAAGATTCCAATAGATTATGGCTTCATATCTCATTACTGGGGCCTCGAGGGGTATTGGTGTAGGAAGGCAGTTCCTGGTAGGATTGAGTATTGTCGCTAATTTCGGCCCAGTACGAGTTTCTAAAGCAGCTGTCCGACAATCCCGCAAACATCATCATAGGACTTGTACGAGATACAAGCGTAGCGAACGATAAAATCCAAAAGCAGCTTCCGGGAAGACAAAACATTCATGTTTTGCAAGGGGACATAACGGACTACAACTCACTTAAAGTACGAACCCCACTTCTATTTCAATATAGCATTCTCACACTAGATCAAGAACTCTGTCGAAAAAGTCTCCCAAATCACCAATGGCTCGCTGGACTATATTATTGCCAATGCTGGTTTTGTTTCTCCTTGGTCTGAATACATCGACGTTGGCGATTTGTAAGGCTATGATGCGCTGCTGATGAACCGAAGCTGACAGCACCCCTAGGGGAAAAGATCCAGAAAAGTTGAACAAGGACTTGGCAGACTGCTTGAATATCAACCTCATCGGCAATATCCATCTCTTTAACCTCTTCATTCCTCTTGTACTCAGAAGCAGCATCAAGAAGGTTGTGACGATAAGCAGCGGACATGCGGATCTTGATTTGGTCACCAAATACGAGATCTCGACATCTGCGCCTTACACTATTAGCAAGACAGCTATGAATGCGGCAGTCGCCAAATATAGCGCCCAATATAGCTCTCAGGGAGTTCTATTCATGAGTATTTCACCCGGTGTGGTAGATACTGGTCATACTGATAACTGTGAGAGCACATTTGCTAGCACTTGAATGATACGATGGCTGAAACTTGATCAGTGACCCCGGATCAGCTGCAAAGTCTAACTAAGACAGGGTTGAAGTTCGCTGCTTATGCACCACACTTCAAGGGCCCAATTAGTCCAGAGGAGTCTGTGAGGCATGTGTTGTCTGTCATAGACAAGTCTAGCGTTGCTGGTGGAAACGGTGGATCATTCGTTTCTCACTTTGGAAACAAGCAGTGGATATAATATTGGTAAAGAAAGATGAGACCAGTGGCTATTCCAATGTACCAAGGTATATTGGGATAGGTAAGAAGGCCTCCTTTTGATGTTAATAGTGCATCCTGTTTGACTGGCTGGATTTTCAGTCCGGTGCTAATGCAAGCGACTCACAAGTTTTGAAAATTCCGCCGTAGCGTTTTTTTAAGCTGAGCTTACTTTAGGGAGATTACTATTTGACAGCAGTTGATACAGGCTTAACTTGGAGTGTATTTAGCTCTACGTCCAATGCGATTACTAGGTATATTTGCGTCTGTTGAGACATGGCAGTTCTGATGTGACATGTACTTTACAGTTTACGTAACTTCCGCCTACATGTACCTGGAGCCTTACTGCCGCAGCGCCCACATAGCCGCCAATGCTATTTACCTGTGTAAATGTTGTATGCATCTTTTTATTATTTAATTATAGCTTTTAAAGAAAATAAAAGCATTTTAGAAAGGCAGTAACTGTGGCGTAATTTTCAGTATGTAAAGGAATAGCGACAAAGGAGATGAAGAGATCTCGTATTTTCTAATCGACATGGGCTTACTCTCATGTGTTTAAAAGGCTACTCGATTCACTAGACGAAACTAGCTAGGAGGTCTCTATGTCAATAATCTGAATAGTCAAAGGAGAGTATTCTGCAGCTGGTGTTTACTGGCAATTTGCTGGCTAGTGGCTAATGTAAGACGGAACTTCTCTGTACGAAAACGATGGATGAGGATGCTCCCACCATACCCATGTGAAGATACCTAAATGATGCACTAGCTGTACGCAACTCCTACCTAGTTGTAAAGCATCAAGGTCAACAGAGGCGACTCGCAAGTCTCCCATGCTTTAATGTTGAAATAGACCGCTATGGCAAAAGTGAAGTGACCGCTTCCCTCTGCATAGCGTTGTATCTGGTACATAAAGCATCCATCCATTCCGACATTTAGGCATCCTTTAGATCTTCCCAAACATATAAAAGCTCTGTTTCTAACCTTCTGTTCCTTTCCTCTGCACTCAGTGAGACAGAAGAAGAACGCGTGGTACGATCCCATGCAGTAGTGGATTTGCGTGTCATTTTTTCGTTTCTCTTGGCTTAAGAGCAATTGGTGGATTCCCTTGTCGTTATTTCATTTCCCGCCTCATGGACCCGTCGCTCTACTCCATATGAGGGCTAACTTGAGTCTGCTTGCTGCGGCGGGTAAAACTCAGCCAACTTATGCCTGGAAATAGGACTAGGGGCGCCCGCACACCGCCCATAGGTGGAGATGAATTTTATCATGCTTCATAGCCTCGTTCTCGTTCATAGAATTCCAAATATAGGAGATAGCTATAGATGCACTTGAGTGTAAACAAGTTATATAAAGGCTATCTAAATGCCGCTTCCCTGGTTTTGGCAGTAGCAATTCTGTTCAATTCTACATCAAACCTCTACAATGTTCCAACCCAGCGCCATTCTCCTGGGAGCAGTTGCTCTTCTTATTCCCAGCGCCTTAGCTGGCGAGTATGTTTATCCAATATCCAACGACTGAATATGTAGCTAATGGCGCTATCTATCTACAGGGGAGTGCATCTTGCCAACTGTGGCCCTGACGTTTGGTCGGCAAGTGTTAGTGTTGTTGCCTACTACCCAGACGACTCTCAGTCAAACACGGCACCATTTTCACAAAACATCGCCTTTGCTACCAGCCCGGCACGTTTAGTTACTTGGGAGGGAAACTCTTACACTGCTAGCTTTGCAACCGGAAACACTTTCACCAGTCATATTCAACCTAGAAGCTTCAGCTTCGGTCAGTATGCAGGAAGCGGCAATAACCAGCAGCGACAGTTTGCTTGCTTCAGGGATAATAACAGGCAGCTCTGGCGGTCAACACCTGCGTATGCTTGTTTCAGCATCTACTACTGTCTTGATGCTTAATTGAATTATACAATAACCCTTGGAGAATTGTCCGCCTACGCTTTATCTGTTTCCAATTTTAAGTAATCTTTTCCATCTGTAGAACAGGATTAAGTCTTGCCTACCGATAAGGCTTTAGATTAAAAACATAAGCTTAATTCTAGCTGTAGCCAAGATCGACAATCACATGCATCCTACATTAGCCTGCACTGTTTCAGTCAGATTCTCAAGCGATTAAGGAAGGTCGCAATGGTAGCATGCACATAGAAAAACTGCTTTTCTATACTTGGAGAGGCAACCCTACTATAGTTTAAGAATCTGACAAGGTCATCCATGAGGGTTGAGAATAATAAGGCTTCCTATGACTCATGTTAAATGAAACATAAACTAAACGACAACTATCCAAACTGATACCGATAAAACGGTATAAACATATAACTTTACGATGAGTCTACACCTTCCTCTCAATGCCCAATGCAAGGTCGACCGGAAAGAGTTTATGCGAAATCGGCACCACCGATCACTTCTTCAAACTTGGCCGACACACCCTCTTAGCTATAAGTTCGCCGCGTGTGTCAGCCGACAGCTCAATGCCTGCGGGCGGGAAAGGTTGGACCCGGAGGATATTACATACACGTTGCCGTTGCCACTCATGGGCGAAATTGTGAAGACTAGAGGGTAAAACGTATCGTTGAGAGTGTTTGCGAAAGGATTCAGGGCTTGACCTTGGCTTTGTAAGATACTGGTCGGCTGTTTACAAAGATGGATGTCGTTCTAGAACGGGGACAAATTGTTCCTCAATGGTTTCTAGAAGGATATGGCTGAAACATATGGTATCCACGGCTTCAACGCTTTCACCTCTCCTCATGCTATTGTTCCGACGGACGGTTTCTTATACACGCCACGGCTAGTTAGTAGGTGTCATTAAGGTCACTGACATTTTAATATTGACAGAGCCTCAATTCTAAACTGAACAAAGCAGTTCTATAAACAATCACGCACATGTTCTAGCGCTTCATTTCTTTCCCGGAAGGTTGCGACCATATAAGATACGAAAATGCCAAGCAAAATTTTGTACCAGGCTGAATTTTCCATGCTTTAACTACGTAGAATGCCATCGTTTGTGACTTTCTTCCCCTCAACGCCCGAGAGGTATGGGCGGTTTAGAATTAGCCAATGCCACTTCGTTAAAATCCTCTCCTACGTCACATCGTCATCATATAGTGAAGCCACTGGTGTGTTACGCCGTTCATGCCGATGATATCGGTATTTAAATCTCCACGACCTTCCTCGCATCCAGGTAGCATGTTAGAAGGAGGCTAGAAAGAGAGTTCTATTTAACCTTCTCTTTGGCCTTGCAATAAATAAAACATTATCAGACTCGTTGTACTGTGTCTAGATACTAATCTTACACCGTATAAACATTATGGCAGCCTATCTTACGCAACGCATCTGTCACCCTCACCACGGTATCACCGTTTCTCGCGCCGCTACTCCAGTCCCCGAGAAAAAGGCCAAATGCTCCGTTCCAATCCATAATGTTGCTGCCAAAGACGCATCTTTCTATACCCCCGAGCAAGATCCCGTTCCGGGAAGCGCTTCGCAAGTTCAAAAGTCTGGGAAACCTGTGCCCAAGCTCTTTTCTCCTCTCAAAATTCGCGATATTGAAATGCCAAATCGCATTTGGGTGAGCCCAATGTGCCAATACAGCGCACATGAAGGGTTTCACACGCCTTGGCACATCACCCACTATGGGGGGATGGCCCAACGTGGTGTAAGACTGCCTTTTTGAACAGATGTCTCTTCTCACTTCATCTCTTTAAATTACCTCATCGAAAAGAGAAGAAAACATAAACACTAAATAATTCATAGCCTGGCCTCATGATGATTGAAGCTACCGCCGTCCAGGCCAATGGGCGTATCACACCAGAAGACTCAGGCTTATGGCTAGACGCCCACATCGACACTCTGAAGAAGCATGTCGATTTTGCGCACAGTCAAAACGGTCGCATCGGCATTCAATTAGGACACGCAGGGCGTAAAGCTTCTACAGTTGCGCCTTGGCTCAGCTCTGGCGCGACGGCAACTGAAGAAGTCGGTGGCTGGCCTGACGATGTCGTATCGCCTACTAATGAGCCCTTTAACGAACATTACCCAAAGCCACGCTCCATGAGTCTTGCAGAGATTGCGCGGTTCAAGCATGACTTTCTCTCTGCCGTTCGACGTGCTCTTCGCGCTGGCTTTGATGTTATTGAGCTGCACTTTGCGCACGGCTACCTTGTTTCAAGCTTTCTGTCGCCAGCCGTCAACAAGAGGACTGATCAATATGGCGGAAGCTTTGAGAATCGTGCTCGTCTAGCACTAGAACTAGTCGAAGCAACGCGGCAAATTATTCCCAAGGGGATGCCACTGTTTGCACGCATTAGCGCAACCGATTGGCTGGACACAAACCCAGAGTGGAATGGAGGGCCAAGCTGGAATATCGACGAGAGCATCAAGCTGGCCAAGCTCTTCGCTCAACGTGGCGTTGACGTGCTAGATGTATCGAGCGGTGGCAATCACTCTCTGCAAAAAGTCATTGGTGGGCCAGGATACCAGGCGCCGTTTGCAAAGAAGATTAAAGCAGCAGTAGGAGATAGTATGCTAGTCAGCTCTGTGGGAAGCATCAAGACGGGGGAGATCGCGCAGAAACTCATTGAAGGAAGTGATGATGCCGATGATACGCCGCTAGACTTGATTGCTGCGGGCCGCATGTTCCAGAAGAATCCTGGATTGGTATGGGCGTGGGCAGATGATTTGGAGGTGTCCATCACTATTGCGCATCAAATTGGATGGGGATTCGGAGGAAGGGCGAAGAAACCCACCAAGTAGAGTACATTTTAATTATACTACGACAGCTTCTAGAGCTGAGTGTTGAGGTCGAGAAACTGTACATTTATAAATCATGTCTCTAGCTTCTTTGTCCTCGTGCAAGTCCTTTCCTTGAGTTGTCTAATCGATCAATTGTCAATTGAGACTCTATGCCCATCTTCTTCGTAGGCAAAGACACTGTTTGTACGGCGTACAGTCTGATTTGTCTCTTACTTCAGCCCCATACGGTGCATTTGTGTTGTCTGGTTCCCTGGATCATAGTGTCTGTTATAAGCAAACCAGAGATAAAGAGCTCGGTTTATTTGTAAGGCACAGCGTACGAACATGACTGCATGAATACTAAAGATATTTAGTAGCGGGTAATAAAGATTACTATTTCCATGTTTCTTATAGATATCAACTCCCAGGTAACATGAAACATAGGCACGCATGATTAAACTGTGATTAAGTTCTCGGAGTAGAACATATATCAATGTCTAACTAATTCGCTACGTGAATCTAGCCTTGGAACTCAGATCGCCTCTTGGATATTCTAAGCTAAGTTGGCGTTCGTACCTTGCCTATCTATCACAATTCTCATAGTATGCATCCTGTCTATGATACTTCCAAACCAATTTATCCCAAGACCTTGAGTCCGTGTGGAGTGAGCTGCTGCTTGGTATACTAATCATAAATCCAGTGGTGGCGCCTTCATTTGTCAGCTGCCGCAGAGAGTCTCCCGTGGGCGGATACAATGCCTCCTAAATAGTACCATCGAAGAAACAAACCGATTCCCAATTCACCATCACTTCTACATTCTATCTCCGAAGATGACTGCGACTCATTCACGGATCGCCTGTCATGCCTGTCGTCGTGGCAAAAGACGTTGTGATAGAGTCTTTCCAGCATGTCAACTGTGCATCCGCAAGGACATGCGCTGCAGCTACCCAAGACCCCCAGCAAAGCGCTCGTATACTCCTGAAATTGTCTGGGACGATGAGCCGTTACGAGAGGACTCACCTTTCTCCGATTACAATCAACTACCACAGGTTGAGCAAACACCATATTTAGATTCTGCGTTTGATACCGCGAGAGCTGTCCAATTCCTAGCGCCCAGGATATTTCGCGACATCCAGCTCGAAATCCCTCGCCTAGAATTTCCAGTACCTAGTGATGTTACGGCTCACGTCGGAGACCCTCAGCAAATCCGCGACATAGCGGCCGTGTTGTTTTCCCAGAACGCCTCATGGTTGCCAATAGTTTGCCGGAAGCGCTTTTTCAGCTCTTTGCTTAACCCACTGTCTCCCCGACAAGCGGATGGCGTCTTGTTAGCTCTGTGTGTTAAGCTCTACTGTACTACGACGGTTCATCGTGGAGACAGCCCAAAGACAGCTCTCTACAGAACGGCAAAAAGATACCACCATGAGATCGAGGCCGCGGGCATCATGTCCCTACAGGTTCTCCAGGCAACAATCTTCATTGCACTGTACGAAATGGGCCAAGCAATTTATCCTGCTGCATATTGGACCGTCGGCACCTGTGCCAGATATGGCATTGCCCTTGGTCTGGACCAGCTAATGACCAACAACACCGGTTTTGATGGATCCTGGATGGAAGTTGAAGAGAAGAGGAGAAGCTGGTGGGGAGTATTAGCTCTTGATCGGTAAGTCGGCCGTATTTAACAATGATTTACATCAGCTTAACCTTCATCACGATCCCTTCTAACCTCTAAAATATACAGCTTCTTGAACTTTGGAGACCCTTCCAGACATCTGGCCACAAATGATCCCGAGATCAATTACTATCTTCCGATTGACGACCAGGCTTTCATAGAAGGAGTATGACTTCCTTGTTACGACAGAACTAAAGTCAAGGCTGATGTATCTATCCATAGAACACAGCGCACAAAGATGCTATTCCGATATCAGCCGCATTCCATCTAAAGACGGGCAGTTTTGCTCGACTTGCTCAAGCTACATACCTGACAAGCGAAGCGCTTCGACTAGCAGCATCTGCCACTCCATCGAAAGCGAACAATTCGACGTGTTTGACGGAAGATACAGCACAATTGCGCCGTACTCTCGAAGCACAGGTTAATGCCGCGGAGCAAGAGCACACAGCTCGTAAACTGTCTTTCTGCTGTCAGACAATGTTTTCTTACTGGTAAGTAAACTTTTGAGTGAAAATTGTGCAAAAGTTGACTCTCGCAGCGGAATATTTTTACTTCAAGATCAGCATTGGCAACAGTTTCGCATCGGCTCGCCGATAGATGCAAATAGCCACACGTTTCCGGAGACTAAGCGGGCTCTTGAAGTCTTGGGACGGTCAGCATTAGTTCTTCGAAAGGACTTTGAGAATGGAGGACCTCTAGAAGAGGGCTTGCCCATCTTCTTCATGCAGACCGTATATCTAGCGGCAATGATGGCTATGGAAATTGGTCAGGGTAATCCAGACAAGAAAACTCAAGAGAAGATTGAGTCTTTTAGATGGCTTTTAGAGTATCTTCGATCGCGCTGGAAAGTAGCCGGTAAGTCATATTTCGAGCACTCTCAGAGGCAACGATTCTGACTCTGGATGAACCAGAGATATACATGGAAATTTTAGATGCAAAGAAAGCATTCCACGACTTCAATAGTATAAGCAGGACTACTTGACGGAAGCCTCATCAGCTGGCACTCATTAAAAACAGAACAACTGTTCAGTTTAGTACTAGATAGGACTCTTTACCATGTCTTCCAACAGGTCTGTCACCATTCCCATCAAACAGAAAGGTCTTCCCTTGAATATACACTAAATCCTCAATTAGTCTCCTGCAGAGCATCATCGACGCCAATGGCGACCTCGAATACTGGAACTCCGTCCAATCTCTTTCCGCAAGCTTCCAATTTCTCGGGCCCGCGTTAGAGAGAAAGGGATTTCCGGGACCATATAAAGCGGAAGTAACAATTGATACAAAATCTCAAAAGGTTGTCTTCAAGGAATTCGGCGAGTTCCACGGCTCGTGGTGCCCGACGCGGATTGAAGCTAGCAAAATCGGCCAAGATACGCTCGATGTCCGAGAAAACTTAAAGAGGCCTTCAATACTCACACCGCAGAATCAAAATTGGACATTCACCATCTCTTTTGGTTTGTAGGCTATGCATTCTGGAATTACTTCAACTTCCCTTTCCACCTCCAGCAAAATCCAGATATCAAAATCCGTGAACTGGAACCCTTACTTCGCGAGAACGGCGAAGGATGGCCGTGTTGGAAGCCACATTCCCCGATGGATATCCCACTCACACCAAGATCCAAAAATACGACTTCGATGACCAATATCGATTGCGGCGGATGCGCTACTCTGTGGATGTTTTGAAGAACAGCAATGTGCCCGCATAACATAACTGTTTTAACCATGCTGTTGCTGGGAAAATAAGCTACCCAACTTTACGGGTTGTGACGATATCTGCGCCTGGAGTGGCATTTCTTACCCCTTTTATGTTGACGGACATTAAGCTGGAGGTTAATCAAGAGTGATTCCAGAGATACTCGAGGTGGAACTTGTCAAGCACGGGGATGTAGTTCAGTCTATCAGTCTAACGTGATTATTGCACAAGTATTTATGCCGAAAAGCTGAAAGTACTATCCTCGTTTCATATCGCAACTCCAAGACTAGAAATCATGTTCGCTCGCCCGTATAACAAGAGCAAGAAATTGCCGCCCAACTACATAACATCGATGTCCATCTCTAAATCACCATCTAGTGCTTCCTAGAAACAGTTTATCATCGTAAAAATTCTTTCCCATATCTGTAGAACCCTAACTCCACAGTGGGAGGTGCCATCGCCCTGTCATCCATCTTCAGGGGCTCTGCCAAGGCGCTCAATCTGGACGACCAGGCTAAGCTGCTGATTGAGTTCAAATTGATAACAGTCCTTACAATATCATTATTAATATGGCATTTCACCGAGTATAGGATGTAAACGCAGTGGGGCGAACGCACTCATTAGGGGTTCGATGACACTATAGGTAATCTACACCAATTGATCTTGATACTGCGGAGTGCTGCGGAGAGGTGCGGACGGTAGCGGATGGCTGCGGACACGGCTAAACAACACTCAAAGCTACCCTCAGGCATTCCGAAGCTAAACCACAAGCTGATCATAAGAATCACAACCAGTCCCCGAATCACTAATCAAGAATGGAGAGCCTCAACCTAATACAGTAACTGGGCCTTGAACCGCTGGATGCGAAGAGTGCTTGCTTACACGAACATCCTTTGCAACATGTCGAACCTCGTTTTTTTGGGAAGATGGGTCTGAGTGGAATCCTCGGGATCAAAGTTTCTTCCTTTATCTCATCCCGTATCATGACGGGAGAATAAATACGATATGCACCGACTGTACAGCATCCCGCAGCAGAAAGTCAAGATCTCTCCAGAGCATGTCACAGCGCGATATTGAGCAGACACTTCAAGCAACATGTCGAAAGCCTCCGAACTCGAATCCTTGGGAAACGACCCAAATGCCAGCCCGTTGATGGTGAATAGCGATACAGAAACCGCCGTCGTGGAGGAAAACGAGGTAAAGAAATCACAGCCGACTGTCCGAGATAACATCTTCGCCTTTTGCATCGTGTTCTGTCAACTGGTTCAAGTATGTCAACCTTTCCATATCTCGACATTCGAACCTAGAATCCAATTAACCGCCAAAAACAGGCTATACCATACGGCGCAGGTCTCGTAGCCGCCATTGGCATTCCAAAAGAACTGGGAGCACCCGAGAGCAAGAGCGTCTGGATCGCAGCATCATACCCGTACGAATATTCTCATCCTGTATCAACAAAGGAAGTATACTAACACTCCTAGACTAACCCAAGGCGCATTCGTCCTCATAGGCGGCCGCATCGGCGCCGTCCACGGCCACAAAAACACCATGCTCGTCGGCGCCTGCATCTACGTGTTATTCCACCTCATCACAGGCTTCATGCGATCCGCAGACACCGTCATCGTCATGCGCGCCCTCAGCGGCGTCGGCGGCGGAATCATGGTCCCCAACCTGATTGCCATGCTAACGATTGCTTTTCCACCGGGCCTGATGCGAAATATCTGGGTTGGCATGTTTGGTGCCATGGGTCCGGTTGGTGCTGCTGGCGGGACTGTGTTTCCTGGCTTTTTTGGGCAATTGACGGAGTGGTGGTGGCTATATTTCTTCTTGTAAGTCATTACGGGTGAAGGTCGATTACAAGGGGGTATATACTGATATACGGCTCACAGGGCCATCTTTGGAGCAGTCGTTTTTGGCGCAAGTTCCTTCGTCTTGCCTCCTGACGGCAGACCTATGGACGCAGATGGGACGGTTGACTATGTCGGTGCCTACTTCGGAGTCGCTGGCCTCGTCTTGTTCAATTTCTCCTGGACGTAAGTTACTCTCTCAACAGTTCTTAAAACTCACCAGAGTATCGCTCACTAACAAGAAAAATAGAGAAGCAGCTGTTGTGGGTTGGGAACAGTCCTACGTCTACGCTCTTCTCATCGTCTCCATCCTACATTTCGTCCTCTTCGTCATATGGGAAGGCAGGTTTGCAAAAGAGCCCATTCTCCCCCTCGATATCTGGGGAGCCCCTTCATTCGGACCAATGGTCTTGTCCGCCTTCATGTCCTTCATGGGAGTCGGCATCTTCCTCTACTACGTCCAAATCTGGAACATTTCCATCCGCCACTATTCCAACCTCCTCACCGGAGCAGTCAACTCTGCCTTTGCCACCGTTGGCACCCTTGGCTGCTTCGTCAGCGCAATTGCCGTGCGATATCTCCCTGCGCAAGTAGTCATGGCAACAGGTGCAATAGCAACGGTGGTCGCTACCATCATCCTGGCTACAATGCCAGCACAGCAAACATACTGGGCTCAGTGCTTTCCCGCATTCATCATTATGGGATTCAGCCCCGATTTCATCTTTACGGCGACACAGATCATTACTAGCAACAGCGTCCCACGGAAGCACCAGGGAATTGCTGGGTCACTAATGGGCACCATCCAGATGTACGGTCTGAGTACCGGGCTGGGATTCGCTGGAACGGTTGAACGGTATACAAACAACGGCGGCCGTGACCAACTCGGAGGCATTCGGCATGCACTTTACCTTACAATTGGAATGGCGGGCGCTTCTGCATTGATATCTCTGTTTCTTATCCGGATACCGAAGGATCAACGTGATGGATGGGATAAGGAAGATGAGGCAGCAGCGTAGACTCAGCTTTTGACGTTGCCCTTTCCATTCCTCATGAGAAAAATTCGGCATCACGGTTTCATCTACTGACCATAGTATCATCTGCTGTCCACGGTTTCGTCTATTGTAAAATAACCTCTGTACCAGGATAGAAGGCATAGTAATAAAGTCTATATAAAGCTGCTAGGTTGTTTCAACAGTCAGGCACACTAACGGGAATGTGAAGCGGAACGCTCGTTGCCAAACCGCTCAAGCTCGTCTCCTTAAACTCATTCCTCATGCCCTGAGCCGTCACGCGCATAGCCCGAATGGCATCATCAAGGCTGACCTTTTGCGTGCCAGTCTCACCGCTGAGGGCGAGATTGGCGCTCGAAATGGCTTTGATGGCACCCAAAGCATTACGCTCTATGCAAGGTGCTTGTACCAACCCGCCAATTGGATCGCATGTCAAGCCCAGGTTATGCTCAATACCAATCTCAGCTGCCTGTTCAATGGTTTGAGGGCTCGCTCCCATACAGGCTGCGAATGCTCCAGCTGCCATGGAACAAGCGACGCCCACTTCGGCCATGCATCCGCCCTCTGCTGCGGAGATGGTGGCACCGCGTTTATACAGCATACCAATGGCGGCAGCTGTCAGCAGAAAGGATAGAATGTCGCGCTCCGGGTCATCGCTGACGAACTCGATGGTGTACTTGAGCACCGCGGGTATAATGCCTGCCGCGCCGTTGGTTGGGGCGGTAACGATGCGTCCGCCGGCTGCATTGGTCTCGTTGACCGCCATGGCGTATACAGTCAAGTAGTCCACTACAGTTCGAATTAGCTTGTTGTCTTCAGAATGATGCTATCAATTCTGAATAATACTTACTTGCTGGGAATGTGGTACGTCGTCGGGGCGATGGTAGTACTGGATGAGTAAAGGAGCCATGTGTTCGCAGAGGCATACTTCTTCTAGTAGCGATGCTCTTTCGTCCTGAAGAAGTTGGTGCCGAGGTCGTAGTCAGGGTTGAAGTCCCTGCTGCATCTGAAGCTGATGGCAATGCTTGGTTTTCCAATGGAAGCTGAGCCTGGGTCGTTTCTGTGCCCTGGGTGGCGTGGGAAGGATACAGCCCTCTTGTGAGTCGTCTATACAATGCTGGTGCTCGTCTATGCAGTTTCAGGCTGCCAGGCAGCGTTGAATCCGGTGGTGCTTGGACACCTTCCAGGATGCTGTTGTCCATGACCTCCCAGATGCGGAAAACCTTGTCGCGGATTTGTTCATCTGTGTAACCGTGGCTCTTTTCGTTTTCATACACCAGCTGTGCAATCGTTAAATTGTGCTTATCACACAGCGCCAATAGGCTTTTTGCGTCTCTGAAAGGGTATCGAGGCTGATGACCATGCGCACCGTCTGATGCCGCGGCGTCTTCCGCTGAGGAGGTGACCGGAGATGGTGCTTGGCCACCCTCGGAGCCTGATGTGAGTAGACCCGACGACTCTCCTTCGAGATGCTTGATCTCTTGTCCAGTCCGTCGATCTCCTGCTGCATCTTCTCGCCTAATCTCCTTATAGTACATGTTCTCCGCCAGGTCAAGTGGGTGTGCATTGTTGCCTTCGGTCTGTTGTTGATGGACCTCGGACAACCCAAGGCCAGCATCTTCGGCTGATGATGGTGTTTCTGAGTCCGGACGGTTGATTGACAAAGCACCGTTGACAACAAATCCACCGCCAACGCTGAACATGTCATTGGTCGCCAACATGTAGCCCTCCTTGTCAAACACCATGAGACGCATGCCGTTGCTGTGCTGGGGGAGCTTTCTCGTCCACTCCCACTTGAAATCGCGCTCATAGTCGAAGGTAATTTCTTTGCCCTTGCCATCTTCGAGCTCGCGGCCCAGAAAGAGCTTCTTGTCTGTCTTGATCTGCTCAAAGCGCTTAGGCACGTAGTCCGTATCGACTGTCTCCACATCGGCGCTCTCAAGACCAAGCAGAAGAGCAGATGGTGTCATGTGGCCCTCGCCAGTGAGAGCCAGACTGCCGTAGAGTGCAACGCGTATCCTGTCGACTTTTTCTAGCAGGCCAGCTGCATGTAAGTCTGAGACAAAGATGTTGCCTGCCCGCATGGGTCCAACGGTGTGGGATGATGAGGGCCCAATGCCAATGGAAAAGAGATCAAAAGTCGAGATGACGGCATGTTCATGGTCGGCCTCACTGTAGGTTCCGGTTTCATCGTCGAATTGGTTCCGCCGGGTTGCCGTGCTGCTGAAACTCCGAGATACCGATAGCCGCGGTGCGCAGCTCAGCAGCTGGCTCCTGGCCTTGAGGGGATCGCGGGCTGTAGCTGTGCGGAGATGCCACCTGGACGACGCCAGCGAAGGCCATGACGCCCGTCCGGCAGCGCTCCGTGAGAGCCCAAGCTGCTTAATCGCCGCCCGGTGGTGCATCCTGAGATCCGATTTGCTCCGCTGCCGAAGCGTGGTGTTGACAGATGCCAGATCTGGGTCGCGTTTGTTGGAAAGCTTGATCTGTCGATCCAATGACAAACAACGCCGTTGTTGGGCCGGGGATTGCCGATAAAGGCCGCCTTATCATGTAGCAAAAATAGCGATTGAAGGCCTTGGCCGTCTACAGAGTATGTGATGTGCTCTTTATGCTCTCTCTATGACATGCAATTGGATATCTACGTTTACATACATCCAATCCTAGGATTTCCAAGCCCTGAGACATGCCCAATTGAGACTCTCCGAAAGGGTGCCTGTACCTTGTACATGCTCGAGGACAAATCTCAGACGGAGGTAAACCCACGTGACTTTGTGTGTGACGCATCTAGTCAAATCTCGAAGCAGAGCACTTGATTTAGAAGATCGTGTATTCACGGAACAGTTCCATTGAACCAAATATGGCCATCTACCTATATATACCAAAGAGTTAGAGAGGTACACTGGATTCTAGTGAAATCGGCGCAAAACAGAGCCTCGTTCAGCTCATCGACAAGGGCCTCGGACTAGTGCGGGCTCGTGTCCGCAGTCAGTCCGCAGCCTATCACGAACAGCCTGATTACAATCTCGCGACTCATCTCATGGCCCACACAGTTTACGGCGTGCTATCCTTTCCAAACACTGTGGCCAATTCTCAAGATGTCTTCTCAGCAAGAAAGCAACAGACCATGTTAAAGGGCGGCACGCATACATTCTCTGAGGACTACATATATAGGCACATCAAAACAGGCATTTGTAATTACTGAGTATATGCGTTCCTGTAGGTATAGTAAATGTGTAAAGGTACAAGTGGGTCGTCCAAAGGATATACCATGAGCCAGTTTCTTCTTCTCACAAGGTAGGGACGTAGCTAGTCCATCGTATCACTACCCGGTAGTACAAATTGATCCGGTAAATACTTTGGAGTGTGAATAGTGAAGATTTATGCCGGGGGGTCCTTGTTTATAGGTGTATATCAGGATCAGATAGAGCGGACAGCGCCCCTCGACAACCTTCTATCGTCAGGGCCAAGGAGAAGGCCCTTCCTGTGGGCTTGAACACGGCTACTAAAACTACTCGCTGCGTACGCCAAATGTGCTTTACACGAGAAGCATGGCGCTGCTAGGCCTTGCCACACAGGAACCCTATACATTTCGTGTTGTCCAACCGTGTCAGGCTGCTTGATCCCGATGGTCAGGCTGCGCTTCCACCTATTAGCGTTGCCAAACATACTCCTGCAACGGGCGGCTCTGAGGGATTCACAGCAACCAGATAGGCTAGCGAAGTTTTCCTCCAGCATCTCACAGAGGTATCGGCCCTTTCTTCTCGTACTATACGACATTGACGAGAATAGTGAGGCAAGCTCACATCATAGCACCAGAATGTGAATAGTAGTCGACATGAGAATTTTCAATTTAATTACATTTTATGCCTCTATACTACCCATACAGTATGCCTCGGGTGGCCCCTGAGAAGGCCGTGGAGAGGCGACGTGTTTGATCCTGTACGGTTGAGTAAGATTCGACATCGCCACAACATCTCTAAATCTCTACGACGTGTGAGTCTTGCGACACTAGGAATTGTTTCCCCAGCATCTTCGCACCTCAAGGAGAAATATACTCGCTGGGAAGACTCTCTACGCTGCAGGTTAATGTTCAAGCTAGTCAAGATATCATGGCGACTTTAGCATTCACTTGGGAATACGGTAATCGAGTGACAGTCAAGAATACTGGCCATGGTTGCTATTTTTCCAATACTTCACCCTGTTGAATGACGGCACGGCGCGAGATTAAAAAGGGAGGCACATCCGCATATGAAAAGTTTGCCAAATTTCAATATCCGCACATATCCTCATCTATATAATACCCACACCATCGATTTGGTTCAGTAAGCACTTCTGAAAAGAGCGGTTGTGTGTTAAAATCGCCACTCCAAAGAACTCAACCCCCATACCTTGACGAGCTTGACAAGGACCAGAATTTCTCATTGCCATGGTCGCTCGTTCTGGATATCGTACTATTCTCGGCTAGAGCTTTCTTGCAAAAGATAGAAGAATGCCACCAGCACATGTTCGAAAATGAATAACAACACCACAAATCGAGATTTCATCCATAACTTTAAACGATATGGAGTTTATCCTTCGATTTGGTTCGTCTGCTCGATGTGCAGAATAAAAACATTGCCAGCGTCAACAGAGAAAAGGCAGCTACGGCAACTCCAAAGATCCAGAGGTCTGGTGAGACTGTCGTTGTACTCTTACTCTTGCCTCGCCATTCAAAGAATCCCATGGAAAAGAAACTCTGTATGTTGACTGTCAGCAACGCCAGATCCAAAAAGTCTTCCGGGTGACATACGCAAACAAATGTTGCTGGAAGATAGATCATGCCGAGAGTGGCAATGGACTTCATGAGACTTCCATCTCGTTGAGTCATCTCTGCCACTGCCAGATTGCTTCGTGATATGATTTCATTAATTCTTGCATCTTTTCGACCAATCTGGTTTAGATCCTGTTGAAAGTAAGCTTTGGCACCGTAGTGGTATGGGGAGACAATAACCATTTGGCTTGCAAGAGACATTCCTGCCGTAACGTGATCGCATTCTCTGATGAAATGGTCATATTCGTCAACCAAGTCGCGCAGTCTTTCTCTGATTCTGTGACCACATTCCTTCAATTCATCTCTCCTTTTATCCCAAACCTCGGTGGGAATGTTGCGGTTCATACCAAAGTCTGCAGCTTCTAGTTCCTGTACGTGATTTATCATCTTGCGTAGTTGTGTTTTCCAGCTTTCCATGCCATTCTTGAGATAGCTTATCTTAATCCAGAGCATGGTGCAAGTTTCATCATCTTTCTTGTCCTCGGGTCGCAATGTCTCCAATCGCACTGCACAATTAAGTGTCGCTGATAATATCAGAAGGTTTTAGATGAATACTTCATAAGGATGTGGCCGGTGTCCTCTTACATGATGTATATATGTTTTTTCCCGATAGAAAACTCTTCAATCTGCCTTTCATGCCATTGAAGAACGAGCCTGTTCCTGATGGTGATGACGAGTCTGGTGGAGATCCCTTCTCCATGGATTGCCGGATGTCTCTATCGGTCTGTCGTAATCCATAGAATGCATCGTTCCGCGATTCAATGTCCATCATTCTTTGCATAAACTGAGAATTGCTTTTGCGCACGAGGTTAACCTGCCTTTCTCTCTCAAATTCGGCAAATATGGTAGGTAACATCATAGGATGAAAGACTTTGCCATCGAATTTGCGCAACTTGCCCGTAATCATTTCAGAATCAGACAATATATGGTTATAAATTGATTGCTCCTCAAAGTTGCAACCAAACCAGATAGCATTCGTAGTCAGCGTATCCGGGAAAAATGTCACAGATAAGGCCATATCGTTTTCCCAGGTTTCGGCTGTTCTACACGTATAGACTACTTTGTGTTAGCACATGTGTTGGCTTAGATGGTGGACGGGGATTACCTATTGATCTTTGGCTCGAACCTTCACCTCCCAAGGCCGGCATCATTCTTGAAAAGGTGCAACTCGTGTTTCTGTTGATTGCACGTATAATCGATTTGTGTATCTGCAATTTGCGCATCAGTTTTGAGAAGGTATTCTCCGAAAAGGGCACCCTGGATAGTGATGATGTTTTGCCACCCATGACCAAATTTATACCACTAGAAACCTCTGTGCTTTGCTTTTTTGAGCCATCATCTTCATCTGCTAGGTATGGAGATGTAATTGGTACATCTTCAGATCCGATCCATCTGTCCCATTCAATCTCATCTCTCGGTTGCAATAGCTGGATGCAATGTCCTTCACCAATGCGAAGACAGTCATCATTATCCTCTTCATGCTTTCGAATTCGGAACAACTGATTCTCAGTAACTGAAAATGTCAGTAATGCTTTATCATCTTGGTCAAGCTCAGCCTTCTGGTCAATCCAAGACATGTTTAGTAGTATTTCGTGTTAAGTGGATGGGCACAGCTGCCGTGTCCAACGATGTGTATGAAAATGCGAATCTGTAAAGGCCAAGAAAGCGCGGGTGCAAGTTAAGTGCATTCACCTCAGAGTGCTATGATATTTGCATTAGCACAAAAGGCGGCTATGCCGGGCTAAGCCATGTTTCATATGTCCTTGCAGTGCTACTTGGTCTAAGTTGTACGAGGCTAATACGCACCCACTGGTGGTTAGATACAGTCCAGCCAATGGAACAGTAAACCATGGTCACACGTTCATCTAGATAAGGGTTGAGCTACATGTATTACGCAATTCTGTCCAACTTAAACAGCCCCCTATTTCATTGTGTTCCGCCACGTTGTGGGCATAATATGTTACTATCGCAGTTGGTGTTACTACAATAGGTATACGAAGGCTAATCCTTAATTTAGACAGTCCGAGGCCGGAAGACGCGGTGATCTTTAATGACTAAATTGATTAGTAGACCGATTATCGCAGTGTTATGCCATGTAGCCTCAGTTGATATGTATCCACCACGCGAATGGGTTAGATGAAGTATTGTTGGTCAGATATAAATACGGAGTCTCGCATAAATCTCAGAGCCTGGAATCCCCTCAATCAGAAATCAAAATTAACACCAGGAAGTTAGCGAGACTATTGGCATAGTTGAACTCCCCCCTCACTACTACGATATCTATTAATCAAAAGGAAATATGGACACACAATTCGTTGCCATGGATTATGGCTCAAAGGAGAGACTGGCAGGAATTCTCAAAGATTTACTTGGTGAAGAAAACTTCAAAATCGTCGGGGTAGTCCTTCTTTTTCCTTTTTCTTCGAGTCTAAAAAGCACAGAACGTCTAATTACTTCAATAGCGCATCGCGAATCAATGGGAACTCAAGCTGGCAAGACGATTAACGACTGTATGATATACCTTTCTTTGAGATCTTCTATGACAGGGAGTGCAATTTGATTCTAACCAGACAGTCAACAATAGGAGGAAATTGATGAGATCCGGCGAAACATGAAACTTCATTACCATCCGACATCATGACTGCGGCGACGAAAACTTCAAGATAGCAAGGAGATGACTCAACGTGGCAGCCATCTAGGACCAACTGATAGATTCACCAGGCTCCTCCGTGTTAGCTAGCTGTAATACTGGAAGTCAACAACTACACTATGATGAGATTGGTTTGGAGCTCTATGCATATGATAGCTAATTCACTGATCAAATTGAACATTGAATCTTTTAGAAAACATAATCATTCCATCATTCATAAATGTTGCCAGAGCAAAACCTTCAAGAGTGATGAGACTAGGGGCCCCGAAAACAGGGTCCAAGGTGCAAATGACATTAAGCAAAGAATGATTCTTTCTTTGTTGCGCGTTCAGCACTCATCCCAGTTTTTATATCATAACATCGAGGAGGGGAGTAGCAACTATAAATTTCATCCTCACTGAGCCGGCCCGGCGCACAAATACGACACACGTTAGAGGACACCTTTACGTCGTTAGCGAAACCATCTCATTGAGAGATCGTATAGGGCCAAACCTGTATAATAGATCTTTAACTTACAGCAAGAGTGTACTGTCCTTTCCATTTGCTTTTCAACAAATCTTGTAGTCGCTTCACCTCTAAAAAGTTTCCATATATGTATTGCGGTTCGTTTTGTTTCCAGTCATTTCGGGAAGATGTCGTGCTGTATCGGCAGCGTTGTAGAGGTTTTCGAACAAGTGCCCACATTTTTGAAGGTATGCTGAAAAATATTTCACATAGGCATTGGGACTCTTTTTCTCTCCAGTCATCTTGGGAAGGCGTCATGAAGCGGCAACGGAGCCGTAGGGGTTTTTGAAGCAGTTTTTCCACTCTTGAAGATGTAGTGGATTCCGTCTCCGTTGAAGGTGTACTGCATTCCGTCCTTGTTGTAGGTGTACTGCATTCCATTGTATTGGCAGCCTGTGGCAGCAGAATGATGAGCATAGCATTAGAGAGATATGCGGAGGGGGTGAGGGAGGAAAGAAGGAGAGCCCGACGTCTTATGGTTGTCCTCCTCTACTCTCTACCCTGTCCAATTGTCTTTCGCCGTTGGAATGTAGACCATTTTCCTGTTTTGCTACTATATCATACTGTACAACGCGACTGGGCAGCTACAAAGCTCGTAAGGCAGCGTGTTTTATTGGTCATCACATGAGTAGCTAAAACTAGCAACCGGTGAGGCATTTTCTTTTGTACTACTACAAGGTTTTTCATAAGCTACACCGGGTACATACGTTAAATGCTTGGGGCTGATGGGCCCGGAGGCCATGACCAGTATACAAGCAGCTTGTCTAATGAGGTATGATTGGGTCGCCGAGTTTCAGTGATACCACAGGAAAAGGGGGGGCGCGGAGGGGGGCGGGGGCTGGGAATCACGAGAGACGCTCGAGAATCGGGAGTAGAGGCGAGAGTAATACTGTAGTACAACCAGCCGAAGGTTGCTAATGGCGTCATAAGATCCCTAGGCTCCCTGCATGGCCGTGTTTGTGGCAAAGCCTGGACTCGCCTTCATCAGCAGGTCGCCGGCTGAGTTAGAAAATGATAATCCATTCAGATCGAGAGGCTACAACCGCCGCCTTTAGTCGCCTTGTGCAACCACTCCCAGCGGTTTGCAAGGGAGAAGAAAAACTGCGACTGTGACTGCGACTGCAAATGAATTCTATGCGGGTCCGTTGAGGCAACAAGAGCACGATAGGAAGAACTTAAGCGCCGGCCAAGATGTGCGTACTATGTATCTCATTGTGCCGATTGGTTTCAAATTCCCTGTTATTTGGCATATTTCTTTCATCTATTGGCTGCCAAAACGGAAACATACAGTGGTACTACCTAGGTATGGACCGTAGTTGTGTAAGGGATGAAGTCACCCGCTCTAGGTATATGCAGTTGGAACTTCATACATGCATCTAGCAGTTTGGTATTATGGACTCCATACTCTGAGAAGATCACGGGAGCGAGAGATCAGCGCCCCTCACCGGTATCGGAAACATTAGAACGGTATATGCAGTCCATTGTGCCACACGAAGAACAATCTTAATACCGACATTATCGTGATTGTCATGGATCTTTCTATCTACCTGGGTACTTACTATTCTAGTATGTCCCAGAATAAAATCTCAGTACTCCAGTATGACGCAGCCAACTTGAATTATGTACGCTCTTTAAGTTACTAGCTACAGAACTACCTAGTGTATCACCAACTGAATTCAATGGGCAATACTATCATGTAGCCTTTTGTTTTCCTATTGCTTGCCGACCACTATTTATTTTCTGTTATAAAGTAGCAAACTTTATTGTTTCTAGAGAGGCCAATGAAAATGCCTATTTTACATAAATCTGCAAGACAATTCGCCTCGTTTTTTTAACCCAGTTTTGCGGTTGCTGTTGTTGTTATAGCTAGTACAACGGCCATTTTCTAATCCATAGCTGTCGTGTTATGTGCAGCAAAGTCTTTTTTGAAACTCAAACACCTGTCTTCGGCCCTAGAATACTAACAATGACGAAGCGGCACGGGCCTGCCGAACGTCCTTTTGACTGGCTACCGGCAAGGCTGTGCCCCCCCTTTATGCAGGTCTCGGAATACGATGTTTTGCATGGGGTTCGGAAAATACCTTGGCAAATGTTCAGGAACGGGCATGGACGCTTAGTTTGTACAACGTCCCTCATCTTGGTTGGATGAAAAGTCAAGCCTCTAGAATAGACTCAAATGACTCGATTTCTCAGCGTTATGCGAATGTCTGAGGTGGCCCATCGATGAGAGAACAGGACAGAGAATTCACATCTTTGCAGAGGTGAAAGCTCAGTGGAGGAGCTTCAGTAAAGGCTTCAAACCTGATTCTAGGCAGCCTCAATCATTGAAACAGAATAATTGCTTTAGCTTAATGGATGGTTAAGAATGACAGATAGAGACAACTATTGCACGAAAGAAGAATATGCCGGGCCAAATCCAGTGGTTGTTACAGCCGCGCGCTTCTCAGAAATAATAGTAACCACCTGTAGGTGTAAAACAAGGTGTCCACATCGTCCCAACACATATGCCGATAGACGCCCATGTATACTAAATATACCAACTAAATAAGCTCCTAACGACAAGGCATAATCAGTGGCTAATTTTATTCATGGAGAATAGCAGATGTTGGTTGAACTCATCTCAATATTTCCAATTACCTATATAATGTCAATATCGCTACAATATACACCACCTTGTATAAAGCTACTATTCTTACATCAAGGTTTTTCCATCTATTTCCCATTTTTATATACATAACACGTCTAATACTATATCTACCTCTGTTGAAATCCAATCCACGAACGGAAAGACATCCAGCATGAGCGGCAACATATCTAACAGCCTATGCGGCTGCTTAATGGAGGCTTATGTGATGAGTCCATACGATGAAAAGCTTTTTATACCGCATCAGAAGCTAAAAGAAATTTGTAATTACCAAGCAGTTGTGGAAACTTTAACTCTAGCATTCCCAGAGAAAGATGCCAATTTTCACAAAGACCTCGCATCGGCAATATGTCAGGGGCGAGATTGTATTCTCCCAGCTGACGTTTCCAAAGCCCCACCACATACCGCCATCGATGCCCTCAACGAATCTAGAAAGCCCACAATACCGAATGAATCTACCCTAACTGGGCAGGCCGTCACCAAGAACGGCACTGTCGTCCCGTGTGAAAGTTCACCGTCATACTACAGAATCTTTGCCATTCTTGTTCTTATAGGTCAAGTTAGGCTTATAGAAACATTCCAGGATCACTCACTCACCGATGAAGATCTCCCGTTGTCTAGTACGCCCCCCTTCGATACTCTGTCGTCGCCTATGAGGCGTGTGCAAATACCTTGCGGGTCCGGGGACCGCCATTGGATCGAAACGTTCTTTTCGAAACAATGGTCCGTCCTGGCACCGTATTTCGAGCGTAATACGACTGGGAATCGACGGTGTAACGAGTATGAAATCCACCAGGATAAGATATTACCCATCGAAGAAGTCTCTGAGAAACACGATGGTGGATTTGGAGTTGTTAAAAAGATTAAGATACATCGCGAGCATCATAACTTTGTAAGTTTATTCTTGTTTACATAAACATACCTTCAGCCGTAATCTCACTAACCAAGATCGCAGAATCATGAATACTTCGCTTTAAAAACCATGAGCCAGGAAAAGCCCGAATCAAAAGATGAAGCCTTCCGGCTGGAGCTACAGGCCTTGCTGAAGATTGATCCCGATCGTCACATCATAGAGATCTGTGCCGCTTTCAAAATGGGAGACAGTCGCTGCTTTCTTTTCCCCTGGGCAAATGGGGGGAGCCTTGATGAGTTATGGATAAAAAGCCCATCCGATATTATTGAATCTGCAAAGATACAATGGTCTCAGTTTGTACGGTGGATTTGCATACAATGTCACGGCATCATCAAGGGTCTTATGACCATCCATGAGCTGCGTAGTGGCAACGAGATGCTCTTCGGAATTCACAACGACATTAAGCCAGACAATATTTTATACTTTTCTCAAGACGGCCCACCATTAGGAACGCTTAAAATATCAGACTTAGGCCTCATGAAGTTTCACAAACACGACTCTCGGACTAGGAAGTCTCCATCTATGGGTATGGCTTACCAACCTTACAGATCACCTGAGCACGACACAAGTGAGATCAGATCTAGGAAGATTGATATATGGGCATTTGGTTGCCTCTTTGCCGAATTTATGACATGGGTGATTCGTGGTGGTAATGGAGTCGAAGCATTCAAAAGGCAGCGGATTAAGGGAAGTGATCCAGAGCTTTGGGAGGATACCTTTTTTATCTTGAAGTCATCCCTTTTCGGATCTAAAAAGCCAACACTAAAGAGATCAGTTAAAGCGGTAAGTAGAAAAGCAATGCAGCAGTGGGAACTTTATAGCTAACCGTCTCTTGAAGTGGTTCGCGGAGCTAATTAACGACTTAGGTCCGGACATGAAAGGAACCTTCTTCCCGGAGTTCCTACATTTCACTCAAAATCGAATGCTTCACACTGATAGAAATAAACGAGCTGAATGCAAGGAAGTGGAAGCTTTCTTAAGAAATCTCATAGAAAAGCCCGCAGACAGTCCATATTGGCACTTTAAATAACCAGTGGCGCACTCAGGAAGCAGGCACTGGGTTGTAAGGTCATCTACGCATGTTTGGAACTGATCAGTTTGTTCGTTTATTTGTTTGCTTCTTGAATGATTTACTCCTAGATGGCGTCAATAAAGTTGTTTGGCATTCCTGCGGACAAGTAGATGGTGCTTGATAAATTCACGAGATGCTGGTTGCTGATTCTATTACTCGTTTCATACCTGAGGAGACGGCAAACGCAGCAGCTGCTACCCATATCCACAGGATGGGGGAGGACAAAGAAAACACGCTGCTTTAATGAAACCTATATGAGCCTAGTCGCAGTGTACGGCGTAGCGTAACAAAGCCAGAAGCCGCCCACAATCCAACATCCATAGCTGGTTCGAGCAGTTACAAAACTAGATCGTTGCTATAGGCTGACAATGGCCCATTCTCAAACCTGCATCTGCGCCATTGGCATTTCCATTGGATGTCCACGTTTGCTTTGGTAACATACCCATCAATGCAAGGGAACTGAAGACGTCGCTTATTTGTCACCGGAAAGGCTTCCTTTGTGAAAATCTTCGTATAACTGAGGCTGAGTCGTGGCAAGGCAGCATTCGCCCTGGTGAATGTGACGCATGGCGCGAAATGATTGCGCGCAACAGTGACCAGTAGGACAGCACGAGCGCTATCCATTGTTTCAGAACGACCGGGTTATCACAAGTGCTGTGTTGACAGCCCAATGATCTGCTTCTCATGGTTGTGGAATTAACACTGCCGAGGACCATTCAACGACTCACACACCAAACGAGTCTCTATGGGTCAGTCAACAGCATAATTTTATGAAATTGTAATAGAATGTAATGATCATTGTTTGATTGGTTCAGTTTAATATAATATTGTCAGCCATATGAATTTTCAAACAATGTAGCAAAATGATAATAGTCACCTGAGGGGGATGGTATCGAAATCCAGCAATCCGATGATTAACCTTGTCTAGCTTGAGAGAAGATTCGCGTATAAACCAATCTCATTGGCAGTAGAAACGAGAACAAAGAACCCGACAAGTGTGCTACTTCTCGCGGAGAACTTTGTTTGACATGGCAAACGTATGTGCATCTTTGTTCTTTTCTCTATATACAAGACAAAGAAAGATCAATCCTTTGTATCTGGACAAAGAGTAATATTTGAAGGAGGATAAAATGAATGTAAATTTATGGTATCAGGCTACACAGAACATGTATCCTTTGTTCATGCCTTGTTCACGGTCACGGCGCAACCTTGCTTTATATACCCCATCCACAAGCCTACGAGTTGCGTTTACATGTCCTCATCCTTATTCTCTTTCATCATTCCGTCACAATAAGCGATACCACTATCGAACAACTAGTAGAAAATTGCATGGAATGGCTTCGTTTCATCCTTATCTAGAGACATATGCTGAATCGTCACGGGATTCTCAGGACACCGATGAGGCTCCGCATAATGTCGATTCTACGTTCGAAAATCTAGATGCTAACGAGAAGGCGATATACCTGAGCCTTAACCACGCTTATGTGTCCATCTCACACAACGGTAAGGTGTTTATACCACGCCAAAAACTACAGGAAATATGCAACGAACAGGCAGTCGCAAAGGAATTAGCCAGCGCATTTCCCGAAAATGACACCGACACAAACGAAAGACTCGCATTGTCAATATGTTACGGACGAGCGGAAGACCCATCTACCGCACCCCGGCCGTGTCGCAAGATATTCGCCATCCTGGCTCTTATCCATCAAACTAGGCTTATAGAATCATTCCTAGATCACCCATTCTGCGATAACGATCTCCCGTTATCTGTTGGTCCGGAGTTCTTTACTCTGTGCGCTCCCGAACTAAAACCTATGCGCCATATGAAACTTCCTGAAGAGCCAGATCATGTTCGGGCTACTGCTACTCGAGATTTGTTTCTCAATAGACAATGGTCTGTCCTGGCGCCGTCTTTCGAAGCTGATACAACTGGAAAGGGGTGCAAAGTATATGAATTTGATGAGAATGATATATTGCCCATTAAAGCATACCCCAGATATGATTACGACAGTGGATGTGGATTAGATCAAAAGGTTAAGATACATCGTGAGCATAATGGCTTGGTGAGTTTACTATCGTTGGCATGAACGTATACTTAGCCAATTTCACTAACCAGGATTGCAGGGTCATAAATACTTTCGTCTCAGAACTATATCATCATATGTTTTTATTCAAAGAAAAATACGCTTTCAGCAGAATCTGGATGCTTATCAACACGCTACAGGTCACATCATAGAAATATGCGCCGCTTTTAAGAAACAAGATAAGATACAAGATAATTATAGTTTTCTTTTCGCTTGGCCAGAGGGAGGGAGCCTTAACGATTTATGGGCTAAGGATCCAGGTAATGTTGCCACTGCAGCAGGAGTACAGTGGCCTGAATTCAGTCGATGGATTTGCACGCAATGTCACGGAATAATTAAAACTATTCGGGCTATCCGCAAACAGTCTGCTACACTGACCGCAAACGAGGACGAACATTTCTACAGAATTGAAATCGACCTTAGGCCGCATAGCATCTTACACTTTATTAAAGACGGCCCACCATTAGGAATACTTAAAGTCTCTGATATACGTCCCATGAGGTTTCCCAGGCACAGCTCTTGGCCTAGGCGGTCGTTCACGGCCTACCAACCTTATGAAGCACCAAAACCTGACGTTAGACCCTGGGATGTTGAAATTTGGGCAGCTGGTTGCTTATTTGCTGAGTTCCTTACGTGGGCGATTCGCGGCAGTAATGGAGTTGAAGTATTCGAAACGAAACGAAAGGATGATAACAGAGCTTTGTCCGACAAAAGCAGCACAAGCCTCAAGGAAGAGAATTTCTATATCATGAGGTCATCCTGGATTTCATCCGAAAAACCAAAACTGAAGAGTTCAATTAAGAAGGTATTGTGGAATAATAACGCAGCGGAGAAAAGCGGACAGCTAACTAGTTTTTTTAAAGTGGTTCGCAGAGCTCACTGACGATCTAGGCCCAGGAATGAAAAATACCTTCTTCCCACAGTTTCTACGCTTCATCCAAACCTCAATGCTTGATCCCAATCGAAAGCGTCGAGCAGATTGCGAGAAAGTCGAATCTTTCTTGGGAGAACTACTGCAGAAAAATCCACCGAAAAGTCCATATTGGCACTTTAAAGGAACGACGCAATACCGAAAAGACAAGGATGGGAACCCGACAGAGTGAGACACTGAATCCTTACTGGAGAGGTTTCTAATGAATAACGAATTTTTTTTTTTTTTTTTTTCTTTCTTTCTTTCTTTCTTTCTTTCTTTCTTTCTTTCTTTCTTTCTTTCTTTCTTTCTTTCTTTCTTTCTTTCTCTATGTATGTGTGTATTGAGTATACCTGTTCATTGGAGTCGATACTAGCAGCGCGAATCAAGTTGATATCGGAGCTTTCTACGGGGACTACTTAAAACACGTCACGTTCTCTCTTTCTGCTAGGTATCAATCATGACTTATCACTCTCATTCGGAACATGAAATCGTCTATCAAATAAAGCATTGCGCCGCCCCCCTATCTAATGGCACCAAACCGATATACTAAGCTAGCGACAGAGGCCTCGCCCAAGCTGTTTGATGATTGTCGTCTATATGTTTAGCCCTGCATTAATGTTTTTGTGTATCTCTCAGCCCAACTCACCACCCCAGAAAGCATCTGAACTGTCCGTAACTATGTTCTTTTCTAGTTTTCCAAGGGCAGATAACAAAGTTCACGCATATCCACAGCGCTTCCAAACCGCGGGTTTCACGTCGCAGCAGTCTCGACAATGCCTTCGATAAAGTATACCTCTGGCAGCAGGGCCGACAGCTTCCTCGATCCCTGGTGTAGACTCTGCTTTCTTTTTTTGGTGAACCTAATCCAAGCTCCAAGATGCCTCTTGTTCTCTCTCGTCTTGTTTTCCACGCAAAGTTGTTCTCACAAAGATGTCGCAACCGATGAATGAGGCGAAGCCCAAATAGGCTATATGCCAATACAGTTCCGTGAATCGTCGATTAGCTGGCAATGTTGTAGATGCTGTGGGAGTGTCAATAAACAGTTCAGCTTGGAAGTCATCAGGCCTTCACTCACTTGATGTCCTCCCGGTATGACGGGCTCTTGGCGCCATCTCTGGCATCATCCGCAGCCTTTTGGCCGGGTGCCACGTTGACAACGCCGCCATTCGCAATGATCATTGCTTCCGAGCAGTTGGGGGTTTTTCTCTTCTTGTTCTTGCCGCGCAGTTGGCTAATGTGCTCGAAGTAGCCATCAGGCACCTCGGTGATGTACTTTCCAGAGAAGACGCCCACTTCAAACTCCTTGACGTCGTTTGTGTCATCAGCTGCTTCGGTACAGGCGTCCTTGAGATCCTGCAGGCTCTGGAAGATGACCTTGTCGGCTTGGATGTTCTCGGCCACCTCTTCGGTAGTTCGGTTGTATGCCACCAGCTCATCAGGGTCAGCAAGATCAATGCCGTACTAGAATGACATTCAAAATTAGCATTATTCCAAACAGAGTGTAGACCTCAACTTACGATGTGCTGGTTCATAATCTCGGGGGAGCATGAGACGACATAAACACGGGTTGCTCCAGCTTCTCTAGCCATTTGAACCTAAAGCCAAAGTCAGTCAGAGTATATAACAACAATGAACTGTCCACGTACAATCTCTCGCGATGTGTTTCCTCGGACAATGGAGTCATCAACGATGCAAATAACCTTTCCGTTGAACTCGGATTCGATAGGGGACAGCTTTCGACGGATACCCTTCTTCCTCGCCTCTTGGCCAGGCAGGATGAATGTGCGGAAGACTAAATGGAGGTCAGCTCAAAACACCCATATTGCCGAGATTCAGTCAGCTCACCATAACGGTTCTTTACGAAGGCGTTTGAGTAGGGTCGGTCAAGGCAGCTTGCAAGAGTAGCCGCGGCAGTGTTACTAGTCTGGGCATTTGGTTAGCAGATGATTCCGAGTGTTGCTTGAGTTTGTAAGCTTTACCTCTGGAACCGGGATAACTAAAGAGACATCTGATTAGCATGGTTCTTACGACTTCCCAAAGAAGCTGGCTACATACCAACATCAATCTCTTCAATCTCCTTTGCGGTCAAGATCTCCCTCATCTTGTTGGCCAGCTTGACGCCCATGTTCTGCCGGCTGCGGTGAACAGAAATACCGTCGATGCAGCTGTCAGGTCGGGCCAGGTAGACGTACTCGAATACGTCGGGAGTATACGACCTTGGCTCCACGATTTGGCGGAAGTGGACAGTGCCGTTCTTCTGGCAAAAGACAGCCTGGCCAGGCTTAATGTCGACGACGTCGGTAAATCCAAGCTGTCGGAGAGCAACAGATTCCGATGCAAGGAAGTAATCCTTGGCTCCTGGCAGGGTTTGAGAAGGTCGAGAGCCAAAGCAAAGAGGGCGAATGCCGTTTGCGTCTCTATAATGGACGTTGGTCAAATTCCCAACATGGGCATCAAGAAAGTTCAATCAGCCTACCTGAAACCCAGGATACCAAAGCCAGTCACCATAGCAGTGCAAGCATAAGCTCCGGCGCACTTGGCATAGACTTCACGCAGAGAAGTGAAGATGTCGTCGACGTTTACTCGAGCCTTGCCAAGCTCATTAAGCGCGTGTGCGAAAACATTGAGTCTGTGGTGAAAGAGTCAGTAAACGGCTTCATACAATATCCCCTAGTCGATTGATGCCATGGAGACGTAGATACGCACAATAGCTCAGAGTCCGAGTCCGAGTTGACATGTCGACGAGCTTCGACATCCAAGAACTCGCGAAGGTAGTCGGGGTTGATGAGGTTTCCGTTGACGCTGATGGATAGACCAAACGGAGAGTTTACGTAGAGGGGCTGAGCCTCAGATCTATGTTTCTACCGTGTTAGCATATGCTCGAAGCATCGAGTCGTCGGAACAGCACATACGCAGACGAAGTGCCGGCGGTGGGATATCGGACGTGGGCAATGCCGAAAGCACCAGGCAGCTGCTCCAGGAGAGCAAGTCCGTCGAACTCAGAAAAGACCTTTTGCGCCATTCCGAGGCCCTTTCTCTGGTAGACTCGACCCCCGTTGCAAACCGAGATGCCGGCAGCATCCTGACCTCGCTATTTTTCCCCATTAGTCCGAGCAACCAGCGTTTCCAAGCCCCAGATTCAACTTGCGTGTTGGAGATAAAAGAGACTCTCGTGGAGTTCGATGGCAGCCGTAGTGGCCTCCGGGTCTCCGAGCTGGATTCAGGAGTTGCCGTTAGCAAAGACCCATGCAGCGTTGCAGCGAGATTCCATCATAGAACGAACCATCAAACCAGTGACGCCACACATCTTGACGACGATGACGGCGGATTCCGCGGCCGAAAACAATCAGAAGAAACAACGGCAACGCAGCGGTGCGCTACAGAAGAGCAATGGAAGCCGGTCGTGACGATGTTTCGGCGCAGAAACGTCTCGATTCGGGACCAGTTTTGGCGCAAGAAGACGAGATTCGCGATTTCGGAAGCCTCCCAAAGTTTTTTTTTTTTTTTTCTTTTAACCCCGCAGGATCTGCCAGGCTAGTCCATCACGGCCTGCAAGGCAACGTGGGGTTGGTTCTCTTGGAAATATCCCACCAAAAAGTTTAGTGAGAGTTTGGCACGTGCATTTGTGAGGTTTGTCAAGGAGCGGGATGAATTGATGGATGGGAATTTAATCTGTTTAGGCCCTTGCCATGGCTCTTCTAGTGCTTTCTGACACTATTCTCGCCGCTGGAATCCATTACTGTACCAAGAATTCGAAGGCGGAGATGATGCGCAAAGTCGGCCTGTTCGGCAAAGTGGCAAAAAAAAATTGCCTCCGATATCACACTCACAGTGGACAGTGGGGACACGGCAAGATAGCAGCTGGGTGAACCAATGCCGGAGAAAGAAGAAGAGAGCCGCATGGAAGGGGGAATAAATACACCTGCATATGATCAGAGTGATATTTTACATGTGCAGGTGAGACGATTGGATGCAGCGCGCTGAACAATGCAATGGTGTAAGTGCGCATGGCATCTCCATGATACAAGATAGATGCAGCAGAGTAACAACTCCATCGTCAACTATTTAGGCATCTAGTAGCTGCTCTAAAACGAAACTTGATCTTGTAGTTTTAATAGAATCAATCATCTAGTCTATACCTGGTCTAGATAGCAAATGCGACAAGAAACAGCATGCAGAGTTGCCTTCGCCGACCTTGCCTTGATTCTCGCTATAGAAGTACTTGTACCGGCAGCCAGAGTGTTGTATTGTTCATCCAGTTGAACACTTCTTCTACTGTCCATGTTTGCTTTGTGTAGGTCGATATATTCACAACTGCCTATGAAGAATCTTGGCATCCAACAAACCACGCATCTCTTGCTCCTTTGCTACCCACACAGCTTCACTTCTGAGGGGCGTTCCGTTGCACCCAATGTCTTCAGCTTTTCATTAATACACTATTGTCTATCCTCTCTTCTTCTTATATCATAGACACTGTTTAATACAGGCTACATGTAAGCAGCTACAATAAAATACCTGCAAACCGGCCATCTTGGCTTCAAATCAGCTCAGCCCCACCACTTGAAATCTGATAGCCGTATATTTTCTGCCCCACCTCCAAACAAAGCTGCAGTTTATTCCGCGCCCTTTTGAATTGATCAACCTTTGAGCTCTTTTCAAAGACAGTTGCCTGTTTCATTCGTTTCAGTCATCTTATAAAGAAATGATCAACGGCAAGGTCTTGATTATTGCCGGCTCAGACCCTTCCGGGGGAGCGTACGTACTGCCCCAACTCACTTGAATCTGCACATGCCACTCTCCCCAAATGGAGCTGCAACGGTTACGCAATAACAGCTCCCCTCTAAGCTACAAAGCTATGCCGTCATAAAGAAAATACAATCCATCTATTTCCAAAGAGTAAATGTATTTTACTAATAATACGTGTCCTACTGCAGTGGCTTGGAGGCAGACCAAAAAGTCCTTGCCGCGCATGGCTGCTACGCAATGGCATCAACCACGGCACTAACCATCCAAAACACAAAAGGCGTAACAGGAGTCCACGTCATTCCATCAGACTTTGTTGGAAAGCAGATTGAAGCCTGTCTCGAAGATGTAGGCGCCGACGTCATCAAGACGGGCGAGTTCCCATTCACAACCAAGGCCTGTCAAGCAACTCACTAACGACGTCGAACAGGAATGCTGGCATCTGCGGACACAATCGAGGTCATTGCCAAACTAGTCACCAAGTACAAAATCCCAGCTCTAGTTGTGGACCCGGTATGGCTTCCAAGGCATCCTTTGTCCAAAAAGAAGCTGACAAAGATGAATCCATAGGTCATGGTCTCAACATCAGGAGCCCAGCTCCTCCCCCACGAAGCCATCGCCCAACTGTCCCAGCATCTTCTCCCTCACACCACCCTCCTCACCCCCAACATCCCAGAAGCAACCCTCCTCTTGACGCAGAATGGCCATGAAGTCGGCGAGATACAGTCCGTCGCCGACGTCGAAGTCATGGGGCGCAAGATCCAGGAGCTAGGACCGAAATGGGTCCTCGTCAAGGGCGGCCATATGCCGTTTCGACGAGACTTTTCAGTCGCAAAGACCAACGAAGAGCGAGACATCATTGTCGACGTTTTGATTGGGCCAGGAGGCAGCGTATTCCGCGTGGAGAGTCCGTATCAAGAGAGCACGAGCACTCACGGAACGGGCTGCTCGCTGGCTTGTGAGTACAGCTTGGTGCAAACGGGCATTTTAGGGATGATGCTGACTGTGATGTAGCTGCTATTTCTGCTCGTATTGCTCAAGGCGCCGACGTTCCTACAGCTGTCCGCGGAGCTTGTCGATACATCGAAGCAGGCATCAAGACGGCTCCCCTGATTGGAGGCGGAAATGGACCGCTTGATCACTTCCATTCCACATACACGCTTCCTTTCTCTCCGTTAGTATTTACCACCAGCTCACTCGAAATCAAATTGTGCGCTCCTGTTAGCTAACAGGTAATAAAACAGAGGGTATTTTGTCGAGTATCTGCTTGAGCACCCGGCTGTTCGCGACGTGTGGAAGGAGTTTGTCTATCATCCCTTTGTCATGGCCCTCGGCAACGGTACACTGCCCCTTGAGTCGTTCAAAGGCTACATCATCCAAGATTACCTCTATCTAGTAGGTACTCTCACCTGAAAATAGTTCATCTAGGGCTACAACTGATGTCCGTCATAGGTTCACTTTTCTCGAGCAAACGCCCTAGCAGCATACAAAGCAAAAAGCATCGGCGACATCTCAAGGGTCCGCCCACCACACAACCCCCAAAACCCCCCCAAATCCTAATAATCATCACAGTCCAACGAAATCGTCACCCACATCCTCCACGAAATGAAGCTACACATCAACTACTGCAACTCCTTCGGCATCTCCGAGCCCGAAATCCAAGCCACCGAAGAACTCCAAGGGTTGGGGGGGGTGGGGGGGGGGGGGGGGGGGGGGGGGGGGGGGGGG